CTAAGGCTTTGGTGTTTCTTTTTTGTATCAGTCAAGAATGATAGAATACAATCGCGGTCTGTAATGAAGTCGCATTTTGGTCTTCTGAAGGATTGTTTTTGATTTTTTATCAATGGACTAGAAGTAGAACAAGATGACGAGCAAACACATTGCGCCTTTATCGGACTTTGAGTACTGTCAGTACAGTGGGCGAAGCTTCGTGAAGGTCGATGCGATTCCCTTAGACTGGTACGACCATATACTGAACCGCGAAGGTGTCGGAAGTCTCCTAGATGCAGCTACAGTTATCTTTTCGCGCGAGGAAACGGCGTGGTTACAAGAGGAGAATTATCTGCAATTCGACGCAGGAGATGGGATCTCGCATCTTCAGAAGTCGTCTGTAGAAAATGGAAATATCGCTAATGCTAGTGTAAATGGCGTTCTTAGCAGCGTTATGCCCGGTAACAGCAGTTCATCTTCGTCTTCGAAGGTTAAGCTTATTGATGAGTTGTCTCAAGGGCATTCTATAACCTTCGACGAAGGTCTAAGTTCTTGCCTCGTGCGTGCGTACAAGCTTCTTAAAAAGCAGGGATACACGGTACGCTCCGGTCTGAAAATGGGAGCAGATTTCCTCGTGTACAAAGGACAGCAAGGACAAACACACGCAGAGTACGCAGTTGTTTGCCATGACCCTGACGAACCTAGTTGTGATGTGGACTTAAACGACATGGGAGATCCTGGTGTTGAAGTGTGTCGTGGTAGAATGACAAGCACTTCTTCAAAAAGACCTAGACCGAGTGAAGATGTAAAGTCATGTACCAGCTCCACTAGGAAACATGGGAAGAAATCGAATTTGACATGGGCAGATGTCGCCGCGAAGTCACGTCTCTGCACTTCAGTCGGCAAGAAGTTGATCATTTTTAATGGTAGAACAGGCAAAGGATATCTTGTCAAACGATGGAAAATATGAAAGTTTGTATCCCTCAAAAATGCTCAGAGCAAAGCAAAATGAACTCTGCGGGAGGACCTGAAAGAATGGCAGGAACATGCCAGCCGCAATTGAAATTTAGCAAAAGAGGAGCTTAACAATCGTTATGACGATCACAATAAAAGTAGCAAGATCTTTCGAGAGAAGATATCTGTGTCATTATAGAGGAGATTACTCTGTTTTTTTTGTAATTGAAGTGGTCCTCTGTCAAGCGCCGGCTACTTACCGGGACAACTATCAAATGCGGATCAGCATTTTCGACAGTTTTCCTGCAGCACTACAGGAAATTAAGATTACTTTTACTACAAGAAAACGATAGTGTCTTGTTTTTGTCTACGTCATCCAGAAGCGCCACCTCCAAATCCATGTCCAGAGCTCTCCTGCCAGGATTTTTGATAGTGGTACTAGTAGAGTTGTTTCATACTCATACAACGAACATCAACAACTAAGGAAGTAGAAGGGGTTTAGGTTTTTCAGTGGTCCGCTTGAGACGAAGTTCATGACTTTGTGGTGTTGTTTCTTAGCCATCGGAACCTGATATCGGCGGTTTTTCTGATAATGTTTATATATTAGTTATTTGAGTATATATATGCACTTAACTAATATTTATATTTGGATCATCTTACTCTGGAATAGTTTCGTCGACCCACGTGATCACGTTTATCATGTCAAAGTATGCTGTAGTCCGAAGGTTTCGCCTTGTGGCTGCGTCCAGCTTGTCGTGGAGCCTCGACTTCTTCCTCGGACTCAAAGAGCAAGGCCAAGCCCGGCGGCAAGAAGCGCCAGAACAAGAAAAAGAAAACCACTGGAGCCGGAGGTGAAGAAGAGCTGGCCAAGAAAACCTCCACCACAGCGTCACCCACGGACCCAAAAGAGGAGAACGATGGAAAAAAGTCGCCAAACCCAGGAGCAGCTGTAGCTCCTGAAGACGGATCCTTGCATCTGCAGACACAGAAAGAGAAAGGCGATCTTGTGAATCAACACCAACAGCAACACCAAGTCCAACAGCCCCCGTCTGGCAGTGCTGAAGAGGAAGACGAGACTCCAATCAAAGTTGCCGCTACTGACGATTGGAGTGTAGTCTTCCTCCTCGTCGTCGGCGTTTTTGCACATGCCTCGTCGGATGGGAACCAACAGTCCGAAGTCGATGTTGGCGCGAACACAACGGGGCGTCCTCATCGAGAATTCAGCGATGATCCAGGAGACGCGGAAGTCGATGTTGGCACGACTACGGATTCAAGGAACAGCACAGATACAGGTAAAAATCGCACTGGAGAGATACATCTGACTACGAGCCTCGGTCCAGCAGACCTACTGGAAACGGTGTTGTTAGAGAAGGTGGTGGAGTATCGCGGCATTCGGGCAGTCCTATGTGCTGGTTGTTGGAGGAAGATAGAAAAGGATGAGGATTCTCGTGCGGTAGAAGATCGAGAAACGAAAGGGGAAGAAGGTCATCTACAAAAATATCAACTGGTTGAGGATGATGCGGCACGTTGCTATCGTGGAAATCAGGGTGATGATGATGTACCGTTCCCCCATGACGATGATGATGCTGGCTCGCGCATGGTGGGCTTAAGTATTCCCTTCAGAAGAGAAGCCTCCCTATAATCCAGAGCAAGTCGTAGGGGAGAAGGTAGCATTGCCATCGACGAACGAAAATTCCCCAGAGGACAACAATGACGAGCAGGTGGCATTTTCGGGCAGAAATTAAGTACGCCGATAGGCTGTTTCTTAGGCTCGGTCCTGGATTAGGATCGGTATACAAGGAAGACCTTAAGGGCTTTTGTTGCTGGTATCGCCAGTGCTGCAACGCGAAGTCCATCATATTGGAGGCAAAGGAGAGCGACTATTTAGCAAGGGTGCGGCTGGAGCAAGACAGGGCATTGCCCTGCTTGCGCGAGATCAATAAAGAGGGAGCGACAGAAAAAAAGAGCGGTACTTTTGCAACAAGAAAAAGATATTCGAAAATAGCGCTTTTTTCTTAAAGCTACGACGTATATTATTCAACATGGTCTCTACTGTGTAGCTGTAGGGGGATCTCTCTCCTGGCAGCCTCATCATGTAGGCAATTAAGAGTACTCATAATGTGTAGGAGCTGTCAAAGCCCTCATGTAGATGATAATATGTTCATTATTTTCTTGAAGGAAGAGGATGCAACGCTTATTATATATATTCATAGGTCCTCTTCGAAGTTTCTCCACGATTTGCGACAGCTAACGAACGAGAACAGGATCTTTCCTTTACGAGCCCAGGAGCCTCTCCTGTTCAGCAAGCTCTGTGAATGGATTGGGCTTTTTTTCCTCGGAAGACGCGGAACTGGAAGGACAGCAGCGCGCTTCTATAGAACGGTTGCGTGAAAACTATCGAGTTGTCGAAACGAGAGAGAAAGAAGTCAGATTACTGGAAACGGAGGCGCCGGAAAGTGAAGACATGCTAGAACGCATTTGAAAAGAGCTAAACTTATGACGAGTGCTTTTCTGTATCTTTTTTCTACTCGTAGTATCTTCAATGTTTAAATTTCGATTAGACTTGAGGCAATTGCGGAATGCTTTTCGATTTGTCGAAGCAATTATACGGATATGGAAAGATGAGACAGTCGATTTTCTACTGAAAAATATATTATGTCAACAGTTGTTCTTCTTGTTGAATTTACTACTTCTTCACGAAGACGAATCACGACGTCTTCTAAAAATAGAAAGAATATTCTTGAAGCTTGAGTAATGCTGGAAAAAACGTCGCGTTGCCTCAATTCCCTTCAGACTCGGTTTTGCATCGGTGGAATAAAGGGACCAGACGTGCCTTTCTTTCTCTTTGTCGTTTGACAGCGATCATCATTTTTCGCTGAAGCGTCCCTCGGCGTACTATAAGGTCAACATCATCGTGAGACGCAGTGCTACGTTTTTCACCCCTGCTGATCATCATCATGTTTCGGACCTAGCTCGTAGTTCTCTCGGATATTATATATAAGTGCACGTCGTGTATGTGTAATAATCTCTTAGTCTGGTCTGTGCATCTTCTTCCTGTGCTGTGAATGTCCTTACGTGTCCCCTTTCTTGTTTAATAAGCCGCGCATGTGGTATTCGGCAAGGTACTCGATCAAGCGTCAATGCATGTCGTTCGGAAAATAGAAAACGTCGCAGTTGGTGGAGGACACACACCTCGGCTTAACGTAGTCATCACTGAATGCGGAGAACTTTAATCTACTTATAACGTTTGAAGATGAACAGATCCAAATGTGGTAGTAGTTGATGATGAAAAACATGATCATGAAATCAACTACTTGAACAATCACATTATATCCTTCTCCTTATGTTTCCCTTTCAACATACGCATTCACCCTCTTCGTGGAGACTCACGCGGACGATGATGTTAAGCCATAATCAACTCACCCCTGTTTCACATTCATCAAGGCATGGATGAAAAATATCCAAAACAAAACGAAATGACCGTACTGCTAGGTACTGGTCTACGAGCAAGCCCCTACCCTTCTTGTGGCGATCTCATGCGGATGCCAACCGTGGCAAAGTTTTTGTGGTTAGTTCATAGAGAGATGAACAAGTGCTGCACGAGAAGTAGAGCTACTTTGGTGGTGCCCCACGAAGATGAGAGAAAGTAAATGCGAAAAACGCCCTCAACCTTATTCTGTTCTTGAAGAGAGAAGAAAAATAAGCGGCGTCTGAAAAAAGTGTTTAGTACTTACCTCCACTAGCATGACTACATAAAAACCTTTTATACCAGCACCACATCATGCAACAAGCGGCCGGATTACGATTACAGGAGCAACACGCAGCATTAAATCGCCAACAAGTACAACAAGTCGTAGAGCCGCTGCAGCTGCAGGAGCAACAGCAAGAACTACTACTACATCCCCAGGCGGCGGCCTTCGTACAGCAACAGCAACATCATCAAGCGGCCCTGTTGCAAGAGCAACTACAGCAGCGAATACAGCTACAACAGCAGGAGGAACAAGCAGTTCTAGCGCAACAGCAGCAGCATCGGCATCAGCGCGCAGTATTACACTTGCATCAACAGCATCAGCAAGCCGCATTATTGCAGCAAGCAGCGCTGCCACACCAAGGTCAGGCCTGTTTGCAGCAGCAACAACCCCATGCATTAAGGTTTTGTTTTCTTCACACATAGTACTACAACTTGGCCAGGAACTTAATCTAAGTAGACTCTGGTCTAATACACTTCCTTGCTCGTGATCACTAGTACATCATTGCTTTACAACATCACGTACACGACGACGACCAGAGTAAACATCCACCAACACTGATTTCGATCTCAATCCGCGTCCATTTTAATCCCCTATTTTCATTCTGTGCAACGGTGCAGCAAGCGACAGTACAGCAGGCAGCAGAGCAGCAGGCAAGAACAGTCCTCCAACAGGCAGCAGTCCTCCAACAGGCAACAGTCCTCCAACAGGCAGCAGAGCAGCAGTTGCAGTTGGAGCAAGGTTCGCTTTTCATGTGTCAGGGACACATGACTCTCGCAGAACAATGCTTTTTATGATCATGATGTAATTGGAAGGAATAGGAATGTTTATTGTTGTGCAGGAGTGATCATTTCTTAAGAACAAAGCAGTTGTCTCCAATCCTCGGCTTTCATATTCTTTGCAGTTGGCGCATACGTCTGCTGAGGCGTGCAACAATCTCGGCGTCCTTTACCATCGCGAGCTTTGTGACGTGAAACTGGCCTTGCAGTACTATGAACGGGGGATGGCTTTAGAAAAGATGAACAAGTATTAAACGAGTAGTCCTTCAAGAACATGACATCACATGTCGATGTCAACATGCTTCTGCTTACTGTACGCCACAAATACACGAATATGTCAAGTAGCAAAACTATAACAACTTGAAGTGAACGTTAGCGTTACGTTTCAGTGTGAAAATTTTTCTTGTGGGGCTTTAATGATGTTCATGTTGTCAATCGAATTCGATCGAATCCGATTCCAAAAAGCTTCATCCAGCATGCTGAGTCCTCTCGTTTTGGTCGTACTCGTAGTCCGTCTCTTCATCATGGACATGAAAGCGAAAGAAGAAGTAAAAGACCTAGACCTGTACTAAGGTGAGTACATAGTCATACTAGAAGATCGGTCTCTTTAGTTTTTCTGTTGTGTCGGTTACACCTGGCGTGATGATATGGCGTATCTTCTACACTCGGTGAAAGTGTCAAATTGAAGTAGATCGGTTCTAGTAGACCATGATGTTGACACCATGTGTAAATAGAACACTCTTGCTCCTCCGGCGCCACCACCTATCCATGAGCTCCGCAACTACCCTGTACGTGAGGAGCTCGTCCCCAAATACTTCCATGATGATAAGAATATCCTACTAGTAGTTGTTCTCTGTGGCGCTAACTCTACTTCATGAAGATTCTATTAAAACACGACTTTTTTCAACAGAAGAAACACTTTTTTCACACCAACCATATCTAAAACAATTTCATTAGCTTGGTAGGTTTAGGTTATTTTTTTCCACCTGGAAGTAGAAGATAGGCACCGTTCCTACCACGGCATCAATTACTATATTGGACATCGTCCCTTAGTGTCATTTCCCGGTCCCCCACCTGTGGAAAGCGAATCAACTCCTATCCTATCCCATAAAACATCAACATTCTCGAGATGAAAGCAACTAGATGTACTACATCAGATTTTTAGATCACTCGATAATTAGACAGGAGCTACAAGCTAAAAAGAGGTACAGCTTTTCTTCATTCTGCGTATAGAAGTATCGCAAATATGTTGAACGACAAATCTTCGGTTCATCTTTTCGAGGAGAACAATAATCGATAGAAAAACTGGACTATCGGTATCTGCATCCGTCGGAAAATCGGAAAAAACGTTTACCGAAACACGCCGCACCTCTCTCCCTTCGTCGTGACAAGAAAAGATGAGCCGTCCTTCTCCCCTCAAAGGCAAAGCGCTTCGACTTGTAGATGTCTACTTATTCTACTAAGTCGTGAAAAATCGAAGTTGTAGGTATAGCACGCTAGTATAACAGGTCGCAATCGTGTACAACGGGTAGGTGAACGAGCTAATATGTGGAGATGGAAAAGGGAAGTACTAGAGTGTACTTAGTTGTAATGAATCCCTTTTTTATATATTCATCTTTTTTTAAAAAGATAAGAGATCGATAAAAAAATTGTTCTTCTATCTTGGCAGGAAAAATACAGAACCAAACAAAATGGGTCGTTCGTCGAAGGCCGAGCTTGCGGCAAAAGGCTCTGAAGAGGGAGGAGCGACCGCAAGTGGAGCAGCGAAGAATGATAAAGTTATGAGTTGCACTTGTACAACTGCTGATGCATTAGTGAGGTTCGTAAGCTAAGGACGGAGAGAAGTAGTTATAAAACGCAACATTTTTTTTACCACTTCTTGACAACTTCCATTTCCAACCATTATAACGACAATAAATATTGATTACTTTGTTCTTACCAAGGATTACAACTACGATTGCGTCAGGAAGGTCCCTAGGCATAGGTTCGCGCGCGAACATAATAATGATAATCCTCTAGTACAACGTCTAATCAGGAAAGTGCGGGCGCAGCACCGAAGATGAAAGGGCGTAAGAGACGAAGAGGAGCCAGGGTTCGACAGAAAATTAATATCTGTTGGTTCCGAAGAAATCTGCGTGTCTATCACGACAATCCGGCTCTGATCAAGGCAATGTCGGGCGATCTGCCTTTGCTGTGCATGTACTGCTTGACGCCCTACATGCTACCTTCGAGGCACCGAAAGCGAAAACGACAATTTTATCAAGGCATTACGGCTAGCGCCGCGGCTAGAAGTATAAACACTTTTACAGTACTACTTCTACGTGATGACCACAGCCACTGCCACACGGAAGTAGAAGCTTAGGTATATCGTAATCGTGTTCTATATCTATGAGGTGAAACACGATAATATCTAACCAACCTTCTCACCAATGTTCGTCCAGCTAGTAGTAGTACTTTGATTCGAGGAGCATGACCATGAGGATCCTTCTACATAGTACATGTACAACAAGCTAGCTGTTGTATACAGAAACTAGTCGTTTCCCGTATGTTTAGCGGTCCGAGAGGATGGAAAGGTGAACGAGGGAGAAGGAGCTGCTAGGAGCAGGAGAGAGAGAGACCGTGAGCGAAGGAAAACAGGACGGGAAGGAAAAGGAGTCTCCAGCCTCCGGCTCACCGTACCGCGGGCGACCTCCCCCCGGTACGCGAGCCCATTCGGGCCCCTTTGCGGGCCTGACGTTAGACGGCCCAAACGCGGCTGGCGGCCGCGTTAGAGCCCGCTAACGTCTTCGCGACTCGGTGAAACAGTGTCACACGCCGAAACTGTGACCCGCCGAAACTCTGAGGCAGGAAGCCCAGACATGCCGAACCTCTGAGGTGCGAAACTCTGAGGCGCGAAGCCCTGACATTGCGCAACTCCGAGGCGGGGAGCCCTGACATCCCGAAACTCTGAGGCGCGAAACTCTGAGGCGCGAAGCCCCGACATTACGCAACTCGGAGGCGGGAAACCCTGAAACGGCAAAACACTGAGGCGCAAAACTCTGAGGCGCTAAACCCTGACCTGGCGCAACTCTGAGGCGGGAAGCCCTGACATGCCGAAACTCTGAGGCGCTAAGCCCTGACATTGCGCCACTCTGAGGCGGGAGCCACACCCTGAGATGCCAAGCCCTGAGATGCCAAACCCTGAGAGGCCAAACCCTGAGATGCCAAACCCTGAGATGCCAAACCCTGAGATGCCAAACCCTGAGATGCCAAACCCTGAGATGCCAAGCCCTGAGATGCCAAACCCTGAGATGCCAAACCCTGAGATGCCAAACCCTGAGATGTCAAGAAGAAAGATGGGATGAAGATGCCAGTAGGCGCTGTTGTACGAGAGGAAGACAAGAGGAGACTTCTACAAAGCTGTGCGTAGTGCTATTGTTTTGAAGAGGAAGACCACGAATGAGACCACTCAACAGGATTCAGTAGTTGTGCAAAAACTTACTTTTTATGTTGCTATGTATTCATCATCGTGAATGAGTTGAACATCAAAATTTGTATCACTCGGCAAAAAATCGAAATCGTCACTCGCTTGCTCCCTAAAGTAATAAATTTCGCGACAGCTTCTACTAAGCTACACCATGACGAAGTGCCTAAATGAGAGATAATGATCACAAATGTTAATACAGCGTCTATCTTATGTTGACGCGTATGCTCATCTACTTGCCGTATATCCACTTCAATGGAGAGACGAAGATAAAGACGGATCATCCTCGGCGTCATTCTAGCTACTAAGCAAGAAGTTGTTGAGAAGATGTTGCTACGTCTATATCACCAAAGACCAAAGTTGTGCTACTTGTACGTTAACCTGCATGGCAAAAGGTGTGGCTACAACTTCGCATATCATTTCATATCGCCAAAGTTGTAGATAGTCTATCGCCAAAGAGTAACAGGAGTTGTTTGAGGATTTCGCAGCTAAGTTGTCTCTGATGAAAACCATCAAAAGAGACTGCATCAAAATTAACGAGTTCTCACTTTTTTTGGAAGTTGTCTTCAGTATTAATTTACATCTCTAGAAGATGAAGAATGGAAGCGAAGGCGGAGGGTAGAGCAATGCAGTTTTTTGATGGTCTTTCATCCTCGTCTGAACGAGAAGTGTTTGCGCCTACTACTGAGAACGATTATAAGATAGAAGCGTGAGCAGAAAGCTTTTTTTCGAATGATGTTTCATTTTTGAAAATATTCAAAATTATCGGATAATCTTGATAGGTATCCATGACGAACTACAGGCTGTTTTCCAGGTCCAGCCTAAAGTAGTTGTTTCTTTGCATCGAGCCTAGGTCGTCTGAGCCGCATTGTAATTGAGACTGGCTATCATTGGTTCATTGCAACTGAGACGCATCGTGCTAGCTGCTGGCATGTTGATTTGTGACCAGTGTGTGTGATGAAAATAGAGTTAGTGTCAGTGGTCAGTGATGGTGTGGAGGGTACGAGAGCCCCCCAGAAGACGGGGGTAGCGCGACGTCGCCGACAGAATAGAATATTAGAGGGTCAGCTCGTACTTCTTTACTGGGTCATTTGATAATTGTTGTACCTGATGCGAACGAGGGACTTGATGTTGAGGAGAGGAAAGTGCTGTTCTCAATTATATTATGAATCACTCGGTTTTTACCGACGGTAGTGGAGGTATCATCTGCATATGTTATGGGCGCGTCTTCGTTCTTGCGTCGGTCTCCATGTCTATGCCATGCGTCATCTTTTTGATATATCGGTCAAAAGTCTTACCGAAACAAAGCGAAGCCCGTGTTAACTAGACCCATACTGCCCCTGTCACGTAAGTAGCTAGTTTGGAGAGCAACTACATCCATGCTCTTCTGTGTAAGAATAAATCACTTGAAAAACGATCTTCAAACACCAAAAAAATAGGAGCAAGTGCACACGTTGAGAAAGCTCAGCATTAGGCCCGACAATAACTAGAGACACCGACGCCACAATCTAGAAACATCTTCTACTTCCTATCACAGCACTACTATTGTAGCCTTCTAGCTATTATACCCGTGAAGGTCATTTATTTTGTTTTGCACCACGAAGAGACGAAAGAACCACACCACTTCAACACAACGGCGAGTGACTCAGTAAACTTTCTCGTGGCCAAAAATAATCAGAGAAAGAGATGCCACTCCTCGAAGAGGCATATGCCGAAGCAGCTCCGCTCATGGAGAGCGACCCCGACCACGGCGGTGGCCACAGTGGTGAAATTCTTGCACTTATGCCGCGTAGCGTCAGCTTTTCTATCTTCAGCTACAAGCATACATACTCCTGCTACAACTTTCGTGACGGTTCCACTTAGCGAGAACTTCCACGCGGAAGCATATTATACATAGCCTCTAGAGTCCTTATCCATCCTCGGGCTTCAGAAGTAGTGCCGATGAAGCCTCGGCGTATGCGCCTTCTTTGTAGTGTGCCCTTCGGGTGGGTTAGCTGTTTTTACTACAGATGTTTCCTATCCTCTAATAGAGCAAGTGCTGGCGGTGGCGTTTTGCCTGTCTGGGCGTGCGATGCCATGCTGATGAGCCGCGCGAGCGTGATGAGCAAGCAGACCAACTACCACATCAAGAAGGTTTGCGCCTTGTTGCTCTTGCTCTTGGTATCTTCGATTGCAGTAGTAGGCCCGGCATTCTTGGCGAGTCTATTGGTGGCGCCAATTATGGCTCGAAGCTGAAAGCTTACAATCCAAACTAGTACAGGCGTTATTTGTTATAGATAGACTTGCTCCATCAATAAGCAGATGGGAGACTGGCTCTCTTGCTGTGATCTCCGAGAGTGATAACTAAGATGCTCGGGGTGGGAAAATGGGGCCTCTTCTTGATCTCTCAACTTGATTTGATAGATTAGCGTCAACTTTCTGACGCCTCCACCTCTTCTAACATGCGTGGCGCCACGCGCGATGGTACAACCGCTGGGCTTCAACATCCAGCCACCCGCGCTCGTCTTGGTCGCGCTTTTTCTACATCTGCAAGCAACAGCTCTGCAATGAGCACCGTGACGGCGATGGATGAGCTGAGCTTCGTAGGCCTTAGGACTACGAAGACAACCCGAACCGCATTTGGAGGCGATGGCGCTCAGTCGGAGATGATTAGAACGGCCCTGCAGCAGATGAGAAATGCTGGGGCGTTGATGATAAATGGCCCAGCAAACGAGGCGAAAGAAAGGTACAAAGATGCGGTTGACATCTACAGAAGATTACCGGATGAGCTGAAGAAGCACGAGGAGACCCGCGCAGAACTCTTCCATGTTTCGCGTGCTGCAGTTGCGCTAAATAATGGTGGAGTACTAGAGTCGTGGATTGCTACATCTAGCTCTACCAACGAGTTGTTTCCAGATGTTTTGTGGGAAGATGAAGAGTTCGTGCTGTACGCGATGTTGCAGGTGTCGTGCTCGAAGGACGAAAAGACCGCAAAAGAGTGCGCAGGCGACATATCTAAACGGAGAGTGAAGAGTAGGCTAGTGCGATCAATCTATGCAGAGAGGGTGTCGAAGCATCTCCTCCAGAAGAGTGTCAACATTTTGGAGGCTCTTTTCCGCTTTGCCACAGGCCCGACCGCGAATGTCCGTGACCCCGAGAACGGCTGGCTGTGCTGGTTTCTCCCTCTGTGGGATAGGAAAGAAGACACCTGGCGCCCGTTGGGCGAAGGATCAATGCGAATGCCTGTAGAGGTAGCAGAGCGCTTTTTTGGGAAAGACAAAGACCACTGCGCCAATTCTGATCTTGAGCCCGTCGAAGTCCGAGCTTGCGCTGCTCTTGGTGCACAAATGCTTAAAGTCCCTCCTGGGTCTCATCGCGTGTTCGGCGGCTGCGTACCACGCCATTTGTTGACCTGCCCGATGGTCGTTGCTGGTTTGCTTGCGGCCGTGGCCGATCCCACAAACGCCGCTGCGAAGTGGCGCACCGGACTCACCGATGAACTAGGACTGAAAACCGCCGAAGTTGAACTGCTGAAGAGGGATCCACGGGTTGCGCGTGCTGTGCTACCAAATCTTGCCGACGGAAGCCTGAACGCTGACGATTTTCCAGCAGCATTGTTCCAGGGCGCGACATGGATTCAACGCGACTTCGTGTGGGACGCTATGCTGGCAATCGACAGCGGGCCTCGATTCAGGGATGGGAGAAAAACGGCAGTCGCACGAATCGCCGGATTCGAACTCGCTAAGCCGACGGGAGAAGGGGTTCGCCCTCCGGATCCGCGATCTTTCTGGGCTGATGCCGTGAAGCACGCTGGGAAGCTTTATACCTACGTCCCGCCTGACCTTCAGGGAGATGAACAATTTGCCCTAGATGCTATGAAGCAGAGTAAGGACGACGTCGAAGTCATTTTTCTAAATGCACTACAAGCGGTGACAGTAGCATCCGTAAAGCCCTTGGTAGTAGAGGTACTCAAGGACACTGCGAATCCGAATGGGAACTACAGCGAGGAGAAGAAGGCCCGCATCTTTGGATGTTTGCCAAAGTGGCTGAGGCAGGACGCTCGCGTTGCGGCTGCGATGGCTGCTTTTCATCTGAGCTCGCCATCGGTAGGAAGTCCAAGAGGCGTCCAAGAGATGGTCCTCAAGGACTTCTTGGGTTTGATGATGAAATGGCCACTGCCCCCGCATGAACAAATGGCAACCGCGAAAACAGCTGCCGCGCAGTCGCGATCGACTGACACTGAGGACACTGCGCGCGACTATTGCCTTGATGCTGTGAAGAAACATGAGAAGCAGTTTGCCGCCGTCCCGCCAGAGCTGCTTCAGGGCATTGCGCTAGACGCTGTGCGGCAGAGTGAGGACGGCGCGATCTTTCCAGCTGCACTACAAGCAGTGGGAGTAGCATCCATGACCACTTTCGTACAAGGTGCTCAAACTTCGAACAAGGAAGCAGTCAATTCGTTTTTGTCACGCTGGCTGCCGAAAGGCGAAGGACTTTGGGCTGCGCTTCAGAATGCCTCGAGAGCTGCTTAGGCTGGCTCGCCGAAGCCCCGTATGTGATTTTGCATGCGCCGTCGACATCGAGGTGGAGGAGTTCGGCGGCGCGGGGGTTGGTTGTGGTGGGCGTCGCAGTAGAGGTGCTGGGACGCGTCTTGTGGGGTGGTATCTGTGGTGGTGTAGGTGTCAAGGAGTTCGAGGCCGGCGGCGTTGAGGGCGGCGTCGGTTGGGACGGCGTCAAAAGCAGTGGCTTTGGAGGTGGTGGCATGGTGTGGCGGTAGCAATTTGGAGGTGGAGGTGCAGGTGGGTGCATCATAATTACTTAACAACGACAGGAGCAGGAGGGCTGGAGTAGATGATGGAGCTTGACCTCCTGGAGCTGGAGGATGCAGCAGGAGGTGCGCTTCTTTGCACACGAAGACTCTGAGCTGTAGTTGTTTAATTGCTGTCGCGAGTGGTCGAGACCACGGACGAGATCGTGCGGTCGATGGCGAGCAGTCGGGGTGAAGATATGTAGCTAGATTGGCGGCTGTGCGTTTGGTTTTTTCTTGTCGCGGTGGTAGTAGCGGATGGATATTTCTAGTAGTGAACGAGAAGGGCTGAGCTGGGCCAGCAAGCCTATGCGAGGATGCATGGTGAAACAAAACAAAATCGTTCAGAACCGATGGGAGAGGAGCTTCTGCCATGATGAGATTGCAACTGCTTTGGGAGACGAGCAGTTTGCGCCATGATGAGATAGTAAGTGCTTTGGGAGACTAGTGTGCGCCATGATGAGATAAAAACTCCGCTGTGGTGTCATGATGAGAAAGCAACTTCTTCTCTGTGGAGGTGCGACGGCTTAAGTAAGTAGTTTGTGCCATACATCGTGGCGCTGAGACAAGTAGTGCTATCGTCATGGTCAGGCGCGGAGGCTGACGCGTAATACGTTCTGGAGGGCGGTACTGCTGCTTCAGCCACTTCTGAAGTTGAAGGACTTGCTGGCGATGGTGCTGGGTTCTGAGACATTGGAGGACTTGATGTTAGGTTCTGACACATAATTGAAGGACTCGACGCTGGGCTCTGAGCCGTGGGAGGCCTGAGACCTCGGTGAGACGCGGTACTGAAATTGTAACGTAGGGTTTGGAAATTGAAATAGTGAAGAAAGAGAAAATCTGACACCCATGCTCACGTTGAAAGAAGATTAGAAGTTGCTACATATTAGCAGATCTAGTTCTTCTGGAATTACAGTTGTAATCTCTTTACCAGGAGTGCAGCTGCAGATATCTTTCCTCGCTTCTACTTTAAATCATCGATCCGTATAACTATAAATCTTCCACCAGGTCGTCCAGGGTCAGCCTTGCGATCACTTGCGACCACCTTATGCTTTTTGGATGGGTTCTTTTAGTCTTTCTCTGGGATCGCGAGGTTAGGATAAAGAGGAATTGCGCCGGCCAATCAGCCTCGCGGAATAAGAGTGGTCATCGATGAAGAGAACTACCCTTCCCCGCCTCCTTCTCCTTGACGGTATTATTGTCTAGCTAGCTAGCACTTACCAAAAATTTGCATAGCGCCTGAGCTTGATGAGTATTATTGCTCCTTCTCTATGAAGATGATGATGATGGTGATCCTTCAACTTCTTACTTTTTCTCCTTTATCTTCAGAAACTATCAGCTTACCATTATTGATCCCTCATATGTTCCTCAGGTTTTGCTTTCCTAGCTTGGTGTCTCTTGCTCACGGTGCCTCCTTCCGACGGCTACCTCTTTACGTGTATCTATTGACTGGCTAGGGGTTTTTGGCGTGGAAACAATGGACGTGCAGAGTCGGCTGCTGCGTTCTTTTTGGACAATGAATGTGCGAAACAAGAAGAGACGACGCACGATCGGGATGCTACAAACAAAAGACGTCGCTGACTCTGGTTTACTTACACATTCCTTCTGGGCGTTTGTTCTTGTTCAATTACGGGCCATGACAGTCCTTATTGTTGTCATACTTACCTACCAATGTTAGCATATGCGTGATTGTCATACTTATTTATCATCGTTATTTATCGCACTTCTTATCTATCATTGCCAATGGTAACTACATAGATGTCATAACTGTCATGCTTGTCAGTCTGTTGCGATTTGTTTTTGAAGACATAACTGATCGCCCAAGTCTGCACTTCTGTAGTATTGTCTCCAGTTACGTTTTCTTTTTCAATGCAGTGAACGGTCGCCAAGTAGTAAACCGATTCCGTAAATTCTCAAACTGACGCACAACGAATACCCATCCATATTGACACACAAGAACAAGAACGCTGGCGAGTAGTTATTGAAGACTGTGCTAGTTTTGAATGGCCTCAGGAGCTGCAGGAGGCTGAGGACGGGACGACTTCACGTGATGAAAATATATGAACAAAAAGCAAAAGGCGAAGAACGTTGTGACCAAATAGCAGTCTATGCCGATCTATCTCGTCCCATTTTCAGCATCGCAATAATTTCAAAAAATGTAGTGGAAGTGGATATCTCGTAGTTATAATTCCAAAAAAAAATATGAGGCCTTTTGGCTTTCTGAGCTTGAGTCAAGTAGTTAGGCCACTCGCGGGCGAGTCGCAAGGCTAGCATTAAGTTTGTTCGTATTTGTAGCTTTCTCTTATTCTTCTTTTATCTATTAGGATTATCAGAATTACCTACGACTGTCCCTGCAGGTGTAGACGCAGAGACTTCGCGGACAGGGTAGCGGGTAAGGCCTCAGGAGTCATAAGACCTCGTAGTAGGTAGATGGGTCAGAGGTGTGCCTAGTGTGGTTGCCTGTGACAGTCGTGCTTAGTCTCCTACGCAGTATATTGATGGCTGCGCCGAGTCCGTAGCTTATGCAATATAGCTCCCCAGTTTCTCTTTATGTTTGGCTGCTGTGCTACTTGATTATGCAACTGCGGCGACTCCGTAGACCATCAGCGCTAGGCTATTCCTCAGGCGCGCACTTTTCCCGTGGCCCTTGAGTAGGAAACAAAAACAAGCGATATGACTGCCTGACTCTTCGTGGTCGTGCCAGCGCTTAAGCTAAGCCTCCTTGTCCCCTGTGGGCGGGATATGTAGTTTACACTGCTGCACTTCAAGTCTAGTAGGCCGCTACTTGTCACGTGGGAAGATGGGCACTTTTGCACTGAGTAACAGAGATCCCTTACCTTAGGACGTGGCTAGTTCTACAATAACAACAGTCGCGTCGCCTAGTCCTTCGATGATGTCCCCCAAAGACTATTTACTCTTCTTCAGTGCTACTGCTCCTGCGTTGTCTCGTAATTCAGTAGTAGTAAGTTCTCCGTGGTGCTGTAGTGTAGTAAAACAACAGCCCAGGATGGGGCTTACTACTACCACTACTAATACTACGGCTACAACTACTATAGGGCAAAGAAAAGATGAGGAGCTGCCTGCAGTCATGAAAGACCTGCAGGAGTCCACTTTTTCAAAGACTTCGACCAAAGAAAACGATGTAAAGAATATTCTCCGGGTTATAATGATGTAAATGCTAGTACTTGCGCGAGTTTTTATTTGAATTTGAAAAATCATCAAGAAAGGATAGAAAACTCATGGCTTTCCCTAGTCAACAGCAGAAAACTCCTGAAGGGTTTCTGCGAAGCAAGTACCTTGTCGATATTTTTAAAGAAAAGTGCGGACCTTCCTTGTACAATCATCATGGCGAGGCCATGCTCTTCATTTTCTCCATATGTTGTCTAACTATTTCTAGAAGTGGCTCTATAGGTGGAGAAGCATTTTTTATTACACAGTGAAAAAAATTGCGTCTCCCTGTAAATAGTGCCATATTGATTTAGAAGATGGCGCCGGAATATGTTGGCCTTGACCAGAAGCAGCGTTTCCATTTTTTTGCTAGAAGTATCAGCCATTCTAGACTATTTTTTCAAGTGCAAGTGCTCCAGTCATTCTTGATCGATCTTGGCAGTAGTTCAGAAGGGCTACTTGAGCTGCTATAGTGATGGTGAGCGCTCCTTTTCAGGAACAGCGCTCACGATCGTCCTCCGATCGAGAGGTGAACTCGGGCGCTTTGCTGTACAGGTGTTATTTTTCAATAGATGGCGTCTTTGCGTACTGTCAAGGCTGGGAAGTACACAGGCAAACTCGATGCCATCATCATCGTCATCATTATCATCGTTTAATTATCGTCGTCATTTACATTCGGCATATTTCTGGATATAGACTCTTCTGCAACTCAAACTCTCGAGATGTTATACGCAACTTCTGCATCTGCGCTGCAAGTGGGTTACTTTGCTAAAGCCGAATAGCTGGCGGCAGTTGTAATAGCTACTATTCGTCGTGTGGGAAGAACAAGGACATCGTAGTAACTAGTACATCCGCGACACGAGTAGGCGAGCGCCAGCTATAACTGTAGACAGTCATCGCCCGCCAGATTTCCTGCATGATTTGACCAAATTTGACGCCCGGCGCCATTCATTTGCGCTTGTTTGTAATTTAGTCGCACAGTAGTGGCTTTTCCGAGAGGGGGCGTCTCTGCTAAAGAGGTGCGGCGTACCCTTCTGCTCAGAAGTCACTTCAAGTGGTCATCTCGCGCAGTGGGACTTGGGTGCATTGTCCAGAAGATGTCTTGTTGTCGATGATGCTGTTGAGGATCTTGAAAAAATGAATTACACCAATTATTTACTATGTCACATTACGGAACGCCCTACATTCCTTCAGTATATTAATGCTACACCCAAACTGTCAAATAAAACTACAATGGCCCCACTTTTTTCATTATTAGAAGTGCTTCCTTTTGAGTGTGTACTAGAGATAATCACATACTTACATCCGTCTTGGTCTAACTGTAACTATCTCACTCTACATGACTTGTTTTTAAACCACTACAATCTTTTTTGTGAGTTAGCATGCTTGAATCAAGAACAAGGCAAGGTAACCTTTGAGCGACTAATACTACTTGACACTTACTCGCAAGCACTGACACTAAAGCTCCTTCTTAAAGGTTACCTTGACCTTATACACTCTCTCACTTTGAGAACAAATCAACACACATTTGCTGACCAGACTTCGTGCTTAAGCGAGTCAGGAAACAAAAACCCCATCAGCTTCTTTCACAGCCATTTGCCAGAAGTTAGTCTTCACTCTGAGTGTTGGGCTTCTTTTAACTCCGCAGATGACGTTTCTTTTTCTTTTCCTTGGTACAATACATCCCTAGCTAATGCGTTTGCTGAAGCCTTCTTGAATGTCATAAGCTTAAGTGAGCATCTACCTAACGAACATGCGCAAAGTCTGAACCTAATTAGAAGCCGTCGAGACGGCCGCCCTCTTATCAATTTACACGGATCCGGTTATGTGTTACAACGTAAGAAGCAAGCACATTTGAAGTGTAAATGTGGTAATATTTTTGAAGTACCACCTTCCTCACTAGAGTTACACTTTGATCCACGCCAGGCGATTTGTAGAAGCCTTCCTTCACCAAATTGCTATATCTGTACTTCCTTACAAGAGCGCTACATTGGCATCCCTTTACTTAAGACTAACACGAACAATAGTAATAAAAACTATGTGACAAACACTACCAGGCCTGTTTGCTTTCCACATGATACGGCCACTAGTCTTATTCGTAGACAACTTATACACTACGTTCGTTCTGCTCAACTTAACACGATACCTATACCAAAGCTTACTATCTTTAGTAAGTCTCCTCTTTCGCAGTCACATCTACCATAGCACAAAGTGACGACTTTCCGATATATTGATGACTACCTTACAGGCAAAACAACATCAACCGCGCAACTAGATCAACAAGAGCAACCAATAGTAGAGAAGTCAGCTGATGGGAGTGAGATCATGATCAAACTTCCAAAACGCCATAAATATCACAGCCTAGCGGACCTGATCAACATGCAGCAACTTCTTGAGGGCATCAGTGGAAATCATCATGGCCTCTCCTTCAACATCTTAAAAAATGGACAACATATAACCACCCAGGAGGCTCTTCAAGATGCTACACTACTACAGCGACCTACTTCTCCGGCAAACAGCGAAAAATCCACTCAACAGAAAGAGTTCACCAACATCCACGACTACAAGAGCAGTACTAAGGTGAAGCGCCAACGTCAGAGCTCGAAGATTCATTATCACAGTTACGAAACAGAGGATGAAGGATGGCGCATTTTCTGTGCAAGTAAGTCCATGAATAAGCTATCTGACAAAGGATGGACAATTTTGCAAAAGACTTACTATCTTCCTATAACTCCAGTTTTGTTAGTTTATCTTCATTAGAAATACTCATCTTTGTTCTTGTTATTCAGTTGACTACTACCTCTTTCTTATCTGTGTTCAAAGCACTTCTTTCTATTACTTCCAAAGATATGAGCCATCACATCTTAAGCACAAGTTTAAGTTGTCAAGGGATTTGTGGTTAAGAGTGAAGACTTACCTTGATGCATACTTCGCGTTACTCTGGTTCATGCTGACTTTCATTATGTAACTCTGCGACTGATATCTGTTTAAATCATTTACCCGCTTCGTCTTCCAAGTTGTTAACTGCCCAAGTGGTTTCTCTGAAGTATTTATGTTAGTTCTTACGTCCAATCTTCCTTCGGTAACAATTTTTGCCTTTCAATTCAATACTCATGGTTGTAGTTCTCTTTCAAGTAGATACGTTTTCATATCAGTATATATATATTACCACAGACAACGAAATTAAATCAAAGACAGCACTGGCTTAGAGTTTCAAGGAAAAGGAGACGAAAGCACGTGGCTCAAATGGTGCAAGAACATTCTGGGAACATACAAGGAGTATTAAAGCGAAATCATGAAGCCAGCCGGTAAAGGTACAGAATGTTAGTAACACAAATCACATATTCTCCTCTGGCGGAAGGTGGCGTAATTGTTGACTAAGCATGCACTTCGCATTCAATATGATGGCTTACTTTATCTTTCGCTTCTCTTACGTGTTCCTTCATCTTTTGTTTCTTCCACGTTCCAGACACTGGGTTTCTGTTTTTTTCTGCTTACCCCTTCCCCACACATCTTCACTGTCTCCGACAACTCATTCTGTTCCCACATTCCCCCGTGTCTCTTGTTGCTTTTTGTTGTTCCTACTCTGCAGCGGATTCCACGAACCAGGGAACGACTTCGAGTGCTGATTTCAGGTACACTACAACCCACTAAGGAACCTGTGCACTCACATAAGTATTTGTGACGTGTTTTGCTCTGGTAAGCCATACAGCCTTTTTTTAATTGTTGCATTGACTCCTATGTTGAATCACTCATGCGTATTCATCTAACTCCTTGGCCATTCGTTCTTGTCGATTCTTCGTTCAAGTTGTTCAACGACTTACTCGTTTGCCCCTGAGACATCAACAAGGACTATATTTCGATGAATCTGTATCTGCGGCCTCTGTGCGCTCGGTTTTCTGTCTCTCGTATCGTTGTACACAGCTGACCTTCCTTTTTTCAGCTGATCTTTTTCTGTCCATGAACTCGGTATCCTTCTCTCTGTATCTGTTCTGACCTATCGGGAACAGACTCATATCACAGATAGACTGCCCCCCTTATTTAAAATATCTGACTCATGTTCACACGTATGCTTGCCTGCTAAAAACGAGCATGCCGATAAGAACATGGACGTTCTTACCACCGACAAGGTTAAGGCTTTCTAGTTTGACTGCGAATGATCTTCAGTTGTGGTAGTAGTGAGCCGGCGCCCCTGCTGTACTACCACGTCTTCCTCTGTAGATCATTGCGAGCACCTTCTTTCTTTTCTTTTCGACAAGAAGGACCTCAGGGGCAGAAGCAGTCCCTAATATGCGCATATTAGCCTTTATTTATTAGTCTAATTATATAGACTACTTTAATAACTAGCTCCTTCTACCTTCTCCATCCAAAACCTCATAGGACAACCCAATTACACCACCTTAGGGAACAAACAAAAATGACCTCTAAGCGGCCTCGTTTAGTCACCTGGTGACCTTCTCTCCACGACCTAGACTAGTGTTCCGGCTCAATGATATACCCTTTTGTTATTAAAGATGTAAAGACTTGGTCTTCTTCGGTTCAAACATTGTTTAATAAGCCGCTTCCACTCGTCGGGATGGATAGAACAATTCACAAAAAAAATATTGTCATCGTCCCACATGTTGATTCAGCAGTACCATTCTTCAGCAGGAACATACATTTTTTACAGCAACAAGCTCTGTGTTGGCACCCTGTTGCATTTTGGGCACCTGTAGTTAGCTTCTCTTTGCAAACCGTCCCTCAAATAAGAAGAATACTGATAGATATTCATGATCTTCATGCTGTCGAGAACACGTCCTGCTTGAAGTCCCTGGCGCCTTAGCTGTAACACCGACTCACTTCCGAGTCCGAGATGAGTTCATCATCAAAGTCCCTGGCATTGTGAAATGTTGAATTCTCCGACCCAAGAAGTGAGTGTTATATGGGAATCCGTCTATTCTTGATAAAGAGAACGACGGACGAAAAGTCGCGAACGATAAAGTTACGAAGAATGAATGTCGGCAACACCTACGAATTGGAAGGAAAAATCAAACGAACAATATCATACCATTTCTACAAAGTGAAGAAAAGCCATTGACATCATGTTCCTTTTTTCAATGAACAGCCACAGGTTTGTTTACCTTGTTTCAACGAAAGCACTGTTAATTTCGATCTTTATCGCGGATAAAGGCTAGAGCTCTGGCTCTATTGACATACTTTTTTGCTTGAGAAAGTTCAAAGATCTTGGTCTTCTTCGGTTTCAAACAACATCATTTCGATCTTCATGTCACTGGTTTTTTGGTCTGGTTAGAATACTGGTCCAGTTCTTAAGTGTGTCCCTTGAGGTGCTGTGCCGCTTACTGACGTTCGTTTACTGTGTACATTGAATGTTTTTTCGTTATTAAGTTTCTTGTCGTGAATTTTCATCTGAAAACTCACTTTGATTATATGTAAGTGAAAACATAAACATTTGGTTGTTCTTTTTTGTCTAGTTCATGGCCTGAAGCAACGACTTGCGCCGATCTCTGGGTTGTACGTTGGATTTAATAACGACGGTGACGGAAGATAAGCGAGGACGTGCCTCGACCTTTTTACCTCACCGACGAAGACGAAGATCATGTTGGTTCCACGACGCACATTATGTCTTATCGCAGTATTGCCCACTGTATGTTTCTCAAGGCTTTTGGCTGCTCGTCCATCACAAGACAGAAGTGGGAAGGCTCCGACCGATGCAACATCTCCAGGCGATGCTGTGACAAGCAATTTGTCGGGGGGTGCATATTCCGCTGTTTTTAACCCGCTGGGTGTTCAAGTCGACTTTGTAGGACATAGCACCAGTGATGTTAGCTGGAAGTGCAGTGATTCTGCCGGGCCTCCTCAATGGGACGATGAGAGCATAAGCAGAAGTCGATCTTCTGATATTGTAGTGGCGACTGACCCTGATGCATTCGGTGATCCTGATCCGGAAGATTCCACCACTGCTTTGGTTGCACCACGGCCAACAGATCCTGATGTTGATGACGATTCCCATGCAGAAGAAGGCATAGCGGTAAGACCAACATTGTGCTGTCATCCTCCTCGGTCGTCTGGCTGTAGCCGTGGAGTCATTGCAGCTATGGCGGCAAGTGTCGCAGCGGCTGCATTGGCTTATGGAAGCGTAGAGATCCGTAACGCGCATGAGCTATCACGACAAGGAAACCGTAGCACATCACATTCACATCAAAAGATAGGAGAGCGAGGAAGAGCAGGTGACAGATTTCTTCCTCGAAGCTCTGCAGATTTACCTGGTGCGAACCGATCCGATGCGGAATTTAAACCAAAATGGTGGACACCGGAAAGAGGAGAGACAAGTGATGCGAATGTCCGGAAACAAGACGATTCAAGAGCTGAAGATAGACAACGTGGTGATGATCATGTTGTGGAACACGAACAAGGTGGGCCGCGTGCTTCTGGTCCTACATCCTCTGCTGTATCGTCAAGAAGTAGCCCTCTTGCTGGGCAGGAACGCCATGAAGACAGCAGAAACACCACAAGCAAGTACATTCCCTCAGCCTCATCAAGCATTTCGAGTCCTAAGGCTGATTTGCGCGTCGTTGAATTCGGCATGAAATTCGCTCGAATAAGGGATCACCCTGAGTCCTTGGTACGTGAGTTCTGGACCTCGCTCATTTCGGAGGCACAAGTCCAAGACTTTTTTGCTACGCTTGTCCACAAGGAAATCACCCGTCGCGAAAAATGCAAGGACGCAGCGGAGACACCGTTGACGGAGACACTGGTGAGCCCGTTTACGCTCACTCTCGAAACCGTTTCGGATGGAGCGGAGAAGAAAACTTAAGAGCGCTTCACATGTAACGTTGATATTCAGACGATACATTGTAGACCAAGAACAAGATCAAGTAGAATAAGTGGTATTCACAAACTGGTGTTTGGGTAAGTAATCGAGTATCTTTACAACTGACGGGTTCTCGCTAGTCCTTAATATTGTTGTAGCACTGTGGTAATGGTTGTGCCGAGAATGGTACTTGGGAGATCTTCTTGAAGAGTATCTATGTGCAATATGTATAACAGTCACAGTATGTTGGACAGCATTAGCAATAGGTCATCTTCTTCTAGTTCTAATGAAGCAAACAGATCGAAGACGGCAAAGCCAGACGAAGTTTTCTTGAGGACAAAGTCGTTGGTCGTCGTCTCTCCAAATCCACTAGTTTTGCAAACTTTGATAAGGCAGGAATGGATGCCGCAGGGGAGCAGGAAGAGAGACAAATTGGGGCCACTGCAGCTGCAGTCGCTTCGGAAGGACAAGAGGCTATGAAACGGATGGAGGTAATCGCTGTGAAGAAGGCCATAGCCGTAGAGGCTTCTGGTGCTCATATCGATCGGGAGGCAGCAGCGGATACTGTGTCCGATCAAGCAATTGACATGCTGCGAGAAGACCAAAAAGTACTAGCGAATTTCCAGAAGCAAACCGGTATCAAAGTTTCGCCTCCACCGACTCTAGCTGCCATGCAGACGGGGAATACCGCAACTAATTCTAGTTCCGGTGAGAAAAATGGAGTTCCGCCTCCATTTGGGGCCACGGCAACAGCGGATACTCCCCTGTTGTCGCATTCTCCTACGAATCTCCCAGTTAAGGCTTCCCCTAATCCATCTCTATTATAAGGATCTCTCAACCGTATGCCTCCCAATAGATACAAGGGAGACAGTGACGCATATTCTTGAGGGATTTCCACAGGGATGGACTGGGGAGAGGTCTAATCCAGTTCCGCCAGTCTTGGCCCTTCCGCCAACGTCTCCAGTGCCTTTTTCCGGGTCCGAGGCGATGGCCCAACCGTACGCGGCGCTCGCGCACGACTATCCTACTTACCCTCACGGCGGCGATATCGCGTGTGGTCTACCCACAATCGACCCGACCCTGGCCTCCACACCCTGGAACCGGGACGATGGATCAAAAGTACTGTTTGAGGGAGAATCGAACTGGAAAAGCGAAGTCCTGCCTCTGTGGCTAGCTAATGTGGATGCAGCTCGGATGCTTTCTTCTTCAAAATCCCTTCACAAACTAAAAAGTGCTTCATCTTCATCCACTACTAAAAAAAGCAATATTAGTAGTACTGCATCTGGAAATAGAAGCACTATTTTGAAAAGAGCTGGAACTGGAGGGGAGACTACTACCACTAGAAAGTCCTTGGTCGAGTTGTTTCTTCGTGGACCCATGACAATCTCCGATGAGCAGGACATTGCGCAGTTTCTGCCTCGGTTTGATAACGCACCGCGGTTTGATAACGCACCGCAAGGTTTGTGGCCACCGCCGGACTACATTTTAAACTACCTCCTGTCACACCTTGGCAAGTCTAAAGATTGGTATGTGGCACTGCATGACGATCCGGATTTTTGGAACGCGTACGCAGAAAAGTACCTGCAGATAGAGGTGAAGGAAACGGTTAGAATTGCGTACATTAAGGCGGGTTTTTTGCACATTGCAGCATCCTCCACCGACCAGCATCCTTGGCCTTTTTTCCTGTAGGAAAGAGGTCAAGGATGATCTGATGGATTCTGAAGAATGCAAGAATGCATCTTAGTGCAAGAACCTCTAAGTAGGAGTCCCTGATCGATCACTTGAGTTCTCCTGAATGGAGTGGCAACCCTCGCATGGTTGCGGCGATGGCAGCCTACGTCTTGTCGGGAGGCGACTTCTCCAAACCGCTGCTACAGCGCATTGATCTCACAGGAGATCGTGACCACGTTGTTGATGACAAGCACTACGATGAGGATGAGAGAAGTCGTGGTATAGATGCGGAGATGACAAGTCGTGACACAGATACGGGGAGAAGTCGAGGTTCAGCTACAGGCAACAGAGATAAAGAAGATGAGCCATCGAGCAGACCTGTTGTTACTGAAGACAAACAATCGGGAAGAAAGGCGGACTCCCATTCGGGTGCTTTGATGTTAAGGCTCTTCTCATCTCATGAACATGATGAAAGCAAGAACAACTTCTCATTTTGATTACTTAAGTCTTTGTCCTGATATAAGTTACTACAGTTAGACTTACTCCCTTACACGTCTGAGATCTCTTTCCTTCTAATCGATGACGACGCTGCTTCTTGGCTGTCTCAAGGATCGATCAAGAGGTATCCGCAGTATCCGAGTGAAGAAATTCTGACATCCTTAGAGCGTCTGGGAAAGAAGCTGCCGAAATGGTTTACTGCGGAAGGTACTGCAGAAAATGCGCCATCTTTCCAATCTCAGGCACTTGAAGTGGTCTCAACAACAACTACAACACCTCCATGGTGGCAAGACCAGAAGGCTCGGAATAAACATTTTTCAGCATTCAGTGTTTGCGTGGAGTACTATGGGCCAGCTGCGATGACGTCAGCTGGTGGTCCTGCGCTCGAGCGTTATGTTCACTGGTTTACCATCTTCGGCGACGACCGAGATCCGGAGGCAGTCGTCTTTGACGGCCGCATTGAGGGAGTACGTGCTGCAGAAGCCACTATGCAGGAAGCCGTTATGCGTGGTTTTTGATTCCGGTAATAAATGTAAAACATGAGAATTACAAGAATCTTTAGCTGAATGAAGATGGATCATGAAGATTCGGATTTCGAATTCGATATCCAGAGCTCTAAAAGACACAAACAAGGAGAAAAGAATGAAGAGGCTAGGACTGCCAGGCAAACGCAAAAAAGGGAGGGAGATGAGCATGAGTCAGAGTCGGATTGGGTGTCGGACTCACAGAGTTTCGCGGAAAAGCGCTTATTGACGGATCAGTCCGACTCCACAAGGGGCAGTCCATCACCTACATTCTCCTACCGCCTTCTACCTCGGAGGCTACTCCCCTGGTTGTTTTCCATGGCCACGGTGCCGCGATCGGCTGCTAGAATGGAGTTTTACGCACATGCGCTGCCGAAATTGCGCGTGCGACCTGAGCTCGATCCGTCAAACAGTCGCGCGTGGTCACCAGAGGAAGCTGATCAGTTCTTTCGTGAAGCATGGAGCCACTATTTCTTAGGCAGAATGCTGTCAATGGAGGATTTGGAATTTGCAGGTGTTGGGGAAGTAACCATACGTGAAATGTGGGAGATCGCCGTGTAAGTGTAATGAAGATTGAAATTCAATTTATAGGCAAGAGTAGTTTCTGGGGGGTTTCTTATAATATAGATACAAAGAAGATGACACTACACTCATTGGATGTCGGAGCGCGTACTGTTACATGTGGATGGGCGGATGACCATATTCTTATCCATACAGTGGTTTCATTTCGCAAGCAGAGATGAAGCGCACTCGAGAGTAGCACTATTATATATTTGTTGAAGGGAAATATGAGTATTCATGACTATGAGTATGTATTCATGTCAACAGATCATGTCTCGAGGGTATGTACTCGAGGACACGTAGATATAGGGAAGACGCAAAGTGTAAGCCTAAGCACTTCCGGAGGTGTGCAGACTAACACAGCACAGACGAGCAATTTTGGAGCATGTATGGTAACGGGATCTTCATACGAATGTATTGTGATTTGATCGGATGGCCATGACTTTATTTCTTCGTAATGGCATCGAAGGATCCGTAGGTGAAATCAAAAGTTTTTAAGAACACCGCTTGCTTACACTATATAATTAGTACAGCATAGGCATAACGAACTGCACTAGAAGAAGGATAAAGATTCGTGTTGAACACGAGGAGCACTCTGAATGAGGAGCAAACGAATGTGATATTTGTACTTTTTATGCGATGCGGTCAACGCTTTTCCGCGCTGCTCGCTCGATAATTGTGAAAACAAGACTTCGATCCTCGACTTTCAACTATTAAACGCTCAGTCATGCTTGTGCTATTGCTTTATATCGCGAAAAAGGTGTAGCCGAAGGTGTACTTGATAAAGTCAAGGCTTTCTCGGTGTTCGTTTTCCTCGTTCTGTCAACTTTATAGATCATGTTTCTGAAAAGATTTGGGACGACGAGAACTTCATACTGTGGAAGTGTCGAAGCTTGTCTGTGTCCACTAAGTCTACGGTCGGTCATCAGCTACAGTTGAAGCTCATCTTCTTGTTTGGGTTGAAGATTTATGAGAGCCACTTCTATCTCCCATGCCATACCAACTGAATTATACCATTTCCATGCGCACCTACAACCGGATACCTCGACGAGTTAGTCGTGCTGGCTAGTTTTTCTAAAGAAAGACGGGTTCTAGTAAAAGAGGGTGCCCCTACTAGACTTATTAGGTCCCGGAAGTTATTGGATCCAGCTAGAATTAGAATGCATTGCTTGTTGCACTAGATTCTGACATGAAGATATTTTGAATACGTATATGACCTGCTCAATTTATAATCTATAAATATGTTATTTATATTTATAATGGACCTGTTCATCCTATTTCCGACAATTGGTGAGAGCTTACTATTGGCGTCAAGAATGAGTTAATCGATTACTAGGAATCATTCAGTATTGGAAATGCTGGAGTCGGTCCATGCAGAAGCCCAACCAACGTTAGTGTGGCCGCGTCAATAAAGGTAGCTAATGTATCCCGGTCTATGTGGTACCGTTGCATACTAGAAGGAAGTAAGCAGGGCTTATTGTCAAAACGAACCTGAGAGGAGCACCTTCCCTCGGTTTTTTTTGAAGATGACAGGCTGAGTGGTCCTGTAGAGGCCGTTGCGATTGGTACATTGACAAGTAGCATTTGAACGGGAGTCTGCTTTTTCACGACACCATTTTTGCTTTGGGAGCTTTCCAGCGATCACAGAGACAATTTTCATGTTCCGGAGGACTGGGGTTGCACGTTATCACAGAAGACCGACCTGAACAGAGTTCGTCTTCGTGCCACGATATCACCCAGAAGACGCACCCGACAACGCAGTCAGACACAGAAACAGGCAAGCCCAGAAGCACAAGGCTTGAGCCGTTGTGGGTGATGGAATCAGAAAGGAAGATGAGTTTTGCCGAAAAAGCGGTCGTTTCGTGCGTAAAAGTCGGAATGGCGCTCGCGGTTGCAGGGTACTTAAAAAATATTGTGAGTCTATCTGCTCATTATTACTAATTATTACAATGGAAATCGAAATTCTTATAGTTTAATATCCTATCAATCTATCATTTTTGTCAATCGATCTATATTTCCGGTTTCGGTCGTTGTCTTCGCATTGAATACACATGCATCCTAACATTTTAGGTATGCGTATCAGCGGCTTTTCCTGAATAGGAAACGTAGCGACCCGCCAGAGGATAAGAATGAAGATAATCAGACCAGCACGAAGCAGGATAATAGTTCAGGAGACGATGCCGCTTCTACTAGAACATCAGCGTCATCCTGTTCTCCCAGTCGTTCATCTTCGTCTTCTTCATCGTCCAGTGTGTATCGAAAAAATTCTACCCCAGCTTCTGGTACTAGTACCGCACTCACACTACCACTTAGCGGCGCCGCCACATCGTCGTTGCCAATCAGCGGGTCATTAGGGGACTTTTCGTCTAGCGGAGGCGCTGCTGGAGGACATTACGTCGATACATCAACATCGTCGAGTAGTAGCAGTAGTTCCTATTTTCCTCTCCTGTCGTCATTCTCGGGCAGCGTGGTCGGAGGAGGTGACGCATCGTCTCCAACGAAAACGCCGTCAAGCGTCAAATCAGCATCAAGAGGGGGCGGAGCATATGGTAGCCAGGAACTTTCGATATCTGAGAGCATGCGGCGATCCATAGCATATGGCCTTGGGGGCAGGAGTAATGTAGTGCCTCCTCCTGGGGGTGGTGGTGGAGGAGGTGAGGTTAACGGTTGTAGTCCGAGTAATCGACCAATGCACCAGCCTTCAGATGGTGGAAAGCCAGATGGCCTTTTTTTCAATCTGCTAGGGCTGTATCAAGATATCCGAAAATGACACCGACTTCGATGGAACATGCGATTCTGCGATTCAGTTGATCTTTGAAGCTGCACTTCGTAAAAGTTACATCGACCTTGAAACTGTTCCCTCTATTTTCGTGTTGATGGATACCTTTCGCCTCACACAGGGATTATATAATGACTTTTTATTAGCATCAAGAATGTGAATGCACTTGTATGCATCAATTTCTCGTCTGCGCCGCGAGTACTCTGGAAAGAGGATGTTCAACTGCATTTTTCAGTGCTATCACCGGGCTTTGATGTTGGAAACAGATCAACAATTTATTCTTGAGATGACGTTTCTTTTGGAGCACGCAGTGGATTCGCTGATATTTTGACGACCTCTTTTTGTTAAAGAAGAAAAGAACTCCGAATAAGAAAAAGAAGCGCGGCTCTGCTTCTGAAGGAGATTTAACTCAGAACGCTGGTCGTACTTTTTCCATGTTCATTTATTTGAGACTGCCGCTTCCCCTACCTAGTTTTATCGATTAAGCTGAGAGAGAGCGCCACATTAACTAGTTTGTGGTTTCCCTCATTTGTTTTTTCCTGTTGTCTGTTAAACGCACTGATGTTTTCTGAGCCCAGACTTCTGGAGCCCTGGCCGCTGCTTCGCACGCCAGAAATCTCTTAATCTTAATCTTAGTCATCTTGATTTACTTATGCTCTGAAAATTGATGTTGCGAGGAGTGTGAACATACTTACATTTTTTCTCCAAGAAGAGCACACCGCCGATTGACACCAGAAGAATGCAGGAACAGGGTGCGACTCCTGGTCTTCGTGGCGGGCCGCGGGGTAGCGCGCCTGCGACCCCAGCAGCGCAAGGTGGATCGGGATTGTCCCTGGTGACGCCACAGAACAATGGAACGCGTGGAGGCGGGAGCAGTGTGGGACCACCGGGAATGCGTCCTTCGGTGCCAGCCCCGCCAAACAGGCATCTGGCGTCCGGTGCGTCGAACATCTATCAACGTCGCGGCGCTGAGCGCGAGCCACCGACGAGTGTAGGAATGCATCCTGGACCGGGAACATTGCAGTTTGGAGGTGAGATATCGGCAGCAGGAGGCAATAGAACGACCGATCAACATCTTCTTGGACCAGCCTCATCTGCAGATGCCACTGGATCGGCATCGTCGGGAGTCATCGGCAACGCACGAGCGACTGCAAGTGGTGCGGCGCGTGGCGGAACGCTGGGGGCAGCGAGCGCCGCGAGCGGCATTCGGCCAACCGGATTCGGAAGCGCCTCCGGTGTTACGTTTGCAGGTGCGCCGCTCCCAGTCGGGCGCACGGCATCTGGAGAAGGCTCCCAAGGACTGACGACTCTTCTTAGCGGAACGGCAACTTCTTCGAATGCTGGAAGTTCTGCGCCAGCAGCTGGAGGCGGCTTGCTCGGTGTAGGAGGGATATCAGCGTTCGGGATGCCTTCATCTTCCGTTCGTTCAGCTGAACAAGCACCAGGCAACATGAATCATGCACAGGTGAATACTAGTGGCGTCGCGGCACCCTCACTTTTTGGCGGAGCACTAGGAGGAGCAACAAGCTCTGCTGGGGTCGTCGGATTCGGGGGTAACCCACCACCTCCTGGTGCTGCGCAGCGGTCACCGGTATTTGCTTATGGGGGGGGAGACCTGCGCACGCCAGGAGGCCTCGGACCGTCACCGATCACAACGAGCGCTAGTTTGCAGCAGCAATTACTGGGGAGCGCGGCTTCGCCGGCCATCCCCCGTCGGGGTGGCCTCGGTCTAGGTGGCGGCCTTTCGGGGTTGCGCGCGGCCGGATCTTTTGGGCGTAATAGTCTTGGCATGCGCCTAAGCTCCGGCAACAATTTCGCGATGGGCATAGCCAACGGCATGAACAATAGGATTTCGGGGGTACGAGAACTAGAAGTTTTTCACCAGGCTGAGGGCTCGGAGGACGCAGACGACCACCTACTAACTGCATTTGCCCCAGGCGGTGACATGATAGACGTGGACCACACTGCAAACAATACAACATCAAATAATGGTACGAGAAGTTCTCTTGCGATAAATCAGCTCCAATTTCAATTACATGCGGAGGATCTTGTTGATATACCATCTTCTGCAGGAGGACCGCGATCGCAGATGATGCCTCTGTCTCCTCCGCCCAAACGGTCACCTATGGCGCCACCTGCAGTAGAGCAGATAGGCGGCAGCTCCTCGTCAACCGCCGGACCGTCGGACATCCTGGCTGGAGGCAGACACTTTCATTCTTCCGCTGACAACGCACCTCCAAAGTTACCTACTTTTGGTCTTGGGCTTGCGGGTAGCAACACTACGGGTGACAGCATCAATCAGAATCACGTCAGAAATGGTCACGCTCATCAAGGTTCTAGCAGAGATCCAATACAGGACGCAACAAGAGAGGCGAGTAGAGGCAACAGAGGAGGAGGAGATTTCTCAGGAGGAGGAGGAGGAAGCGGCTCTTCCGAACACTCACCTGGCGAATCCGATGAGCCAAGAGGAGGGAGCAAAGATGAGCCCATGCTTCAGAGGCTCAGGCAGCGCATACAGACAGCTTTCCGGGCCCATCTGTACCAGACGGGTGCCTTTCTGGCGGATAAAGTCCTCGCTATCAGCAATGACACGGACGACCTCTTTACCTTAGCCGAATGTCTCTACCAAAATCGGGAATATGCCCGGGTGATCTTTCTGCTTACACAGCAGTATCCAGCGCAGCTCCGTGATGAGGAGCGACTAAAGTAATTACAATTAGGTAGTAAATTCGATAAACCTTTTTCCTACCTTTTTATTCAGGAGTCAAATCCATACTTTTTGGAGCGAATCCACATCAGAAGAAGCACATTGGATGAACTGTTTCACAATTCAGGTTAGTTGTATTCTGTGTCTTCACACCGTAGTACATTAACTACAGCTACACCTGCCCGTTTTCACAAGGTTGCTCGTCGTGCAGAGTTATCTCTGTGCGCGGGAGTTCGACGAGGCACTTCGTTTTTTGGACGAGAGCTGCCTTCCTTCAGGCGTAGGCCTCGCGCGCTTTGAGGAGGGTGAGCTGCGCGCCGTTTTTGCGTATCTGAAGGGACGCGTCTTCGAGCATTTCGAAAATCGAGATAGTGCAGTTAACTGCTACAAGCTTGCTGTGCATTACGTTAAGGCAAGGAAAGATTCGTTAATAGCATAGTATTTACGTTAGTACTAAGTACGTAGAGCTAGAAGCACTTAGTATGATAACTATCACAACTTGTAAAGAAGTAATAATAGAATCGGTAGCTGTCTTGAGATGGTGTCGTGTAGAAACTTTGGAGGTGTGTAGAAGCTGCGGAGGTCTCGTCTAACCACGATCCTTATCTACATGAGGCAGTGGAGAAGTTGTTGTCTACCAGCATGCTTTCGCGCGCCGAGGAACAAAGCCTCATCGAGCGCATGGCGATTGATGACGAGGATGCATGGTTGCGAACTCTATATTTAAGACTGGTTTATTATCACTCCGGATGCGGAAATCCGAAGAAACCGCGTATGCTTTAATGAAAAACTGTAACGAAGTAAGCGGTCTGTGTCTGAGTCTAATTCTACTTCTAATATATGCCGCGCGATCCTCCGCTACTGCGGGAGACGATGGGAATTTTTCTGCCGATGCATCTTCGTCGACGGGACTGAAGAACAGACTGTCGCTACAGCCGCTTGAGGATTGCAAGCGCATGTATCCATTAGCCGAGCTTCCACAAGGCTTGCGCGACAATGCTTTTGTTCTAGGTGCAATTGCGGAACGATACTACGCTAGGGTACTACTTTACTACGTCGTGTCAACTTTTTCCTATTTTTGATGGCGTTGCTAATTGACTCTGGGTAGAAAGAGGTGCCATTTGTTTGTCATCGAAGACCAAGACACAATCACATCAAGGCCACGATGAACAACTAACAGATCCGAACCCATGTTAAAGTTGCACTCTTCGACTTCTTGAAACATCAAGGACAACACCTAGAATCCGTCCTATGCAGTGTTGAAAAGAACTAAGTAGTTGTCTGGGCTGAGAAGAAATAGAAGCTGTTTTTGTTTCTTAAAGTAAGTTTTCTACGAGTGAACTACGTCAACATTAATATATATAGTATCCACATGATGTTGACTTCGTTCAGGGGGACTACACGGCGTCCTACTTGGTTTCCAAGAAGATACTGGAACGGGATCCCTATGAATTGGACGCCTTGGGAAGCCACATTGCGTCACTTGTATTGCTTGAAAACAAGACACTGGTTTTTTGCATCGCGCACCAGCTTTTGAAGTTATGAGTTTGAAGATGGAAATGAAAATGTCTAGTTCATCGGTCTATATCATGTATGGACAAGAAGTTCATCACTATCCTTTTACCTGAATGTTGCTAGCAAAGATTTCTTTTTTTTTTCATTTCCTGCCTATCCGAACCATGGCATTTCGTGGTACGCAAGTGGCTGCTACTACTACATGGCACGTCGGTACGAGACGGCGCGTAAATTTTTCTCGAAGGCTACCCTCTTGGAGCACAACTTTGCGCCAGCCTGGGTGGCGTACGGGCATGCGTTCGCTTTTCAAGAGGAAAGTGATCAAGCGCTGACAGCCTACCGCACAGCATCGAGGCTCTTCCCAGGATCGCACTTGCCATGGCTATTTCTGATATGACAACAGGAATTAGTAGTAGACCCAGACGACCTCAACGAGCATCAGCATCTGCATTGCTGATTGCTTTGAAAGTGGGAAATCGCAGTCCCCGTTCGATATGAGAGGAAGTATCTGTAATCATTTTATTTGTAGCCTTCTAACCAAGGGGATGGAATACACGAGAACATCGAATCTTACACTTGCGGAACAGTCGTTGCACATGGGACGTAGCATCGCGCCTAACGATCCGAATCTGTATAACGAGCTCGGCGTCTGCGCCTTCGAAAAAGGCGAATTCGAGTACTGCTGTTTAGACTCTAAATAAAGGACAAGGAGTCTGAAGATGCTTAGCCTTCGAACTAAAAATGGTTTAAATGCATAGATAGTATACATCGATAGATGGGCTCATCTTGTGCGAATAGTAACCTCAACCACGACGTCGAGGAGGCGTCCTCTCTGTGATTTACCTCTTCGCTCTCGGCAACTTAATAAATCACTTAGATCTAGGAAGTCTCATCATCATGATTGCCCTGTTGTCCTCCACAACCAGGAACGCGGTCGGCTTCTTCGATAAGGCGCACCGACTAAAGGAGGACGACGACGCATTCCTCGAAAATCTGGGACATGCCTACTTGAAATGCAACGAGTATTCCTTAGTTATAGCTTTCTTTTTGTTTTTACCCGCTTCTACTACTGATTTTCGATAGGGTGCTGCAGTCCATCGCGTGGGCGCTGCAGCGGCTGAGGAGAACATAGGCTGCGTGCCGCTTTGGGGTTGGCTTGCTCGTACTTGCGAGGCAGCCACTCTTTTGGCGACGTGGGGGCGGGCGCTCCCATTCAGTTAGAACAGGTCGCCATCTTGCTTGCAACTTGCCGGGGGGGGCGCTCTTCTCGTTAGCGGGTCTGCGCCTATTTCGTTTAGGGTTTCGGGCTGTGATGGAGAAAGGTGCGGGAGCCTCTAGCCGAGTCCGATCGCATCGACTTCGGCGCTGGTTGGTGTGGGGGCGTAAAACTTGCTGGCGGGCCATATGTATGACCAGGGGCGCGGAGTACGCTGCTGCGGCTTAAGCTCGTGCGGGCTCGCGGACATTGGTCACCGCGCGCGGGCCCGTGCGCCTGCTGGGGGGGTCTTGTACTCAGCCGGATGGATGGACACACACGCGCGTGACCTGTTTGATCCGATGCCTGTGAAGGAAATCGCCCAGCACTTAAGCCAATGAATCCCCAAAGCATGCGCGCGGCTGGCGACTACGTACCTTGGTGGAAAGACCGCGGGCGGGGCACAGCCATGAGCCCGCCACAAGCATGCCCGGGCCCAGAATCTCGGCTGTCGCATGCGGAAGCGTTTGCACAGCAAACAGCTGCAGAGTACAGCGCCGAAGCTTTCCAGACAGCATGCATCTTGGCAGGGTGGGGTGGGCTATCTGGCCAGCTCTATGGGGAGCCTGACAAAGGTCACGAAGCGCGAAGGATGGAAAGATATCAGCGAGAAGTGGGCAACTCTCTCAGCGGGGCTTTAGAAGAGACGCAGAGAGCGAACTCGCCGCATTGGTATGACCGATATGAGCACGCCGGTGAGGCGATTGGGGGCTTCGTGTATGGGCTTGGGGCTGACCAAAAAACTCGCCCCGGCCAATTATTATGAGGCTTATAGCTAACTTGTGGACACACAGAAGTAACGCGCGGCGAAAAGGACCCCAGAGGAGCGGGCGGTGGGTCGCTTTGGTTAGGTACCTCTTAGAATGGACAAGGCTGCGCGCCGTGTTTCTTTGCAGCTGGCTGCTGGTGCAGGGTGAAGGTGATGGTGCTGCTCGTGTTGTGGGTCGGAGTATCCTCGGCCACGGCGGCGCTTCTGGTGTGGCCCTTCTGTCTTTTCCCTCTGATCTGTGTGTGCTTGTGTACACTGGTGGGACGCCCTCGCCGTGTCTTCCTTGCCAGCGTTGCCTCACCGGTGTGTGGCTGGGGTTAAGGGGGGTATTAACAAAAAAGGACAAACTTAGTCTACGACTTTATGTCATCCCCGATGAGGGGCGGACGCAGTTCCCTCACAGCGAGGGCACACGCGGGCCGGCCGTGTCTCTCCGTTGGATCCGGGCACTTGCTTTGGCGAGGGGGTGCGTGGCGTCTTCTCGTTTGGAGTGATGTCTGTTGCGGCGCAGAGTGGGCTTGTGTTATGACATTCACCCATCGCGCTGAGTGTGGCTCCGTAGGGGGGCACTCGGTTCCCGTTCCCGGCCCCCCTTCATTCTCGCTATCGTGCGTTGATGTGCACGCCAAATACTCGGTTGTGGGACACGCAGTATCTAAATCTATGAAGAAATTCAATCTTCAGGCATTCGCTTGCGCTCGTTGTGTTTGAGAAGGCGCTCTCGGCGTCCGACGGAGCGTCCGCGACCGCGCATTGTGCTGTTGCATTCGTGCGGCACCTTTCCGGTGATCTGGATAGTGCGATCGAGAACTACCATCGTGCGCTCAGTTTACAGTCCGACGACCCCTTCGCACAAGAAATGTTGAACTATGCCGTTCAGGAAGCTGCTGGAATGGAGGTGGAGTAGCAGTTCGGGAAGTTCTGAAAAGTGTGATCAATACTTAAAGAGTTTGAGTTTAGTCATAACAAGTTATGATCCATTCTCTTTTTCATCATACGCGGCATGCGCAATCGTAAATCACTTCTTGGATGAAGCATCAAAACCGCATGAAAGCCTGAAGTGAAGCCTTATTATCGAATAGATACTTACTTTTGCCGAAGATGAATACGCATGCGCATCATCTGCAAGTATTTCGATGAAATTGGAAATGGAGGAAAGTAGTAGGCACGACTGATTTGTCACCAAGAGAATGCTCACGCACTAGTTCATTTAGGTACAAGTACAACGCTTATCGGTACTCTAAGATGTCGCCTCAAAAGAGAGTCTGTGAATCAATCTAATTCGGCTTTCGAGTTGTCGACGTCTTCTGTCGTTATTCGCGCGTAGTTTCGGTTGATGCTTGTAGTCTTGCATCGTTCTCACTTGTTATCTCAATCTTGAAAACTCGGTCACAGACTTCGTGTTGAATCAATGATTCACAGTTTCAGCAGCGGCTTTCAAAGTCCATGATCACGACCGGTCTTTGGTGTACAAGAACCCTTTCCCACGATCTAGTGTTGTACTATCTAAACAAAACTAGGTAACTGAGTAGAATTTTACCACATACTTACTACTTCCAAGATTTATTTTACATTCACCTGCGCGCACGCGCCCCTCGTGCGCCCTTCGACATAAACGTCGCATCCATTCGCTCCGCAGGAACTGCCCTATCGATTTTTATATCTATCGACTTCCTGTGACTGTGTTGCATTTGTTGGCCCTTCCGGTTAGGTTGGAATATCGATTTTCGGGTAAGTCTGTCAGAATCTATCAACAGGGAATAAGAATAAGCGTAAAAGTAGAGTCAGGTAATCTTTTTGAACATGTTCTTCCTGGAAATAGGTAGCTTAGCTATCAAGACAAAGATGAAGCTTCTTCCTCTTTTTTTGCTTGTAGCTGGACGCACGCATTCGCATTCCGTGTCCCTGGAGCAACTTGCATCAGGCCGCTCCCATCCTGCGTCGTCAGCCTCAACGCGCCAGCAGCTTTCTTCGCAAAGCGCGCATAGATCGTCACCAGATGCAGGAGAGGGTGATAGAAGAAGAAACGGAGAACAAACGGAAAGAAGAGATGACCACCGTCGTGTTCGTGCTTCTTTCGAAGAACAAGATGCAGCAGACGAGGATGTCCTATCGGAACAGCATCAGCAGCGCGTGGGAAGAAGAAAAATCGTTACGAAAACAGACGGACAGCATGGCGCCGTATGGCGGGTAGCGTCTCGTGATGGCAATTTTGAGGAGATAACTGATCTAGACGGTGATGGAGAGCAAGATGATGAAGATGTTGAAACCTCTGCTGATTACTTCATTTCTGGTTCATCTGTGGAAGGAGACAAATCGAGCAACAACTTCCTCGACGCTTCTTCTGGTCAGAAGAGTCGCGGAAAGGAAGCTACAGTCGATGAAGGTATTACAACTACTACAACACTAGCTGACAGCGACGATATCCTGGTAAAAACGGACGCAGATAGCACGACCAGCGGCAGCACTCTCGGATTGAATGATGAGGATCTCTATTTTGGAGATGTTGTAGTTGGGCTCGATGACGATGCTAGCGAGATCACACCAGTGTCTGCAACACAAGAGAAAACGCGACGCTACGTTAGGCGAGAGCCACGCAAGGATGGCAGCAACTATGAGGCGCTGAGACAAGCTGTTATTGATCATGAACGCATTGGGTCTACTGCCTATTGGGTACTAATATGGATGATTATCATCTCTGAAAAAGAACGCTGTTGAATTTCAAGGTTACACGTACACCAGAGGTTGAATGATGAAAGAAAAGTTAATGATGAATAAGAGACACAGAGCTTCTTGCTATAGTACGAAGGTTTCTTGATCTCGATGTTTTTCTCCACATGTATCACAGGAGCAGTATCTGTATCATGCGCAAGGAGCCGCGTTGGTACTTTTGGGCATGCTGGTCGGTCTCTTGTGCTCGCGAACACACGCGTCGTGTGGTCTGGAGGGTCTTGCCGAAAGTTTCGCTGTCCGTGCGCGGAAGGAAAAGTAATATTTCTAGAATTTCACATTCACTATTTCATTTCGGAGAAGTGCATCATACCATCCGCAGTAGTAGCGCGCGGCTCGTAGTGTTGTCACTTATGGAATTAAGGACATCACGATCGCAGTCGCTCAGTTTTCATTTTCTTCAGGTTTAACAACGACGGGGGCGGTTTCCCAAAATCCCCACGTGAGAAGCAGTTTTTTTTGCACAATGGACCGGCACTTTCGCCGATAAGTCGCAGTAGCAGTCCCGGTTTAGAAGATGTGTACGACTGCGACACGCTTTCTCTCTGTAGCGCAGAGGAGGGAACCCTTTGCTCCAGCAGAGTTCGAGGAATCCTGGAGGACAGTCCCTCGATGGTAGGACACAGCTCTCTCGTAATTCCGGAGCACTCAGTTGTTACAAATACAACGTCTGCAGGAGCAATTGCAGGAGCAACACTAGCACTACAACCAGCTTTCCCCGAACAACAGTCGGTTCTTCCTGTTGCCTCGACTGGCGGCTTGGTGGAAATGCAAGACCAATCGGGACTCGTTCACGACGTGGTAAGCAGAGCAACGGAACACCGGGAAAACTGGTGTACATCAACAACAACAGCTACTTCGAACAGGACGTCTTGTTTGGCTAGCAGTGGTAAAAATGGAACAGGAGTACGTGGCAAGAGCATGCTTCTTCCGCCGTTGTGTCAAAGGGCAGTGCTATGCAAGTCCTGCGTGGTCGGAACAAATAATGCCAGTACCACATCTTCTACTTCTAGCAGCGCTACTAGGATGCGAACAAAAACCCATCAAAATCAGATACAGATCAATGATTATGGCACGAGAAGTAGTAATCCAGCTAACAAGTCCAATATCCGAGGAAATGGTGAAGAAGCCAGTAACGGAATTGACGATGTAAGCGTGGCCGCAAGCGAGGTTTCGACGGCAAGCAGCTGGAAGAGTCATCAAGTTGTAGGATATCATACGACCAATAAATCTGGCAACTACAACAACATCTACAGCATGAGCAAGAAGAGTGCTTCACCTTCGCCAGACTCAGAAGTAGGGTCCTGCCCCAAGGACGTAGAAGATCAACAAGAGAGTCGCGTTGACAGCTACATAGAAGACGCGGTCGCGCAACTGCTAGCGTCACCCGAATTTCCGATAGAGCATACTGATACCGCTGAAGCTCATAATGAGACGGCTTGGGAGGATCTTCGAGATTGTGGAAGGACTTCTGCTGCTAGTGAAGGACACGCGGGACATCATAAAGAGGGACCACACGATCAAGTAGAGCGTGTAGAGAGTCGCCTTCATCTTCAACATTTTGATGCTTCATCTGAAAAGCAGCATGACGCTCCCCAGCATCAGAATAGTAGTACTCCTCAGAATAATGATGAACTAAACGAAGATAACTACGAAGACGAGCTGGAAAGTATTCTGTTGAACAGTGCCTACTCACCGGACAGCGACAGCGACCTAGATCTATCCATTGATGACGATGAAACCGAGGAACGTCGTTGGTTGCCTGGAGGAGGTGCCTGGTTCGCGGAAATGAGGGTGGAAGAATGATGGAAGAGGGAGAAATATGCGGTAGCGGTGCGACAGAATCACAGACAGATAGATTCAGATCTTTTCAGAGGTTGAGAGTATCGTTTCTTTGTTTTTTTTGCGTGTATTCTTTTCGATTGTCATGCAAGAATGGTCATATTTTCGCAAGAAATCTAAACTTCAATATTCCGTATGCGCAAAGGACATCAAAACTAGTCGTTCCTCCTCTTTCGTGAGTGTACAGCCTAGTAGAAAATTAGAAAAAATCCCGACAGAACTCCAAAATGTTCTAGTGCTCTTGTAGAAGCAAATGTAGTGACCCACAAAACAAAGCAGTATCACTCATCAAATAGAAATATAGAGACCATCGTCGTTGTGCAGTAGTTTTCTGTCATTTTTCAGTTTCTCTTTTTCATTAATTTTTCATTGTTTACATCAAAGAAATAATGTCATGTTAACGGTGCTTGCTCTTAGATTCAACATAATGATGTCCCCCCTGCAACAGAGCTTTTAGAAGTATGAAAATATGTTCGCAGTATGTTAGTTCTGAAGTTGTTTTGAGTTTGTTGCATATGATTGTTGAAGTAGAGGTGTCTAACTCTAATTCTGAGAATATCTTTCGGTAATCAATGTTGTTGAAAAGAACTCTATTTCTATTCACGTAAACACTGCACTAGGAAGTGCTGGTACTTGTGGAAAGGAAATGCATTTGAATGAACGCTCAGTTGAAAAACGTGGAGAAGGATTTCATCTGATGTCGGCAGAAAGGGATTTTCTCAAGCATCAGTCTAATTGTTGATGAACGTGAACCTGAGGCTTATAAATATGATGGCATCGTGCTATTCTTCGATGATGAGCTTGAGCCAAATGAGGTCGCGCGCCTGTGATGCGCATGGTGGCGCTTCCCATTCTGGTAGAGACATCTCACATCTCGAATTGTTTCCGAAACTAAAAATTTTTTTGAGAAATCGCAGAGTCTTCGTGTTTCTGCGTGTCTTTCTTCTGTTCCCTTACCTTGCTCAACGTGAGCTGGAAAATCCTCTTGAAGTCATTTTTGTGTGCAGGTTAAGAGACGTGAATGACAAGTGACTTGCTTTCGGTGGTGTAACACAAGTGAAATATTTCATAGAACTTCTTCGGTATGATCTACCGTATCTGCTTTGTTTGCGTTGAAGGTTTATCATGATTTGCTGGATGATACCAAACAAAACAAAAGACGTGCATAATAAGATTAAAAATCACTGGAAGTTTATTTGTACTAGTAGAACAAGTCACTTTTATGCTGCTCTTTCAAGAACGCGTTTTCCATCAGTCAAGAACTAGAATATCAACAATAAAGATCATGTCACCTCCTTTCCTTGCTTTCAAGAACCTAATCTGCAGTCTGCTGCTGCAGGTTTTTTTCGCTTCAGCGAGCGCAGTCTCTTTAGATTATAGCGCTGAAAATCCTGTGGAGAGTTCGGGTCTTGTTTCTCCGTCGCCTCGTCAAGGAGATGATCTGGTCTCTGCTGAAATCTTACACGACCATGAGACGAGTACGGGGGTAAGCGGTGGCTTAACGAACCCTGAAGATTTGCTTCGTGATCCGATGAAATTTGGAGATCGACGAAGAAATTGGCCGCCCTTTTTGTGGGGCCGCTTGAGTCCAGTGTTGACGAAGTACTCCGATAAGCACAGTTATATCTTCACAGAAGAAGAGGAGGAAGAACAAGATGGACGAGATCACGCTCATGAGCTTACAGATGAAAAACTACACGAAGCACTAGCACAAGGAAAAACGGAAAAGAGCAGGCTCCCAGACGAGGTGAAACAAGGAGGAAAAGAAGAAAATGTAGGGAAAGCGGCCCACCGTCGCCTACAGGATCTAGAGAAGATGCACATCAAACTCTTGCTACAAGATCCAAAGCGTCAACTAAAGAATTTGGACCAGACGCATATCAGTTTTATGCTGGAAGACAAAACTCATCGACTGGACGTAAAGAACAGGAATATAGTTATACTAGAAGAAGCGGGTGAGATTTTGCCGAGATCTTTGTCATCCGATATCTTTTCCGCCTTGAGTCTTCAGGCAACTACTTCCAAGTCGCGCACTACTCCTGGAAAAAAGAAAGCTGACCTCCTTACAAGTACAACATCCGAGCGGTTGAGCAGTATCGTGGAACGAGGAAGGAAGGTCCCGATTCATCTTTCTGGTGGTGATGATAGCGGATGGATTTGGTCTGAGGATAATGAAAAAGCACCAAGAGGCGGCGATCTTAGTGAAGGCGGCACTAGTGCGAGGAAGTCTTCAACAAAAACAATTTGTAGTTCAGAAGCCCAAGAAGCTCTTCAAGGGCTCCAAGCATCAAGTGAGCCCCCGTTTATTCCTGTTCAACAAGACTCCGGGGGAGCGTCGTCATCTTGGGACAGGCCCAGAACTGTCGTGCCTGCTAGGAAGGAGCTTTGGAGTGACATGCTTGATGAAGAGGAAAAACAGAGAAGCGAGCACGCAGACTATGTGATGGAAAACGGTATTCTTGTGCCCCTGCACGAGAACGAGGATGAGGTGGAGGAAGTTGTAGAACACCCAGAAATGGAAGTAACTACTTTTTTAGACCAGCATCTTCAAATTGTACACGTAGTAGATGACCTCAAGAAGGAGACTCCACTACTCTCAGAGGGTCGTGGAAGAAATGGGCGAACACCTCGGAGTGGTCGACGATATATCCACTTTCAAAAAGATCAACCTCCGTGGAGTCCTGAAAGTCCTCGAAACTATAAAGATTCATCCGCGGACGAGGTTGAGAAGAACAATCACTTTTACAACGTACTTCTACCTGGACTTAGATTTAGAACTAGAGCGACTACAACGACTTCGGCTCTCCCTGAGGCTATTAGCGACCTCAAGAAGGAGACTCCACTACTCTCAGAGGGTCGTGGAAGAAAGGGGCGAACACCTCGGAGTGGTCGACGATATATCCGCTTTCAAAAAGATCAACCTCCGTGGAGTCCTGAAAGTCTTCGAAACTATACAGATTCATCCGCGGACGAGGTTGAGAAGAACAATCACTTTTACAGCGTACTTCTACCTGGACTTAGATTTAGAACTAGAGCGACTACAACGACTTCGGCTCTCCCTGAGGCTATTAGCGACCTCAAGAAGGAGACTCCACTACTCTCAGAGGGTCGTGGAAGAAAGGGGCGAACACCTCGGAGTGGTCGACGATATATCCGCTTTCAAAAAGATCAACCTCCGTGGAGTCCTGAAAGTCATCGAAACTATAAAGATTCATCCGCGGACGAGGTTGAGAAGAACAATCACTTTTACAACGTACTTCTACCTGGACTTAGATTTAGAACTAGAGCGACTACAACGACTTCGGCTCTCCCTGAGGCTATTAGCCCTAACGACCCTTTATTCCAAAGAAGTGCCCTCGGCAGTGGTGCTAAACCTCCTGGTCGTGGTTCGTCTTCCGTGTTCAATACATATACAAACAATTTTGTGCTGTCAAATGGGGGTGTGCCACCTGTGCCTACCTACTACAGTTGTGATACATCACATCAAAGAGAACCTGTTTCGCCAACATCAATCAGTGCCCACTACAGCAGCGACGCATCACTCAGAATGTTTCCGATAGTGATGTACAACTGCACGGGACAGGCGATGACAACGCAGCCGATGACAATGCCTCCAAGTGCTGGACAAACACCAGAGTCGTCGTCGATGCCAGACCAGCAATGGCAGCCGGCGATGTCAAATTTTCAACCGATGGCAATGCAACAGATGTCAATGCAACCGATGGAGACAGCACATTATTATGGGCAGCCTACAGGAATGCAGACAACCGATGAAGACAGCACAATATTATGGGCAGCCTACAGGAATGCAGAATGGGCAGCTAAGTAATAGTGCTACAAGAGGAAGAGCTCGGAGCTTACCGACAATTTGCGCCGTTACTGCTAAGGGGTGGGTAAGCCTTGACGCAAAGAGTTCTTGCATGTTCCTCTTCCTTTGTGATAAATCGACTCCTGGTTTTTGTGTACCTTGATAAACATAATGAGTAGTAGTACTTTGAAAAAACTTACAATGATACATAGTGATCGCGTTGACGTTCTTATAGTTATTAAAAACGTAAAAGATTGTTTCTTTATTTATCGACATATCAACCAAGAAGTGCCAACAGAGTTCTGAGTGTCTGTTCTTTTCTAAAATAAAAAAGCTGTACTAGGCAGACGGAACGAACAACAGTGGGTGGAGATGCGAGAATATGCTCAATGAAGCCACCGGAGGGCGCGGAAACTAGTTTAGTTGGCAGATCTGCAATACGTTGTAGACGATGCTTGAAATACAAACTTGAATTCGATCGGCAACATGACAGCAATCTGAAGCTCATGAGGAGAGTTCACATGATGAGGAGGCATGAAGCAAAATGCTCAAAGAAGAAAGTCTCCACAAAATATAAGTAGAAGGGTGGGAAAGAGCCTGGGTAGTATGCTCAAAATTAAACAAACAAGTCAAACAATTCAACACACTAAGAAGCAATCACTCCTCCCAAATATACAAATAATTCCCTTCCCAAAACAAATGCTAGACATACCCCTGGACTGGGTTTACTACTACTACTACTACTACTAGACTGAGACTTTCTAAAAAGATATTCTTTCGTCTCAGAGGGCGGCGAATGATGATCGCAGTACTGAATGTCGCAGTACTGCACATATTAGTTTGTGAGAAGTTATCAGATCTATGTATAGATAATCTAATCATAAAAAATTGCAGCAAACAGTAGAGTGATCAAAGCTGGCTCCGAGCCGATCTTTGTCTGTCATTATTTTCCATTTCTAGTGGGTGTGGGGTAGCAGTAGCACTCGTTTGCGATCAGTGAAAGACGTCTGAGGTGGTCTCATAGAAAGCAAAGGCAGGGTCTCAACTACCACACCCACATTAACATCAGATGAAGAGCAGATCAACATAGAAGTCAGCATTTCGCGTTATCATTAAGGGCGTTATGTGCAGAAATAGTTAGTTCAAGTTTTGTGAGTGGTTCGAAAGAAGGTTGAATTATGTCTGATGATGTTTATTTTCTGAATCTGACGGAAGAACACAGTGGCATGACGATTATATTTTCTTTTTGGTTTTGCGTAGAACTCGTCTTCGCTCCCAGTGGCATGACGATTATATTTTCCTTTTAAGTAGTACGTCTACGGAGAACTCGCCTTCGCGTTCGCTCCCAGACTAGCTGTGTAGAATGATCAGGTGCGTAAGTAATCATGCGTGCTACGAACAGCACTATCATTCAGGGGCATACACGTGACATATATTGATAGGTGAAAAGGCCATGACCAGAACCATTTTGATTTTCTCTACAATTTTTTATGAGTTTCTTCGAGCAAGACGTGCTCTTGTTGTTTCTTGATATCATTCCGAGCCGAATAATACGTTCTTTTTGTGGAGCAGTTCTACGGTTTGATTGCAGCGCGGTGTACTTGTGCGTGCTATTATTTTTGAATAATACAACTTTTTTGGCAGCTGGAACCGCCGAGGTACTAGAGCCTGTCTGGGGCCTCGTATCCTGGTCTCATAAAAGCAGCGCGGCGAAATGTAAAGGGTGCGTCTCTTTTAAAAGAAGGTCTCAGTATCAGATGAATTTGTGGGCAGACTTTCGAAAAAGTGATGTGCTCCATAAAAAATCAGATCCATGATGTAATCAATGTAAACGGTCTGTCAATCCAAAATCCGACACGTTCTGGTCTGCGAATCCAACTGCAGATCTTCTAATCAAAGCCTGTGAAATTATCCAGAAATTCAGATTGACATTGACATTAAGAATTGTATCACGAGAGATAGTTCATTAAAAAAATCATGATTGCATGATGATCAGATGATCCAGTAGATCTTTAAGTTTTCAGTGCCTTTTTTAATACGCTTTTTATTCATGCCTGTTCACTTGATCAGCTTTCTGAAGCCAACATACTTTGATTACCACATGTACATATTGATATTGAAAATGCTGGGTCACTTACATTGACGAGAGGAGACTAAGATGTAGATGATCAGACAAAATTAATATTATTAGATCCTAACAGTAACAACTTGGGTCCAAATGAAATGAATAATTTTACTTTATGTGAGTTTCCTGTTTCCAAATCCACACCAAGTACATGATGATTATCTCATCATTTCTGTGCAGGGTGGCCTTGATTGGCGATTGAGCTGCATTTTTCTAGCATAGTCAAAAGTTTCATATTTGCTTTTGCAACTAGGTTTTCATTTGCGGATACATATTGTTCATGTATCGCTAGGTAGAATGAAAAATATTAATGTTTTTTATCCTCTTGTTGGTGCAATGGTGCAAGAACATTCTTAAACGACTAGTATGAATTTGGATCGCCTTAGCGTTCGTAACCTTACCTTGTGGTTTAGTGGGAAACAAGACGAGGAAGAGAATAGATTACCAACACATCTTCAATTTGAACCTCAAGCTCAAGAACCTCCTTCTTCTTCTTCCAGTTGTAGGCAAGAACAAGATAGAAGGACTTCGAATTATCCCTCAATTCCACCACTCGAACAAGAGGAACAACAAGAGCCCGAAGGAGCAGTACATCTAGATACAGAGGACGGAATTGTAGATGTAGAAGAACAAGAGAAAGTGAAAGATAATTTTGAACGTACTGCTGGTGTAGAACAAGAACAAGAACAATTAGGAAAAGAAGTTGTTGTACTAGGGGTTTCCTCGGGCGTTTCGTCCCTTGTCGTCCCTTGCGCTGAAGGAGACCACGTCCCGCCGTCTTCCTCGAAGAACTTCCTTGGGGGCCTTCTCACTGGTGCGCGAGACGTTGTCTCCAACGCCGGGGCGCGCTTGAGTGCTGGCCGGTGGTCTTTGCGAAGCGATCGGGAGGTTCTCGTCTCAGCAGGAACACCATCGGGTCTTCCTGTCGTGCAGCAGCGTCGCGCGCGACCTACAATCGACACCACGGTTGCCGAGGAGGCGCGCAAGAGATTGTCGCTCTCTTCGTCGGCCGCCAGCGAAAACCTGGCTCCTTTTCTTGAGAGAAGCCCAACTTTTGGAGTAGGAGTTGCGTCCACCAACCTTGGGGAAGAAGAAATACTACAGGACTCGTCTTGGTCTACGGAGAGCCGCGTGAGTCTCGCTGCACTACGTCTTTCACAGCAATATTCGAACTTCCGTACGACCGCACCTGAGAATCTCGAAGCAATTAGCCGTCGAGGGTCGATCGCGACTACAGTGCAGCTGGAGCACTTCCATGCGCAGCGCAATTCGATAGACAGGCTTGTCTCCACACCTCGGGGCAGACTCAGCACGACCAGTTGCACCTCCGCAGGGTTCCTAGAGGATACCAGACCGCGGAAGGACAGCAAGGCACAAGCTTCAGCGGACAGCCACATCGACGCGACACCTCATAATTGTGTAGAAGATTTCCTTGCGTCGAGCAGTGAGGAAACGACGATCACCCCAGACAACATCTCAGTACAACAACCAGCTTCGAATTTGGTTGTGGGCAACTACGAGCTCCAACAAATCTCTCGTAGACGTCTTGCTCTTCCTCTAGTACATTTCGGGGAACAAGAGAGCACACCACCAAAGGAACAGAAACAGCTTCAAACTGAAGAAGTACTCCCGTCCACGACCGCCACAATCGAAGAACCCAAACAAAAAGCCCTTAGTAATCAAGTAAAATCTGAAGCCGAAGCAGCTAAACAAGTAGAAGATATTAAAATGTTTGGAGGTTTTGGATCTAACCTAGTGCCTCAGGAGGAGGTGACCGAAGTGCCGGGATGGCAGGCGAGCACGCACCTTCCCGTACTTGGGACCTCAACAGAACCGACCTCGGAGCCAGTTCTCTCGCTTAGATGTAAGCTGTACAAGCATGCCGCTGATGATCAGTCTTGGAGAGACAACGGGGTTGGCGAAGGACGCATCTTCTGCGAGAAGGGTGCGGATGGTCACTACACCTCATTCTTCCAGATGTTTCAGCAAACAACGGAGAAATCGATTCTGAACCTGCAGCTCTTCCCGACGATGTGTATAATTGTTTTTTCAATTTACTCCTACTCAATATAGCATCTTATAGTACTACCCTGACTGTTTTTATATTTATTCACTACGACTTATACACTGTCTGGCGTTTTTGTTTATAGTTGCTTTAATTTTTGGAAAATGATTACCGTAATACAATCGAAATCTGTGGCTCTTTTGCTTTCTTAAGCAATTTGATACAACAAATTTCTTACCATATTTCAGTTGTATCGAAGAACGAGAACAATCCGAAGACTGCTGTATTTGCCGGAATCACAGCAACGGGTGAAGAGAAGGTATGTCTGAAATTCAAGACGGAGGAACTAGCAGAGCAATTCAGGGACTGCTTTGATCGCTACAAGGATGCAGCAAACGCAGGCCTCAAATACACGGATGCTGTTGGAACAGCAGAGGCCAGTGATAGCGACTACGCCTCTGTTCTCGGTGGCGTTTCAAAGGAGGTACTTGCTTATATTTAGAGTTTAGTAGTAGAGGTAAACTAGTTTTATGAACTGCAACTGACGAGTCATCATTTCCATTCGCAAGTCATTCTTCATATCTTTGGCACTCAAGAAGATGAACGTTTGAAGAAATATGAAAGTGAGGGAACTACACCAGTATAGTCAGCCGCGGCTCAAGCCCATCTTCTTTCAGATTCCTCCACTCTAATTTTTTTCAGGCAACTGCAACAGCACCAGAGGATGAGAAGGAAACGAGCAGCGGCGACACTTCTCCCACCGTGGATCCATCGACATCTGCGCCTAATGCCTCTCCGTTTGCCGGGTTGTTCTCCAACGCGCCTCCAAGTGGCGGCGGACTCTTTTCGAATTCCACTTCGACAAACGGCGGCTTGAGTGGTCTCTTTGGCGGAGGAGCCACTACCAGCACAACGACCTCGTCTTCGGCCACGACGACCTCTGCAGCAGAGGCCGACGCGGCTGCGAGGGGAGCGCTGACGGGCGCGGCTAGGGCCGCCTTCATCGAAAACGCACAGAAGACAGCGACCGCTGCACGCACGCGGGACGTCGAGCTCGTGGAGGATAAAGAGGAAGTATGGCACGTGCCGGGATGGCGCCCGGACGATGCCAAGGTGCTGGAGACAAAAACCGACCTGCAGACGGGCCAAGAGGCTGAAACAACGTTGTTCACTCATCGCAGTAAGCTCTTTCGTTTTCGAGACGGGGACTGGAAGGAGAGAGGCTTAGGGGACTGCTTTCTGCTCGCCAAGCCTCTTGCGGAAGCTGCAGGCGTGGGTGTCAAACCGGGTGCCGCTTACGAAACGCGCTTTTTGATGCGACAGGAGAAGACAGGCAAGGTGAAAGGTAACTCATTGCTCGTTGACATGGAGGGCTGCTGCAACATCGCATACCAGCTCGCCAGCAAAAAAGTGGTGCAATGGTCGGCTCAGGACTGCTCCGAGGAGGACCCAGAGGCGACGACCTTTGGACTGCGCTTTGGCCAGGAGGCCACTGCGGCCAAGTTCAAGGAAATTTTCGCCAAGTGCCGCGGCGGACTCACAGAGGCCGAGTTCGCTGAGCTCAAAGCCGAAGCCGACGATGCGGACGAAAACAAGGGTGGAGACGGCGCAGACCAGAGTACTAAGGCAGCAGCTCCGAGCACCTTCGCAGCTGGAGATGATGCCTCCAAACAGAACAAGGCAGTGGCAGGCGACGACAAAAGCGCAGCGACACCAGCGCTTAGGACAGAGGGTTCCGCGGTAGAGCCAAGGACCGAAGTTTCCACAGGAGCAGTCGAGACCGCAGAAGTGGAGTCTGACGCGGCATCCACTGTCGACACTGCACGTCAGAGCAAGGAAAACACGGACGGCGCAAAAGTTGATTGCAAAATCGCCGCTCTCGTGAGCCAGGAGAGCCTGAATTTCAACTGCCCCAACAATGCGGTGCCAGCTGCCAGTGTCGATATGCCCATCGGCGGCCCAACACGCTTCGACGCTGCTCCAGAGGCGAACGGCTCGTCGGGTGGCGGACTCTTCGGAGGTGGAAGCACCCAAGGCAACGGCGGCGGACTATTCGGCGGGGCCACATCCGGAAACGGCGGAAGCGGCGGCCTTTTCGGTGGTGGCGGCAGCCTGTTTGGCGGCGGTTCCGCAGCAGCGCCGACGCAAGGCGGGCTCTTCGGCGGAGGCGGCTTTGGCGCGCTCGCTGCCGCAGCCCCTGCTCCTGCCGTACCTGCGGGAGGCGCAGCGTTGCCGTCCAATAGTATTTTCAAGGACTCGGCTAGCCGCGACGCCTTCATTAAGAACGCGGAGAAGACGGCGAACGCTGAGAAGGCTGAGAAGATCGAGACCGTACAAGAGGAGGAGGTGACGCACGTTCCAGGCTGGGAAGCCACAACTAAGCTGCAAGTCAAGGACGTGACCGACGCGCCGAAAATCGAGTGGCTCTACAAGGGCCGCGCCAAGTTGTTCCGATTCAAGGACAACGAGTGGAAACAGCGCGCTATCGGAGAACTGAAGATCCGTTTCGACGACGAGTGCGGCGAGTACATCGTGAGCGTTAACCAGGACAAGACGGGCAAGATCAAGGCCTGCTTTCCGATCCAGAACGAACCTAATGTGTGCGACGCGAAGTTCCAAGATCCGAATGCGAAGAAAACGATCATGTTCATCTGCTCCGACTCCTCCGATGAAGACGATTTGGGGGCTCAGAACTTTGCTCTCAAATTCGGCGATGAGGCAAAGTGCGACCTTTTTCTGCAAATCTTCAACTCTTTGCGTCAAACAAGGAGTCTTCCTCCTGGGTGGGTTCTGCCAGACAGCTCTGGGGCCGGTCCTGCTTCCGCTCCCACCGCAGCGCCAGCTGAAAGTGGTGCTGCTTCCACTGCTGGCGCCGAAAAAACCAAAGACTCCGGCGCAAAGAGTCCGGCCGCATTGTCGCCGAAAAAAGTACCCACGAGTGTAGGTGCGGCTCCAGCAGGCGGACTCTTCGGTAGTGTCGCTTCCGCAGCAGAAGAAACAAAACCGGTGACTGGTCTCTTCGGAACCACCACGGCCACAAGTGGATCTCTCTTTGGAGGTGGCAGCACGAGCGGGGGAGGCGGCTTGTTCGGCGGTTCGGCACCTTCAAGCTCAGCGAGTGGTGGCCTCTTTGGCGGTTCCAGTCAAAGCAGCCCTCCGGCTGCCTGCGGCCTTTTCGGTGGAAGCACGCAGACCACGACCTCGAGTGGAGGAGGCCTTTTTGGAGGAGGTGCCACCAGTCCTATGAAAGCAAAGGTCGCGTCGACAGCTCCTGGTGCTGCACCGGCAACATCTTCCTCAGGAGGAGCGTCAGCGGCTCCAGCACTCGGTAGCAACAGCGTCTTCACCTCTACTGCGGAACGCGATGCCTTCATCAAGAAAGCAGAGCTGACTGCAAAGGCAGAGCGCACGAAGGAGTTCGAATTGGTCAAGGAGGACGAAGTGTGGGATCCAAATTGGGGTGCCGACAGCAAAGTCCGCCTCCAGGTGAAGAACACCAAGAGCCAGCCAGACGACGAACTCGAGATCTACCGGCACCGTGCCAAACTCTTCCGCTTCCGCGACAACGAGTGGAAAGACCGAGGAATCGGAGACGCGCAGTTGTTGCAGAAGGTCGTCGACACCGAAGACGGGACGAAGGAATCTCAAGTGCGCTTCATTCTCCGACAAGAAAAGACGGGCAAAGTGCAAGCGAATTTCGCACTGCCTGACGCATCTGCCAACTACTGCGTCCTGGCAGCGAATTCAGGTACATACATAAACTTCGATATTAAAAAACTCATCTAGTTCTTGATGTGTATGTTACATTTAAGTATAGATACAAATAACATTGCAGAAACTGTGGTTCATTATGTGAAAGTTGGCACTCAGTAGTTGACGCCTTCTAATGTATCTATCGACAAGCATGAAACTCCAACTACAAGTACAAGCATCAATCACTTAATCTAATTCTAGTTCTTCATCAGCATTTGCTTCCAAAACTAGGCGATAGTAACAAGTAGTTGTTTTCACATGGTATTTCAGGTAACGACAAGACTTGGTGTTTTACTGCCTACGACTGCAGCGAGGAAGAGCCAGCAGCAACAATGCTTTCGTTGAAATTCCGTGACAAGGATGTTGCCGAAAAGTTCAAGGATGCATGGGATAATGCTAAGAGCAATCTAGTGGGAGCTATTTCAGCGGCAGACGTCAAGAAGTTTGAGATTGCACTCGCGGAAGCACAAAGCAGAGACGGCAATGCTCCCAAGCCTGCACCGTCAAGAGATGTGCCGGAGACGAAGAAGCCAGAGGAAAACAACACCAGTGCGAAGGCATCATCGCCGCCAGCAGCACCGTCAAGCAGTGGTGGCCTCTTCGGTGGTGGCTTCGGAGCACTCGGTGGTGCCACTACCACCACTTCCATTTTCGACAAAGCTGGTGGATCATCGACGACTCCCGGGACCGGTCTCTTTGGCGCAACATCGTCCACCACTGGAGGACTCTTCGGCGCGGCTACAGCATCAAGTACTGCAGCTGCACCGACAGGTGGAGGTTCCTTGTTCGGAGGTGGCAGTAGCGCATCCGGAAACCTTTTCGGTGCTAGCAATAAAGGTGCACCATCAAATCCCTTCGCACCATCTTCGCCTTCGGGTGGTGGAGCAAGGCAAGATCAATCGGGAAAGACGCAAGAGGAACTCGATCTAGAGGAAATTCAAAAGGAAGTCTGGGAAGGAAATTACGACGTAAAAGTCCACCTGCAGGCAAAAGACAAAGTGGAAACAGGGTTAGAACACGAGGAAACCGTATACGTAGGCAGAACGAAGATACTCAGGTACTTAATACTTTTCGAATTGTTCTAGTAGCTGGCTTAGTAAAGTTAAGATCACGATTACGGACGTGGAGGTGCTGTAGCTTTTTTTCTCCTGTGTTAATATCAAAACAAAAACAACAACTAGGCTTCGCGACGGGCAGATGAAGCAGCGGGGGCTTGGAGAAACGCGGCTTTTGCGTGACAAAAATACTGGGCGCATTCGTCTGATTCTGCGACAGGACAAAGTCGGCAAAGTCCGAATCAATTTTGCATTGACGGGTGCCAGCGGTCTGTGCACTCTTAGTCGGACGCCGACTCCAGACTTCAAAGATTTCGAGTCGAACGTCTGGTACTTGACGGTCTTCGATTGTAGCGAGGACGACGATGAAGGCCGCACCGAACGCATCGCTATTAAACACAAGACAGAAGAACTCTCAGAAAAATTCGCCGAAATCTTCAAACAGGCAGTCATTGAAAGTGATGGTATAATTTTTGTTCTTGTTAAAGTTTATCTTTATGGTTGTTAATATGGGGTGTGAAAACATGGTAACATTCAGATCAGCGAGCAGAAGAAGTCCACACATTAATAAATTTGCGAATGTTACAACATGATGTTGTTAGATTTCGAGCTTCATTGTCATCGCTTTCGTTGATTGTCTTAACAAACAAGTCTCTTCCGTCAATCTTTTTCTCTTTCTACAACGAACAGGCACTACAAGCGGCAGCTTTTCAGGGCACAAGCTCCCGGTCTTGACTGAAGATAACAGCTCAATGGCTCCTGGCAGCAAGTCCGCGGAAACCCAGGACCAGGGAGCAGCTATCGGACCACCCCCAGGCGCAGCGACAAAGGACCTAGCAGGCATATATCTTGATGTCAGCGGAAATCAAGTTGGCTGCATCGACACTGACCGCATGCTGACTTATGAAGGTAGATTGTAAATATTGTTTCTTTTTAATAGTCGTTGCTACCTTATTATTTGAGAATGATATTTATTCTGTGACGAGGATTTGTTTTGATTACTTAAGTAGATGAACAAGCGACTTACATAGTTTAAACTCTCAATATCGACACAGGTACCCCATATCCTTTGGTCGAAATTGTCCCAGAAATGCGATTTGAAATCCACGACCAAGACGTAGGTGCGGTTTGGGCATTCGATGCTCAGATCGAAGCTGGAACTCTCACATGGGACCACGGTGAATTCTGGATCAAAGACTTCTCTCTTCCAGCACGTACTTACTTACAAATATCAATCTTATCATATATACTTTTTGTTTTTCTAGTACTTTTTATTCATGAAATTTTTATATTTTTTCTTATTGTTGCTTGCAGAAGATGCTTGGTAAAGTAGAAAGATGAAGTCAGCTTTAATACTTACTTATATATATAGAAGTTTTATCGTTGACTAATGTTGAATTTTCAGCCGCCGGCAAATCAAAACTCGGATCGCAAGCGAAGGAGTTTAACATTTTTACCCCACCATTGCCTGCGGCGAGCAGTGGCTTTGCTCCTTCTGCTGGTGCAAACGCTATCCCTGTTGGAGGTGCAAGTCAAAAGACATCTTCCTTCGGAGCATCAACGACCACGATTAGTGCAGCACCCGCACCAGCGCCTTTCCAATTGAAGAAGCCAGCCGACCCTGACAAGTGGACTTGTCCAGTCTGCAACTGTAAGTGGCCCCAAGACAAGATGCAGTGCGGCGCCTGCGATGCATACAAGCCCGGCGTCGATGAGGAGAAGATAAAAAGAGAAAAAGAAGAACAGAAAAAAGCGACAATGGCAAAGCTGCTCGGCGGCTCCTCCGGAGGCGGTGGTAATTCCTTCAGATAGTGATGATGATCTGAGAAAAAGAAGGTGAAGGATCAATAAGCATTACAACTCTTTGAGTATAAGTTCTGTAGCAGCTGGTGGACATCAAATTCTCTTCAACAAGTATCCTGCGTTCTTTCCAATTTCAATATATTTCTCCAAAATCACTCATAATCACATCAAAGCAGATGCGCCCCCAGCGACCTCGACTGCAGCAGCGACGTTCTCTTTTGGAGCGTCCGCTTCAAATGGAACCAGCCAGCCAATTTCGTTGTACTCTCCCTTTCATCTTCACTGACGGTTAACCTTTCTTGTCTTCTCTTTGTCTTCTAAAGAAGAACTCCTCGAGAGTCGAAGTAGAAAGGTCATTTTCACATTCACCCGAAGATATTTATAAATTCCAACTATCGTCTTCATCATCATCCTCGTTACCGCATTGAACAGCACAACATGAAATATATCCAATACAACATCAGTGGCGCACCAGCCCCAGCTCCAGCAGCTTCGAGCAGTTCTGTTTTTAGTTTTGGTGCAACTCCTAGTCCGGCAGCTGCAACAGCCAGCTCGTCCCCTAAAAAAATAGGATCGGCAGCAGTGACAGTAGCGCCTTCATCTGCTACTGCAGCAGTCGACTCGAAAGAGATGAAGGCACTGGAGAGGCAAGTAAAAGATGCAGTGGCAGCCCAAGATGCCTTCAAACGGAGTATCCACGCAGAGCTAGACGACCTCAGAAAAGAGGTCTTGGAGGTACGATTTCTGCTTGATCAAATATACCCTTGTCTTGAAGAACCCCAGATATAGGATTGGTAACACATACAGATACACATCATAATTAGCACATACTTGCAGATTTGTAATCAAGAACATGAACATCAACTTGTTGTTTTGTTTCTCTTTCCTTGATATTCGTCTACACCCAAATCCATTTGAATCAATACTAAAACAAAATACAATTACTCAACACTCACAGCTCGCTTCCGCTGCGCCCGCTTCGTCGGGCAGTGTGCTCGCCTCATCTTCTTCCGAAAGCGCGATTCGCGAAGCGACGCGAAAGATCGAAGCTTTGAGTACGAAACTGGCCAAGTCTGAAGAAGGCAATAAGAAACAGTTCGCTTACATACAAGAGCGGATCGAGGAACTCGCGACAAAACAGGAGACTGCAGTCGTTGACGTCGATGCGAAACTGGCGGCTATGGAGCAGGAAATCGGCAATCAGGTGAACGAGAAAATTCTCAGCCTGCGCACGAAAATCGGTGCAGACTTGAACGCAGTGCGCTCATCGCAGGCCCGACCGAGCACCATGATGAATAGTGGACTGGTATTCTAACATTATAACATTCATTCTAGTAAGGTTTGTGTCTGCAGCAGCAGCTGCACCATGTGGAAGTGCTTCAATCTTGTTGTTCACTTCGCTTACGACCATTTCAATAGTATTGAGTAAAGTCTTGATACAAGAACTTAAGCTCAACACCTGAATGATATTCTACTTCGTAGCAATGACTTGTTTAATATCAGTATCTCTATCTCGCCTTACGTTTACTTCTGAATGAAAATTTCAGGACACGGATCGCGTCTATGCACTTGTAAATGAGCAGAATGAGAGTGTCCTCCAGGAGACGGGGAGGCAGGTCCAAGAAGTCCGCGACTTTGCCGCGACGCAGATGAGCGAAACCGAAAAACGCTTTGAAAAAATGGTCTCCGACATGCGGGACGCTCTGAAACACGAGATGGAAGGTATTTTCAACTTATAATCTGTACTTTCTAAATAAGCAAATTTTTTTTAACCAGCTAAATTATTTCCTAGAAGATATGTCGAACCATAAATTTGCAGGTAAATTCGATAAGATCCGTACGCAAAATGCTTATAACCCGGCAAGTAGTAGTTTTTCATCGCGGCTGTCGAATTTGCGAGCACAACGTGGCAATATGTCGGTCGGCACGCCAGAGACGGTAACCGTTTTCGGCAACTCAGCTCGTCGCGACCCCCCACGAAGTGGCGTCTTTACCCCAACCCAGCTAACACCGAACCGCGACCAAACGAAATAAATACTAGTACTGCTGCTCAGTACTCAGAAGTAAATACTAGTAGTTCAGAGGACCAAAAGAAAAAGACATGACAGGAGCAGCATCTTCTTCTTCAAGGATTGATTGTGCAAGGTCATCGGGATCTTCATCTGCCTTGGAAAAATCTAAATTTTTACAAGGTGCAAGAAGCATAAACGGAATTTGAAAGAAATACCAATACGTATACGTAACAGGCTTCGGCAACAGCGTGCAGCTCAAAACCTTTATTTAGTTAACCAAATCTAATATAATCAGGCTGCGAAAGAAGTTAGACTCTCGACCTCTAGGTAGGTGCAGGTCTTACTTTTTAACCTCTTTGTAACTATCAAGATAGGAAGTAGTCATGCATAGGTGTTCCAAGTCCCGCGCACGATTTCAGAAAGAAGCACATGCTAATGCTTGGAGGAAATAGAAGGTTGACGAAACACATAAGTACTTGAAATGAAATAAGGATATGCTTATCGTGGTCTTGCAATGTATTAACAAATAAACGGCAACCGAAGTTTGTTTTGCATGAATGTTTCCACCGACCTTTGTTCGACGTGGCCACCTTGTCGAGCATGATCGAATCGGCGCCTTAGAGATCGGAAACCACTGGTAGCAATGAATACTTATAAGTGGAGGTTACAAGAAAGATCATGGTAAGGGGCGGAGGGGCTCTTCGACTTGATCTTGGAAAAAACGACACTAATGTCCATATGATATGCGTTTGCGTTTCAGGTTCAGCCTCCCTCGTTTCGCCGCTCTTATAAATCACATTTATTCCTGATGTTGCCCTCAATTTATTACCAAAAGAAAATGAAGATGAATATCGAGGACCACCACGAGGCTGGATTGGTCCCTCCCCGTTCTTGCCGAAATCTTGACTTGGTGGGCAAAGATGATGTGTTCGGTTTGAAAGCTGTTTTCATTTCACAGAAATCACAGAATTCCCATCGAGACTGGTGTTGAGGATAAAGCAGGCAGGTGGGCATAGGAGATATGTTGATGGAGATCCCAAACTTATACTAGATGAGTAGGTGTTGGACTCTGCTGGACAGATTTTTGCTGAGTAATCGGGATTTGTTATAAGTATGCACTTGCCATCATCAAATAATATGAAGTCTTCATGTTGATTGATCGATTTAAGTACATCAGATATGAAAGAATGATAAAAGTTTTTGGTGTTGGCCGCGGTGCGAAGAAGAAGGATGACGGAGGCACTGGGGAGGCCGCGTCATCCGATGGGCCTTCGGAAGGGAAAAAGCAGCCAGGGGAGATCAGAATACAAAAAGAGTTAGACGAATTGGACGTGCCGCCACAATGCAAGTTGCAATTTCCCGACGCGAACAAGATAATGTCCTTCGTTTTGGATTTACGGCCTGACGAGGGTTTCTGGCGCGGCGCTTCGTATCGCTTCACTTTCATAATATCGCCTCTGTACCCCCACGAAGCGCCCAAAGTGAAGTGCGACACGAAGATATACCACCCGAATATTGACTTGCAAGGGAACGTGTGCTTAAACATCCTACGAGAAGAATGGAAGCCAGTGCTCTCGATTTCCTCGGTAATATACGGAATACTGCACCTCTTTAGCGAGCCGAATCCGAACGACCCATTAAACCACGAAGCGGCGAAAATGTTGCGAGACGATCGCTATGAGTTCGAGCGTCTCGTTACGCGCTCTCTTCGTGGCTTCACTCTTCAAGGCACGCAGTTTCCAAGATTAGTTTAGCAGATTCCGCGACTACAGCCTTTGTGTTTGCCAGCTACAGCCTCATCTTTGTGGCCGGAAGCCATGACTGCGTAATTAAGCAGCAGAACACTTGAACAAACTGAATTGCCCTACTTTTGATCATGCCGCCACGAGATTATGTGCTCTACGAGACCACTCATGAATAATAGATGTGAGCTTTTCATCGCAAAATGGAAAATGAACACCAGTTTTTGAACATCCACGAAGATGTCGAGATGACATTGAGCGAGGACAAAAGAGAATGGCATAAGTAAAAAGATATGTGTTCAGACAGAGGTAGAAGTTCAGACTTAGTAGATGGGAGCAAAGGAAAAAATTGAGCGAGGAATGAAACAAAATTGAATTTTCACATTTGTCCCCGGAATGCAAATCATGTCCCCGATAATACTTTTAGAGTAGTCGTTATCGTTTCACAAAATGAGTACAAATGGTCCCTCGACAAAATTGAAATCTCGATCCTTTACGATTGTTGATGCAGAAATATCCCAGGCCGATGGAGGGGGTTCGTTTGCCGCATTTTTCTCCTCATCTAGTTTTAAGAAGATTCAAAGAAGTATTTCTTGTTTTAGTAAACCTAAGTACTTAGCTCTTCACGCTTTTTAACCGTCAACATGATTCGTGTAGAATCTTTCTCGTGGATCTGCTTCTTGTAATACAGTCTTCCTACTCGACTACATCCGGAAATTAAGAGTTTTATTTGCGCGTGTTTTTCTTTGTGTAATCAGTTGTGATGCATGATGTTTTTGGAATACTTCACTTAAGAGCTAGTTCGCTAGAGCTTCTATGTGATACGGCAACGGCTCCTTTTTAGATAGTTTAGTTTTCACTATAACAAGCAGGAAAGGAAGCGAAGCGACCACATGACAAGGAAAGGAATAGAAGAAGAGTCAGCTGTGTCAAAATCCGAATGCAAATCCTAGTCAGTTGCCTGGCCTACCATCTCTCACCGGCACCTTCTGCCTTCTTCATCGTAGGAATGAATTAATGTGAATCTTCTTCATGTTCCTGGTGGGGGCTTCTGCTGAAGATGTCTTTCTTTTGTTTGTTTCTATCTAGGGAATTCCACCCGGCAGAAGATCGAAAAAACTCGTCGAGAGAACGTTGGCGAGGTGGAGTGACTCTGATTTCATAACAAGAAAATCCCTGTCGTACGCTGAAAATCCCTCGTAGTCCTATAAGTAGCTGCAGAGACATAGTTGTAAATACCAAGGCACCCCGTGGTGATGTACCAGAATCAAAATCGTGATCAGAGAATCTGCTCAATACCCCGAATTCTTCAAATCGCAAGGAAATTTACTAAAGAGTGCTCTGATTTTTTAGGGTTCAACACAATCCAATGGAGATTGATGATGTGGGCATTGAAATCTGGTCAATCGTTCAGGAGGAAAGGAATTATTGCGGCCATGAGTAGGTATAGATGCTTGTTAGTTGAAGAGGATTTACTAGGTAATCAATTATACTAAGATTAGAAGCCTCGTCATGCTCATGCCTCTGCTTTTTGGTATAATTTGGTCACCCACGACGCTAGGATATTATAAATGTAGTCGAGATTCAACATTGATTCGAAGTTTCTTTTTTGGCTCATCTTCTGTGGTTAGAAAATTATCAGGTGTAAAATCTCTTGACTAAGAAAGGTTGCAGGTGATCGTTTAGAAAGTGAGGTCAGCGGAATTCGATGGCACAGTTTTGTTTTACGACGAATGCGACGACCATTCTGATTCTAGTAGAAATTTTATGTGTGATAGATTGGGGAAAAGGTGTAGGATTCAATTTATCTTGTTGAAGCTGTTGTAGATTTCAGTAAAGTTATACTTGTTTTTTGTCTTGCTTTGACGTTTATTTCTGGAAGTTGTTCTATGTTTAAATTGATCAAGCAAGTCAGAGAAGTAGAAGAAAGTAGGTAGGCTCAATTTATGATTGAACCAAGAAGATGGATGAAACGAAACCGAAAATCAAGAGAGCGCACCACAAGAAAAAGAGAGCACCATCTTCTTCAACGGAAGTTGTAGAGCCACGCGGTTCATCCTTGCAAGGACCAAGAGTCGCACCAGCGGAAACGACCGCTGTCGGAGCATCCACTACGATGCCTGATGACCAGCCAGAAGGCTTGTCCGGGAAGGGCGCCAAGAAGCCACGCAGCGCGTCTAGTAGCAACGCTGCGCAAAAAGGTGGAACGGGGACAACATCAAATAGCACGGCTTCTTCCTCGAAGGGGGCTGAAGGTGGACGTTCCAAATCCAGTAAAGCAGGCAGTGCTACTAAGTCTAGAAAGCAGGATCAACAACAATCACACCAAAATGGTGGAAGTTGGGGAAAAAGCTCCTCATCCTCTTCCGTATGGTGGAACACGACGACGACCACAGGAGGAGGCACACCTACCGGTACAACTACGTCAGGGCCCGCTGCAGCTTCTGCATTTTCTACTTCTGGTGCTAAGATAAAAACAAGTAGTTCTAGTCAGACAGGAGGTGAAGCTACGGCTACCTGGGAAGATCATCCTGGGAGTGTTGAAAGCTACCCAACATCGTTAGTTTCGCACGATCAGCGTGAGCAAAGAAAGGACGACACAACAATGCAACGCTCCAACAGTGGTGCTGGTAAGGGCCAAGGGCCTAAAGGCGCAAAAGGTAGCTGGTCTTCTTCTTCCTATAGCAACTACCAAACCTACAACAACTATGGAAATCATGGACCATCAAACGGCGGCGCCGGAAGCTCCTACGGCTATTATGCTCCTGCTCACCGTTCTGGTTATAGTCATGCATCAGCACCATCGGGTGGCTATCATGGGCACCGGTACAGCAATAGCTCATCCTGCTACAGCAATTACTACAGCAATTATGGCCCTCCACATGGTAACAATTATCCAGCATCTAGCGGATACAACGACGGCTACGGCGCTGGCAATACCAACACTAGCAGCTATCACGCGGCTTCATCTGGTTATCAAGCAGCAGGTGGCAGTTATCACAGCAGCTATTCTTAAGGCATCAGACAAAAAGTTGAAATCTATAAATCTAGACTAGTACAACCACTAGAGAAGAGTTGTAAAAATACTTTTTATAATTTACATTTTTGAGTAGATCTTTGATCGAGAACAAGGGCTCTTCTTGAGGAAACAACTATGTATGGATCCAAAATACTGCTTAAGTAAGTGGTACATCATGCTGAAAGTTCTCGAAGTTCTTAATATTCTTCTAATTCTGAGGAGCACATCACTATCTTCATGGAGGCGGGAGTGGAGGATACTACCACACAGGAGCGACGTATTACCGAAGCAGCAGCTTCGGCGGATACTGTGGTTACGACTACTTAGCCATTGTGGACTTTGAGGCGAACTGCATCCCGAAGATAGGCCAGGACGGACCAGCGTGGAGTGACCCCAGATTTCAGATTCCAGGCTTTGTAAGCGAAATCATCGAGTTTCCAACAGTGATAGTGAGACGTAAGCCGAAAACAAGGAGTAGACAACTAGCTCAAGCAGGTGGCGCACTGGCAGTAGTGGAGAAGGATAGCAATAGAAGTACTAGAGAAGAGAAAAACAAGGGAGAAGTCCGCGAGAATAAATCTCCTGGTGGTAATATGATAGAAGAATCAAGAGAAGCGAAGACGCAGGCTACCGAACAAGGTGAGAAGACTGTACCTGTACCTACTCCTGATGAGAAAAAGGAGGAACACAAAGACAAACAACCAGTTGTGAAAGTGATTTTGAATCCAGAACTGGGCAGCTCCAACATCACGGTGGTCGGACCGCCAACCCGCACGTGCTCTACGACCTCAAAGGAAGAAGAGGAGTTGCTACTGCGTTTTGATTTGTCAGCCGAGGATTGGGAAGTGGTCGATGAATTTCACTCCTTTGTGCGGCCAGTCCGGTTTCCAATGTTGACGCCCTTCTGCAAAAGCCTCACAGGAATCAAGCAGGAACAGGTCGACGCAGCAGATACCTTTCCCGTTGTTTTCCAGCGCTGGCGAGAATTCATAGGTACTTGAACTTGCTTCTACAATTTAGAATATATAATAAGAATAAGTTTCAGATTTTGATTTTTCTGACGTTTTTTGATTGCAGCAATGTTGCACAATTGATCTGTTAGAAACTCCAGACATTCTTACTGTTTTGAAAACAACAGTCTAGTAAATGTCTATCAGAAATTCATCCCAAATCCTAAGATTCCTAATTCTCTACAGAAAAATACTTTCCGGAGGCTGACGCCTTTTCTGAAGAGGACACGAAGGAAGATACGCAACGCTTACCTAGTACCTGTGGTGGAACTGACGTGGAAGGCGAAAGTAGCACTAAAAAAGCAACTGCCCAGGATCCCGAGAACACAACCACCACCAGCACATCATCTTCCGAGGGTCGTTCTGGGGTCGTGAAGCAGAAAAAAGGGAAACCTGTCTACGCCTATGTTGAGCAGGACGGAAGTGAGTTTTTTCACGGAACCGGAAGTCGAGTCCGAATCTTGTCCACAAATCACATCCCGGCGCCGACTTGGGGCACAGCAGAGACGCAAAGAGGACCGCACAGTGCCCTTTCCAGTCCGACAGAAGAAGCTAGTACTGGAGGAGCACGAGGAGCGGCTCCGGCTGGCACTAGTAGTTGTAATATTCTTAGTAAGAACCGAGACCAAGAAGAGCAAGAGGAGAGTACTACTAAAAAAACAGTAACGTCGGCTTCTGACGGCTCGTCATCCGAGTCATCAAAAGAGATTCCGGCAGCTACTCCAGAAAAAGGCCCCACTGGTGGTGCCGAAACGTGTATAGAGGGTGAGGAAGACCAAAGTGAGCAGAAAGAACAACTTTCGAATACAAGTGACGGTGCAACAGGGGGCAAGGACGTCGATAGTAGACAAGGTGATAGTAAGGGCGCTGATGCCGTCGACAACACGGCTACAAGTAAGCGACCGCGTCCACGTGCGGCAGAGCCACTAAGTTCTCCAGGAACATCACAGCCTGGCAGTGGGCCAACATCGAGGGCTGCAATGAGTTCAAAGGCATCGAGTCCTGGCGAGAACAAGCAATTTCGAACAGCAAAGGACGTCCGCACACTGTTGATAACCTGTGGCGATTGGGATTTTCGCCATTGCTTACCAAGGCAGCTGTCCTACTGCGACATGCAGCGCCGCTCTATTAGTTGGTGGTTGAAGCACACACCCGTTCGCAAATGGTGCAATTTGAAGAAGATTTTCTTGGACTGTACCGGCATCGCACTCGGCCACGAGGACATTCCCGAGATGCTGCGGCATTTCCGACTGCAGTTTCAAGGTCGCGAGCACAGCGGGATTTGCGACTCGCGCAATCTCTTCCGAGTGTGCATGGCCATGGCTAGGCATTACGGCGAACGGAACGTGTTTCGTGTGACGACCAGCATGGGCACGGCACCAATACACCAGGCGCAGCTTGCTGCGGCATCAGCCAATGCATTAGAAAATAGAAGTACTAGCGGAGGTCCTCATGGGTCCTTGTCCTCAGGAGCGCACCATGCACCCAACAGCTCCGGCGCACCGATGCCACCAACACCTGCTGTGGCGATGAGGGGCCCAGGTCTTAACTTACTGGCGGACATGGAAGCCGGTATGGTGCTCGGAGGCACATCAGCAGGAGCAGCAGGAGTGGTCCCTTCGACTTCATCAACATCATTGTCAAACACAACGACAGGAGGCGGCGCAGCAGAAAATACGACTGTAGATGGGGGAGAACGGGACATACCTTCAGGAGGAATAAACACTGTTGGCAGCGGCCATCTCAATTCATCTACGGGAGGAGATGGCAAGAGCAAGAGCAAGACGAGTCCGTCGTCGGAAGTGGTTCCATCAGGATCACAAAAATTGAGCGGAGCTGCGAGAAGGAACGGCGCGCAGCTCAGCATTGATTGCAATTTTGAGGGACGCCATCAACAGCAGCCGTCGAAGCGCCAGAAGTCGCGAGCGAAGAGCAAAGAAACGGCCACAGGATCGAACATGAGCGTTGCCGTTCAGACAGAAGAACAAGACTTGGAGGGGCCAAACGGATGGAAAGGGCTCCTGCCAAGCCCAGCGGGTTCTAGTAGTGGTAATATGCTGAACACGCGGAAAAATTCCTCTGCAACTTCGTCGGCGAAAAAGGCGCATAACCAGAATAGAGGCCGCTGCGGGTCAACAGCAACCTCAAGAAAGAGCTCATTCACATACTTGCAGCGCACAAGCTGGAGCCGGGAGAGCTCATCTCAAAAGGCCTGTAGTCCCGCAGACGAAAACGAAAATTCGAAAAAACAACATGCAGTATCGAGACAGCGCAACAGCAAAGGCGAAGTAGACTGGAGCTCCACACGAACCAAGTCTAAGGACAGTTTCAAAAGTAGAGCATCGAGCTCTTTTGCAAAAAGAAACGAACAGGAGGTGGAGTTAGTTAAAGGTGAAGAAAAATGTCGGGGCGGGAAAGGCACAGATGAAGAGCAAGATGCACAGAATCTCGATCATCACGAAGAATTAGAAGAGGATGGGGATGAGGAGGAGATGCCGCAGCACAGTTCTGTCGAGGAGGTGTTTTCATCGACAGAAGAAGACCTGCAGCAGGGTCGTGTAGCTGTGGAAGCCCTGGTGTCTCCCTCCGACATAGAGGCCTACGTTTGGCGGGCAGCGTCGTCTATCCCAGGCGCCGCAGCACCTCACGGCTCCTCCTCCTGCAGCTCCTCATCCTCTTGCAGTAGTGCTACGAATCGTACCGGTCGCCGCGCAGCGTCCTCGCCTTTGGTGCCACCACCTCCGCCAGCACCGGTTCTAGACGCGGACGGGACGTCGATAAGAGGCGTGGTGACTGCCACGTTACAGCCCTGTTCATTGCATGTTCAACTTCCTCCACAGCCCTTAATCTGGCAAAGCGCTGACATGTCCGGGTTCTTTTTCGACCACGGGGGCATCGCGGGAACCACAGCAGCACAGCGTCACCAACAGGGAGCAAACGCAAATGCCCTGATGCAAGTCCTTGGTGGCGATCGGAGCCGCTCGTCCACGATGGAGAACATTATCATCGGGGGGCTTCACGACCCAACGAGTTCTTCCTCTGGTCACCTCCACCAACAGCTTGTGGCCGCGACTTCTAGTTCTTTGACGACGGCGCTCGCTCTGCGGCCGGTTCTTATGGGCGGCACAACATATTATCCGGTTCCGAGTGGTCCGACCACTACCTCCTCCGCCAATACATCATTCTTGTTGCCAGGAGTTGCTGGAGTGCCTGTGCCAATGCCACTGCCCCTAGCTGCAACCCAGCATCACCTTTCCGCTTCCTCTGCTCCCACAACACCGGTAGACGCGACTTCAAACTCATCGTGGACGAGTCTGGAACCCAATACAGTGCTGTGGACCGGATCGACCGAGACTCCTGTGGTGCCTGGTTTTGCGGCTCCTTCGGGCGAAGTTATAGCGCCGCAGGTTTTTGCAAAGAAGGAAGCAGTCCGTCTTCCAACAACTGCTGTCCTGGCCCCGACTAGCTGAGACGATGAGACCGGACATGAGGACATCAATCTTCCACTATTACAACGACATGAACATGCTCGTCCTGCTGCTTGCGGTTTTCATCTTTTACCCCTATATATACAACACTGACTTGCTACTTGTTCACTACACTGCCGTCAAGACACTTACGTCTAGTCTTCGTCGACGTAGTCCTCCTCCGGTCGGTTTCCGCTCTCTTGTCGCATGGAATGGCGTCGTGGTTGCGAAAGCGTAGGTCTGTTGACGCCGACGATTTTTTTTTGTAGAAAGAATTGTCGTGAAGCTGGGCCTGAAGATCAACGAGAGCATATGCATTAGAGGCAGATGGAAGTCCGAACAAAAAACGACCCAGAATTTCTGCATTCTACATCAAAAAGATGAACAAGAAGAAGGAAAGTAGGTGGGTGGCTGCAACAACAAAATGGCGGCTTGAAATCAAGACTGTCATAATGATAATCCGTCTCTCTACGACGTTTGGCTTTACTAGATGAACTACTTTCCAGACGACATAAAGCACCACTGCTCAATGGCAATTAGTACTGCTGACGCGACGCGCTCCCCGGTTACAGCTATTGCTTTTTCTGATCGGTCCGAATGCGCATGCCATTCGCGTCCAGCACGCGCACCGCGAAAAGCTATTATAGAACGTGACAAGGACAACAGCGACCGAGCCGTTTGAAATGACGCTTTGGAGGGGCAATAAAATCAGGATGATCACCGTGTAGTTTGATATCAAAAGTCCATTATTATAGTCATACAGGTTGAAAATATTCTATAAATTGCGTGACCAACACGTACACGGGCCACCCATCTTCTCCACCTACGCTCAGATCAGCGAGAACTATCATCGCTTCTCGAAATTTTTTTAGTACGACTTCCGCTACTGCAGTATACATCAAAGTTATCATCTTTTTCATTTACTCCATCATGTTCTCACACAGAGACACCTTTCTCGACACGTCGAGCTATTTATCTTCTCGTTCTTATTGTTCTTGAAGTTGAACAAGAGACAACGCAGAAGAGAACGCAATGGTTTTTCAATCATTTTATTTATCACTTTTCTTGCATCCATCATCTTTCAACAATACAAAACAAGCATGTTTTCAGACCACGTCCACGCACGCAGCAGAATTTTTATTGTCTCCATTTATAGTGTCTTATTCTCATTCATCTAAGTTGAACTTGAAAGGACGCTACATTCAAATTCGTTGGTTTTATGATAGTATACCCGTCGTGTAATTACTAATGACTAACGAGCAGCGCAGCATTCTTCAACAAACACTAACATTGTTAGAATCTTCTTCTAGCAGTTTGTGTACTATGTTGTATTAGACTGGCGTTTGGCCAATGTCTATGTTTTTTAAGATTTAAGTTTACTTGATATCTTCATTAAACGTGAGCAAGCGTACCACTCCTACATCGAAGTATATAGGGGTGGTCCCCTTGCAGCTAAGACATTTGATGTTACAAAGTGTTGTTAAGCAGTCTTCTAGAACGAGTAGTCGTCGTGCAGCGCAACTGGGACCCCAAGCTAAGAAGAGGCAACAAGCTAAGGCAAGAATCCTAGGCACTTTTTGTGTTAGAGTGAGTCTACTTTCAGATCTACGTCGCAGGGCTGAGCCGGGAGTCCCGCTAAATCTAAATCTATGTACCTATAGATACATAGAAGAGCTTCCTCTACTGTGAGGACTTCGCACACATTACTCGCGCCATGCAGGCAGGTCCGGTCCGGTCCTGCGCTGGTAATTAAGTTGATGTGTGTCATCATCTGATCATTCCTTTCTTTTCGAAACAACTCAGTCGAGGAAGCGCAGACAAGAATTTGCAGCGAACCGAATAAGTAGAGTGGTGTCGGACGTCCACCACTGGTATTTGTTCTTGCAGAAGAGTCTATGACTGGGCGCTCTACGATGGATTTTGACATTTTCATATGATAGATCTGGTTGTTGATTCGATTAGCAGAATACCTCTTGTTTTTATCATCCTTTTACATCGATATTCACAACCTATGTACAGCGCGCACAGGTTGTCTTTCTACTCGTTGTAATAGCGCGCGTTACAAGCTTCATGCTACGCTACCACTTGTATGCGGCGAATTGCTTGCTCCTCATATTGTTCAACATTTCTTATAATATACTTTCTCTAGAGGCGATGTCAGCAAAATGATTCACCATTTTTATATCCCCATCGAGGATTGGGTACTCGTTACCTCCAGAGCAAGAAATATTTACTTAGAAGATGAAGATTCAAGAGTAGAAAAGCTCATCTGGTGTTTGGGTATTGTAGTTGGTCGTGGTTACAACATGATCAAGAATGATGATGAAGATGATCTATCTAGGTAGAAGTTTGATATTGCAGCTCGGAGACGAAATGGTATAGCACCACATGATCATTCGCTTTTTTCACCAGTCGTCTTGTTCCACCTTCTATTGATGTTTCGCCGTGATGTTCTTGCACTGTGGGATTTTTTTCAAAGCATGATAAATGTTCGTTGTCAAAAGTAGTTGTGAGTATCCACCGTCATAACCTTTTCCTTCTTCTCGTGACAAATATGTTAGTACGATCGTCCCTAAGTTGTACAACAACATCTTCGTCGAAGATGGATTGAAATTTTATCCAGACCATCTGGTAATAACAAGGATGCAAACTTACTACAGAAGTCGCGCACCACCAGTACCAGTTCATGTTCTGGGTGGAATGTTGGTGTTCTCCTTTTGTGCACGATGAATGAATGAATGAATGAATTGTAAGCTGCAGTACTTTGTTCCAACATAGATTTCGAAATTGATGATCTGGATTTTACAACTAGTTTATGGTCCCGCATCCTGCCTTATCTGATAATTGACCTACCGCTTCTTATGGCGTTTTGAGAGAGGACAGATGATGTAGAGGTTGCTTCGAGGCGAGCGAAACGGACGATATAGGTAGCGAGAGGCAAAGTTTAAGAAGTGCGCATATTCATCCCAAATGTGTCGGCTGAAAATAGCAACAACTACAGTAAACTAGGATCATGAAGTGAACCTCCTTCGTTCCACATCGCGTGACTCATCGACTATCTCCTCTTCAATTGATTCTCTACTGCTGTTTTTAAACGCTTTCGCAGAGCGTCTACTAACCGAAGCTGCTAGCTCAGCATTGTGAATGAGCTTGATGACGGAAGCAACATCATGTTGTTCGCAACTAGCGACGAGCGTTTACCGCGTATCCCATCGTCTCTGACCGACGTAGCGCCAGGGGTGTACAATCTAGGATGCGTGACAGTACTGCTGCTTCTCGCCGTGTGGGCCGCAGACATTGCGCAGCGATGGTTGGAGTATCTCGAGCTCCATCTCCATCTCGTTGGACAAGGCAATACCCCTGGTCGCATTATGCTTGATGAATGCATCTGTTGTACGAGGACATGATAGAGGAAGATGAAGTAGTTCTGCTCATCAACAACAACATCTGACATCCTGTAGTTGCGTGTAGTTGCGACACCCTATTCTCTTCCTCTGCATCTCGTAATTAATCATGATAGAGACTACACTCCAAAAATAGGTACAGTTCTTCATTATTTCCTTGTCTATCTAATCAGCATGGCGGGTTGAGTGCGACGGCACGTGTGTTGAAGCTACCTGGGCTCAGTGTCTATCGAAACGACTTGGAGCGGTTGTGTCGATTGCACTTCAACTTATGCAATTATTTAACTACGAAGACTTTTTGCGTTTGCGTCAACATGACACGTAAGTACTAAGTCTTAAAGTCAATAAAGATAAGACTGAAGCATGGAACACTTGTGTACTTCAGAAAGAATAGTGATGATCATCTACTTCATCAAGGTCTAAAAAAGCAAGTCCTGCGACAGCGTTACAGTCAACCAGCAACACCGTTGCCCCGTTGGCTCCTGGCAGTGCACGTTGCGCATGACCATTTGAAATGCGAGGTGGAGAAATCGACTTCTTCGTCCTCAACAACTACAAACTCTACTACTACAAGCACAACTCCAACTCCTGTAGAAGTCCTGGTGGTCAACAAAACAACTACACCAAGGCAACCTCCTCGAGAACATACTTTACGATTGCGAGTGGTCTACCAAACGCGCTCTCGAACAGGCAGCGTTCGCGCGCAACTACTGCTTGGTGTCAAAGCCGAAGAGTGTCAGCGGTTAGCCACGTCGTTGGAGCATAGTGCTTTTATGAAAAGAGCTTACTGGTGGCGCCACGAGCAGGTCTAAATGAACTTGAAACTCCTCTAGCAGGCGTTCATGTTAAATTTATGATTTTTGAAATTCAAGTTGGATGAACCGAATCTCATGATTCAAGGGGAGTTTGAGTAATTGAAAAGATCGAAGAGCATGAAGTAGAAGCACGCAAAGAGCGATCTCTTTGTTGTCTCTAACTTTGGCTCGTCGTCCTCGTCCTCCAGTCGTACGCGAGCCCTGCTCTCTCGATCGGCTAAAGCGCAAACGAAGAATGGGGAATCAACCCTAGTATCAGGAGACTCGAGTAGTAGCTCAAGTTATGAGGTGATGCGACAAAAATGTACAACTGTAGTTGACGTACTCAACAAAGATGGTCAGTTCAACATTGGAGGAGCAAGAAAAAGGAGCAAGAAACAGATAGAACAGACAACGTTTTTGCTTGTCACGTTCATCAGTTCTTGACTGTGGCGGTAAATCATATTCTTGATCTAGGGCATGCGTGCATGCTTCCGCACACTAAGTTGGGAGGATCTTTATCTGAGATCTCTAATCTTTTGCAGCAGGGTCATGGTCATCGGCAGGGCGAATGCCATTCGTGGTTCCAACTACCTTTCAAGCGAGGTACCGATCCGACGTTGTCACATTGGGAGAAAGAGTCAGGACAAGTGTTGATGGAGGAGATCGAAAAGGAATAACATCCGCTTCGACTGGAGTAGCAGAATTTACAGTAGAAAATGTCGATTTGAACTTAGTACGACAACGGCGTGTTCCGATTCTGTTAGCCTTTCAATATGAGAAGAGTACATGTGCAAGATCAAGAAGCACTACTTCTAGTGCTTGTGCTGGGACAGATGAAACCATATCGACCCAGCATGAAACCAAGGACGGAATCGGCGGCAACGTCGACCACGTTAAACAACACGAAGAAGGCTTCTTAGAGGGCAAACATGAAGTAGACTTCTTAGAGGGCAAACCGATTCGAGATGCACCAGTGGAGCTTTCCCTCTTTAAGCTGCCAAAGTTGCCATCGGCAGCAGGAACAAAAGCAGGGTCAACGCAAAGTTTGAGTCTCGAATGCATTCGACAAGTAGCACTCGTGCAACCGCTTCATCTTGATCAGGCAGCTGATCATGATAGACAGAACGAGCCGACGATGGTCGAAGAGCAGACAATCTTCGGTTTTGAGGACGCAGAAGATACAGAGGTACTCGCTTATGGTTGTCTTAGTGGCACAAGAACTGACACTGCTCTCATTCCTCGTCTCTTGTTGTAATGCTGTCAAGGTCATCAACGATCATTTCATCGGCACGTGGTCAAATACACACATTCCACAGGATCCAAGCGAGTGCATGATCTGTTATGAGCGCCAGAGGAATACGATGTTGCTTCCGTGTCGACACTGCAGCACCTGCTCTGTTTGCCTGCGGTCGCTTCGGGAGGAGAAATGCCCCCTATGTCGTACTGTCTTTGAAAAGCACGTGCGCTTTCCGTACAAAAGAAAGGGGCCTCGAAGGCGCGCTCGTTCAGGCAGAAAGGGATCGGATGACGACGACGATGATGATAGTGTTATGTCTACAAGTTTTTGCGTCCTCTCAATCTCTTTGGTTGTGGAGTGAAACTTTTTTAAAGGAAAAAAGCCTCTATCCATGCATAGGAATTTCAACCATTCGATTTAGGAAGGGATCTTTGGTACAATTAATTTTAGATTGCAGCCATGATCTTCTTCGACTTCATTGCTCTAATGCTGGCACCGGCGGCAGTGGATCACAACAAGGGCAAAACCAGCGACAAGGGTCGAAGCGCGTTGCACCTGAAGGGAATAACGACAGTAATGCAAGCACGCGTGGCGGAGGTTCTTCATCTTCGTCGGGAACTCGAAGCACATCTTCAGGTGAAAATAATCTTCGTCGTAATTCATTTTATAAAATGCGTGTTGATCGCACCTCTACTAGGACTCTGCAGTTGAAGAAAGGTAGCAAGTACAAAGACCGAATTGCGGTTGCTATTTGCAATCCTGATGAAGAGGATAGAAGAGGAAGGCTCGAGGGAAGGAACAATCCGAGCAGCACCACAAGTCGAACCACAGGTGATGAGACAGTTACAGACGAACAGGAACAATCTACCTCGCCACTCCCAGACGTAGAACTTGACGACTATCCCACTGGGAATCAACGCCGTAGTTTTTTGTCGATAACATCAAGAAGTACAACAGGAGGAACAAGATCGCAGATTATTCAAGACGAGGAGGGCGACCTCGAAGATTTTCATGGGGAGGACGTAGGTGATACAACAAGTGGAAGTGGCGCAATGACCAATGCTCGTGCTAGTCGTAGAGCTAGAAGAAGCCACGTCATAGTACGAGCACCACATGCGCAAACAAACATAGCGTCCACCCACCATGAGTCGTCTTCCCGCCAAGAAGGAGCTACAACATTGTTGTGGCCGTTTAGATTAGAGAATGTCCGAGCAATGTTGGATTCCTCATGGTGGAGTCGTCGGATGGATATGGTAGCAAGGGAACCTTTGTTAGAAGTGCGCGGCGCCATTGAATGACTACCACAAGCAGCTTGTCAGACAGTGGGATCGTTCCAGATTCTCAGGAACGACCACGACAACGAACCAAAGATGAATACAGTGATGATCTACAAACGCTTTGATTTGATCCGCCAACCACAGGAACTGGGAATTTTTTATTTGTCCGCTGGTGGGATGAAAGGTGTTAGTTGTAGAACGCTGAAAATGTAGTCCTCACTGTTTGTCGTCAGAAGGCAACATGATCCATGGTCACAAACATCTCCATCTCCAAGCGGAAAGCCTGAGGACGACAGTTATTCTTAAGTACACTTCATCGCGATCGAATAAATCTTCTCATCCAGATCCTTTTCAATCAAAAGTTCTAATAGGATCTCGTTCATTCTCAGTCATCTGCCGATCGTCATCTTCATCACGACGAATGTGCCCCCAAGCAACCTGATCTCGTGTAGACGTCTCCGTACTGTTGTGCGGCGTAAGAAGAATTGGTTTCGGACAAGAGGTGCCTCCGGTTCTATGCACCTTTATTTTTCTTTCTCTTTTTCCTCCTTTAGCTTAGCTTCCTAGTGTAGCTTAGCTCCTTTATCTCAGACAACAAAGCCTAGGTACCGCTCCTAATGGCAAGATCTCTAATATGATGTACACGCATCAAAAGATCAATGCTCTCAGGTGATATTGAGAATAGTTAAGTATTCGAATTTTTTATGATAGATTCTTCATCCCCGGCTCCGCGTCTTTTTGAAGTTTTTTTTCTAGCATTATCTGTAAATAAATATCTACATTCTCACTAACCTGTTGTACTACTAGTTCCCAGCTGGTTACTCACTTTTGAGTGTGAGAGGGATCTTTGTTGAGTGTTTGCTTGTTGAGGGTACGAGTAATACTTTTCGGTTCTCTTCGTTTTTTCACGAAACTTGGAAATCAATAGATTTTAATTAACTCGTAGTCGTGGGTGAGTGTGCGTGGTGTTCAAAGATCTTCGCGAAGCGAACTAGATAGGGATCATCGGACACAGCTACTCAACAAGTGTAGCACCTCCTTTCGCGAACGGCCACTTTTAGGACTCTGTACATGAATAGGACTAAGATTGTTGTTTGTCTCCGACAGATAATTTTATTGGTCGCGCTGTTGTCTACGTGGTAGTGTTTGCGGGGCCTCCTCTCTTAGAATTCATATTCATAAGCGGACTGCTCCAGCTGAAAAGGTAGCAACCATCTGATCTAGCAAGGTCATCACTAGGCGGGGCGCGTGCTACTGTCTTCTTCACGTCTCTATGATAGAAGATGGCGTAGTAAAATCTTAACTCCAAATTGAGAGGAGTGACCTGAGATTCCCTGCTCGAATAATGCTGTCCGCGATTAGAGCTGCCTGTTCCTGTATCCAAAAATTATGTGCATATTTATAATTAGAATAATATGTCTAGAGCCATAGTTACCCTTTTAAATTTCTCTTTTCACTCTTCCTCTGGTCTTTCTTTTTTCTAGTTAGGTCGGCTCCACCGCAATTAGCATAATACGTCTAGAAGTAGCACACGACGAACCCGATGTGTAGGACAAATGGTTTTCTGTGGGCACAAGATCATGAAAGTCGCGAGGAAAAAGCTGTTGAAAGCTGTCTAACGAAAAACAAAAGGTTGATTGGAAGAAAGAAAGAACTTGGTTGAATTGAAAGAAGGAATTGCAGACGGAAGTGAGAATCTAACACGGAGGATACAGATAGAGCTTGACCCTATCACTGGAAACGACTGCGTGTTAGTGGGGGTCTCTGAGTAAGCGCCACTGGTGGAGGTGGATGAGGTTGAAGTGAGGTGTCCAAGTTCCGTCACGGGTTTGTTCGCTCTCCTTGGATTCTCTGTTGGAGCAAGAAAATGTATAGATACTATAGATACGGATGTCCTCAGAATCCTCCCTTGGTTGAGTTTGTTGTTCATCTTATGTATGCTAAGACTTGCACAAATTATACTCGCCACGGAACGCATACGCACGGCTGCTTGTTGTTGGTGACGATTGTTCTTGGGACGTTCAGTAGTCTACAATTTGCTACGATTAGTATGATCTGCAAGCGACACAGTTGTACTCTTAAAATAAGACGAGTACAACAACACAACACAACAGTCAAAAATACGTATACGGATATGAATTAAAGAGTCTGTTTATGTTACAAAATTTTCTGGTAAGAAGAGGAAATGGAAAACGAGAAAAATGGGAAGTAACGGTCCGGTTCTGGCAGACGTTAATGACAGAAATAGCATTCATCTTGGTTTTGAGTTGTTTTCTGGTGGTGATGTTCAGTCGTCTTATCTTCTTTGACGAGCATGATTTTCATACCTTGTTCTCTTGTGGCCTTTGATTAACTCGGAGGTTCACGGGATGGACCGCCACTCTGCTTGGCTAACAGCTCGGCGTCCTGCTTTTCCTACCCTTTTAATCTGGCACACCTAATTCTATAGTCTTGTAAGCCTTATAATTCATTTTTTGTTTCACCAATCATCCCAATGGACGATTATTTCTATTCATTGGCTTCGGACAAAAAATGGTGGATCAACGGACGAAAGGAGAAACAAAAGCGGTCTCGTCAACGGTAGGGAGAGCAGCGTTGCAGAGACGAACATCGTCACTCGCAGATGCGACCACCGCTGCGCATAAAAAAGGTGGACACTTTGTTTCAGCTAAGCCCAACAAGGCGGTGCCACTCATGTCCAAGTGCAGGATTTTGATTTTGGATTACTATGACTCGTACACCTACAACCTGGTCGATTTGGTCCAAGGTCTCACTGGAGAGGAACCTGTGTGCGTCTTGCATGACCGCCTTTTCGAGACAGCTGCGAAGCAGCTAGGATCCGACACGAGAGACCTAGAGGTAAAGGTTGGAATACTGGAAACTTTCTTAACGCGCAACTTCGATGGAATCATCTTGTCGCCAGGCCCTGGGAGTCCCGAAGAGTACCTTTACCGGAGTACTTGTTCGCATTCGACGCGTAAAAAGATAAGAACTGAAGAGGTTGGTGGAGGGCGTTTTTACATCAACGGCGAACGGGAATGCGAAGCGACGCCTCAAACAACGACGACACAAGCGGTGTTGGACATTGCTGGGAAGCACCATATTCCGCTGCTGGGTGTCTGTCTGGGACAGCAGATTCTCTGTGTTGCACACGGCGTCCCAGTCAGGAAAGTGGAGCCGGCGCATGGCATCGTTGACAAAATCCAAGTTGTAAAGCAATGCACAGCTGCCTCAGGGAGCAAGTATGGGAATGGATATTCGTTAGAGAAACAGAAAATACCCAGGGCTAATCATGAAGACAAGGAAGAGTATTCTGTGGAGCAGGAGCTGCCACAACTATTCGCTCACTTTCCGCTTACGGTGAATGTTGTACGTTATCATTCCTTGGCCGCGAAAATAGGTCCCGACGTTTCAGTCGAAGGACTCGAAAGTAGTACAACACGGCAAAATATCGAAGTGTTGGCGACGACGTCGGATGGGGAACTCCTTATGGCCATGAAGGTGCGTGGGAAGCCGCAATATGGCGTTCAATTTCATCCAGAATCCGTACTGACCGAATGGGGCGCCTGCATCCTCAGCAACTGGATCAACATCGTTTCGATCGAAAGAAATTCAAGACCACAACAGAAAAACCCCTGGTGGCGCGGAGATAAGAAAGACGATGCACGGAGTGTGAAAAATCAAAATGGTCAACATGCTCCTGAAAAGACCTCGGTGCCTGCCTTGTTGCGTGACCCACGCGATACTGCGCCGCAGCTTTTTGTTCAGAAGATGTGCATACCGCAACATTTCGATGTGGAGCAGTTTTTTCAACGCTCAGTGGCCGCTTCTGGCGATCGCGATGGTATGTCAAACGCAAAGCCCAGCTTCTGGCTCGACAATGTTCGAGGAGAACAGGACGGATCCGGTTTTTCCTTTATGGGCGGCGGGAAGCTCGTAAGCCGTTTGCAGGACCTTGTGCAGATGGATGGCAAGTGTGATACGAATAGCACGACTCCTACTTCTCCTTTCTCATCGCAAAGCAGCGAAGATGAGGAATATTTCAATGAGGAATATTTCATCCACTACTATCGTTCTACCGGTTACGTCTCTGTTTCCAAGTCGTCGGCCTATGCTGTCGATGGAGAACCGAAAAGCGGCGTCGATCCAAGCGACGAGCAGCATGAAAGTGGACGAGCTGGAGGTCGCGGAGTAGAGACCCAAACCATACCCCTGCGTACAAATGAGACCTTATTGGATTGGTTTTCAGACTTTTGCGAGCGCACGAGCGCTTTAGAGGAACCAGTGATTCAAAGTGAGAATATGACAACATTACCGTTTGATTTTCGATGCGGCTTTGTCGGGTATTTTGGTTACGGTCTACGCAGGGAGACGCTAGATGGTTACAGCAAGGAAGATGAAATAGACACAGTCGTCGAGAAGAACCACAAAGCGGGTTCGATGAATGATGATGACAGCAGGCCTCCTGCTGAAGCCCCTGAAGATCATGGGGGATATCCAGACGCCTATTGGTACTATGCTACGCACTGTATTGTCCTAGATCACGCCGATCAAAGCCTCTACTTGCTCTCGAAAGATCACCCGTATCCACCAGGAACGCTTACGAGGCTGGTCGCATCGTCCGTAGATTTGCCTAAACACAAGTTTCCATCGAAAGCAGAGGCGACTTTGCCCGAAACGTCTGCTACAAAATCCAAAGAGCTGCAACCTGAAATTCGAATGCAGCCTTTGCTGAATCGGCATGAGTATGAAGCGCAAGTGCGTGCCTGCAGAGAGCATTTGCTAGCGGGTGACAGCTACGAACTGTGTTTCACCACAGAGTGGCAGAGCGAGGAGAGTGCTTGTTCTCTTGCTGATTCTAGTTCTGGTTCTGATCTTTCATCAAATCAAACTTCTAGTGGTCAAGACAATCGTGACGTTTTCGCTCTTTACCGCGGCCTCCGATCCCGCAACCCAGCTCCCTACGGCTGCTACTTGGAAGTGCCTCTACCTGATGCTGGTGTTGACCACAACGAGAGCCCCAAGAACAAGAAGGTATTGCATGTTTTATCCAGCAGTCCTGAGAGGTTTCTCAAAGTCGACCGTCTGGGTTGGGCAGAAATGAAGCCGATCAAAGGAACAGTGAGGCGTGGCGATACGGTAGAAGAAGACGAAGCGCTACGAACATGGCTTCAGTCAGATGTGAAGAACAGGGCTGAAAACCTGATGATAGTAGATTTGGTACGTCATGACCTGCGGAAAATATGTCACGGAGGTAGTGTGCATTGTCCGAACCTGATGCATGTCGAGAGCTACAAAACCGTACACCAGTTAGTAAGCACGGTGCGTGGAAAATTGAAAAATCTAAAAAATCGAGAAGTCTTTGAGAAGCCAAAGAGCAAGCTTGAGAAAAGCGCAGTCCAAATCGAAGATGACGCTAAGCAGGAACATGTGGATCTTTTCGGGTGTATTCAAGGGTCTTTTCCGCCTGGTAGCATGACGGGAGCACCGAAGAAACGTAGCTGTGAGCTGTTAGATCGGTTAGAGAAGTCGGAACGCGGGATCTATTCGGGAGCCCTGGGTTTTCTAGGTCTCGGACACACATGCGAACTCTCTGTAGTGATTAGGACTCTCTTTGTGGAAAGCGAAATTGACGTGACAAACAACAGTAGCAGGTCCATTTCAAAGGTGCGCTTGAATGCTGGAGGTGCAATTACCGTTTTATCAAAGCCATCCGAAGAGTGGGACGAAATGCTTCTTAAATGCAAGGCCCCCCTTCAAGTTCTGAGTGGGAAAAATAGTCATGTGGATGTGACTAGGAGTGCACCGTCGTTGAAAAATCGGGGCGCTCAGAGTACACGAGACTCAAAAAGTGATGATGTACCTACTGCGAACGGGGCTGGTATCGACGCTGGTGATGAAGGAATACGAGCAAGCAATGGTTGTTGTAAACAGCCACGACAGGACGACGCGGTCGAGACTTCTTGCAAAGCCAGAACGCGGCAAGAATCGCGTTCCGTAGTCGCTTCGCCTAGCTGCATAGCCACCTCACCAGCAGTGCTTACGACCATGAAATCGTGCGTTTGTGGATCATATTCTTTGGACGAACCGCGCCTAGTCGTCGTCATCCCATTTCTCGCGGACCATCTAGAACGGTTACGGAGTTCTTGCTTGACGATATTAGGGGCTTCTCTCCCACCAGGACTTTTGACGGTCGCAAATTTGCGGGATGCAGTTCGGACTAAATTTTCAGAACTACAAACACGAACAGCAACAGAAAAACCACGACTAGGGAGCTTTCGTATTCGGTGTGAAATTGCCCGCAATGAGGGTTCGTCATCAGGGGTCGATTTCTCAGTTACTGTGGCGGCATCAATGTCAGAAACCGACTGTGCAAGAGACGCTGCGTGTGCTGCTGGGATCCCGTTGCAAGTCAGAAACGTGGAAGCAATAGAAACTAGACTAGAGGAAGATATGCTTGCACCACTTGTAAACTCTTCAGATGGAGGAGCTTTATGCAAAGACTCGCACTCGCCGTTTATCCTATCTGCTTGCGTCGATCCCGAAGCGAGTGCAACGGATAGCCTTGCAGCGCACCATAAAACAAGCGAGCGGTCTTTGTATGACCGCAGTCTTGAGCGCGTAAAGGAGACAGTTCTCGAACCGGAAAATTCAGATGCTGCTCATGCAACGTTTGCATCATCCCTGCTTTGGAACCTTCGTGGTGAGATAACCGAACTGCATATTGCCAACTTCGCTGTTGAAATTGTTTCTGATCTTGACAATTATGGTGGTGGTCACAGAAGCGTCTGGATTACTCCACCACTCCGCAGCGGGCTACTTCCTGGCATTGTTCGGAACCGCCTAATCAAGCTAGGCCTCATACAAGAGCGAGTCCTGACGCTGCCACAGCTGCGCGAGTTAGTACTTGTAAGAAAAAGCCGTTGCATTGGGTTCAATGCCCTCAGAGGAGTGTTTGCGGTCGAGTTGAGCTTTCCGCATGTTAAGGCAGCTGCGAAGTCGATAGGAAAACTGGATACCTAAGAAATTAACGGCCGGCTGATCTATTCATGGCTGACGAAAAATGCTGCCGCAGCGCCGTCTGCTTCTGCTACCATTCACGCTCGCTCTCAATGGACATCCCGGCGTAACATGATCCTCTAAAATTACAAGTCAAAGAAGATCTTTTTCGGAAAGAGTCTTGCCCTAAATTGGCGCGAATCAAAGACCGTCCCTGCGTCGTTGCTAGGGAAGATTTGGAGGACGGCTTAAGAAAAAGGTCGTGCAGAAGCATGGGATTGCCGATTGCGCGACCACACGGGAAGTGAGTAGGAGTACACTTCGCAATATTTCTAAGCCTTTGCTGTATTCCGCTTTTTCTCGTTGGAAAAACTCAGCTTCAACATTGGCCACGAGGACTCTGTGGAGTCAACGCAGATTTCAATCCGAGCATTTGACTGACTGTTCCAAGATGAGGATGAAATCGACGATGATATTCTTTGTGCATTTTTGATTTCGAGTTTTGTATTTTTGTGTTTTCCTGAGCCTGACATCGTCATCGATCTCGAACTCGATCATGTGGATGTTCTTCTCATAGCTCGTCAAAACTGCGAAAAAGTAAAAACTCTGGATATTCCTTGTAAGTACATTCAGACGTCCTTCTTGGTTGATGTTTCTATCTATCGAACAATTGTTTCATGATGGATTCTAGCTTCCGCGTGGACGCGGTGGAGGGCTCAGGACCAGCAATCACGGTGGTTGTTAGCAAGCTTTTCGGAGTCGTCACGTTCGGTCTTGAGATGCCTCCTCAAAGTCGCAGATGGTCATATCGTTAGCTTCTACATCTACTTGGGTGACACACCGCTCCGGTTCCGGACGACCGCTCGTAGTTGGTTAAGTATTTCGAGGAGAGGAACATGTCAGTACATGTCATGCTCTAGAATCTCGGTATCGTCGTTGGAGCCACAATGTATAAAAAAGAAGTTTTGACGGAGTGATTCTGGTTTTGTCCACATAGACATAGTATGATCGATCATCGTCATCGTGGTTGCAGATGCCTCTCGCGATCATCAAATGCCGCAATATTTCAATCATGTTCGGTTGTATCGAAAATGTGGAAAGAGTCGTGGATCGAATTCGTCATAAAGACAATGCAATTTAAGAGAAAAGTAGGAGGTTCGTAATTCATTTGCAATTTAAGAGAAAAGTAGGAGGTTCGTAATTCATTTATAAAATTAGCTTCTTGGGGTTGGGCATCTCGATCTTCTGAGTAAGCATCAAATTGTGGACACTTTAGGAAAAAGAATATCTTACCGTGAAGATTCGTCCTCATCAGTGTTCTTATCTTTCCGTGCCATCGTGATCGTTTACTATCACTTCGCGTTTTCCAACACCAAAAATGGTCAGTTTCCTCATGGGGGACCTCGCAGGCCTAAGTGCTGGGCTCACCAGCGCGGAAGATACGAAAGCTTGGAGCAGCTTCCTGGGTGATGTTCGGCAAGACGAATCAGCTGCCGACGGAATTTTGTCATCTTCACACGCACGACATGTCGATACGAATACGAATGCAAAACCCTCTCTGTCTCTGGTGGTCGGCAACTCACCATCCGCTTCGTCATCGTCGTCTTTTGTTGAGCGGCATGTGCCACTCGTAAAAGATAGGAGTTCGGATTTGTTGAACAAAGGCCACCTCGTCGGAAGCAGCAAAGCGGCAGGCCTATCCGCTCGTTCTCACATAGAGGAAGCGACAGGGAGCCCGTTGGTACCGAAAAGTGCGTCATCAAGTTTTCTGCAGTACAACCATTCGGACGCTGTCTCTTCCACAACAAGCAGTGGCGGCCTGCATCTTCTTCACGATCACGATTCAGCAAGAGCAGGACATACAGACTTATCTTCGCCAAGCGGTAGTTCTGCGTTGATGCGCCTAGCGCATGGACACGAGCTGTCCTCGACGGATCACGATATTCTTCGACACCACATCCAAGTGCTAGCTCGTGGTCAGCACGCGCATCCACACGACACGTCATTTCTACTGATGGGGTCAGGCAATAGCACGATCAGTAGAGCAGCAGCCGCATACCCCATGCCGACTGACTTCTCCGCTCTCAGCTTAAAAGATTTGTTCTACGTGGCAAAAACAGGCTTCTTACTCTTCGGCGGACTCTGCTCCAAAATGTACTTTGCAATTTCCCTAGCTATTGTGCAGCACCATTCTCTAGCTCTCACAGTGAAACAACCCTAGCATCTGATGAAGTACATACTTTCTTACGAAATTTAGCTGCTGCAACAGTCAGCTGTACTACCGTTCATCTTGTTGCAAAAGATGAACTAACGTGGTTGATGATCTTGAAAATCTAGAAGACTTTTACTCCATCTCCATTCTTTGTGTTATTTCTGAAATCTAGGTTTGGTATGGGTTTGATCGGTTTCCTGGCATTCCAGTCAATGACTGCGCCAAAAAGCGAGCTTCCGCGACCTTACACGGCGTATTATCCCCAGCCGGTCTTGTATCCACACGTTTACTCTGTTACGGCAAGTCCTCAGGGGTAGTAGAAAAACTGTATCTCTATCTATGTATAGAATCTATATCATCCGAGGAGATCAATCATGCGTTTGTTAAACCAAAATGTTCTTCATAATAACTAGCCTCCACAAGCTTCGCCCGGCTTCAAGTTAGTTAAGCACTTTTCTGCAGCCTACCACGGGCTACAGCCGCTAGAGTAGAGACAGCCCGCGGGTGAGCTGTTGCACCCTACGAATTAACTACGACAAGAGCCGAGCGCCGACGGCGGCCGACTGAGATCGATGCGTCGACTCACGTGCAGGGCATTGCGCTGCCTTCGGTTTTTTTATGAGATTGCCGGGAGGGTCCTGCAAATTCTTAAGAATTTGCAAGACCCCCACGGCAGTCCAACGAAAAAACCAGAAGAGGGCCACCAGACACGCGCAAGAATCCGCAAGCCCCAACGCACGCAAACGCCTCGCGGTGGCGCCAGGCAAGGACGGGCGGCGGCTTTAGCGGGCCAAACAAGACAAAGCATAAGCAACGCAGGGCCGCGCTGCTCGGGTCTCTCTACGCGCTTACACATGGCGGGGCTTCTTTGTTTCGTCAGATGTCTCTCGTCAGAAACAGACGGGCGCACTTCGCGGGGGCGTGGGGCGTCGCGCTTGGGTTGTGGCTGAAGCCTCTTGACTGGCTGACGCCTTTCGCCAGGATGGAGACCGGGGCCTTCCATCAGACTGAGACCCACGCGCTGCGCCAGGCTGGCGGCCTTCGTCAGACGACAGGCCGGCGCCCTTCGGCGGACGTCGTGGGCCAGGCTGAGGCCCTTCGTCAGGGTCAGGCGACGTCTCTCGTCAGGCTGACGCCTTTCGTCAGACTGAAGCGCTTCGCCTGGCCGATATTCCTCGCTGGGCCAAGACTCACGCCTTTGGTCAGGTTGATGGCTTGCTTCAGCGTGGCGCCGTTGGTTCGTCAGGCTGATGCACTGACCAGCCAGGTGACGCCCCTCGCCAGACCGGCGCACTGCTTCGCCAGGCGTCTGCCTTGCGTCGGAAGCGGAACAGGCTGCGCGGGGCCTTTCTTCGGGCTGCGGATGTCTTTCCTTCGTGAGATTGATACTGCCCCTTCGTCAGACTGACGATTTTCGCCAGACTGACCGCGTTCGTCGGACTGACGTCCTTCGTCGAAGGTCTTCGCTATCCTCGTCGAGGTAGGGCTTCTCGCCACAGGTCGGGCGGCAGTTTTTCTGGCCGAGGTCGTTCGTCAGATGTCTGCCGTCGCGGGTCTCTTGTCTTGTCGGAGGTCTTTGGTCCACGGGTCGTCTCTGGTCGTCCAAAGGTCGCCTGTGGTCCAAGGGTCGCCTTTGGTCCAAAGGTCGTCTTACTTTGGTCCAAAGGTCGTCTTACTTTGGTCCAGCGGTCGCCTTACTTACTTTGGTCCAGCGGTCGGCTTACTTTGGTCCAGAGGTCGCCATAAAAGGTCGCCTGTGGTCTGCAGGTCGTCTGTGGTCCAGAGGTTGCCGCTGGTCTGAGGGTCGTCTTTGGTCCAAAGGTCGGCTTTGGTCCAGAGGTCTGCCGTGGTCCAAAGGTCGTCTTTGGTCCAAAGGTCGTCTTTGGTCCAAAGGTCGCCCTTGGTCCACAGGTCGCGTCTGGTCCAAAAAAACGCCTCTGGTCCACAGATCGTCTTTGGTCCACAGGTCGTCTCTGGTCCAAAGATCGCCTCTGGTCCAAGGATCGCCTTCGGTCCAAAGATCGTCTTACTTTGGTCCAAAGGTCGCCTTATTTTGGTCCAGAGGTCGCCTCACGGTCCAGAGGTCGCCTTACTTTGGTCCAGAGGTCGCCTTACTTTGGTCCAGAGGTCGCCTTACTTTGGTCCAAAGGTCGCCTTACTTTGGTCCAAAGGCCGCCGCACTTTGGTCCAAAGGTCGCCTTACTTTGGTCCAGCGGTCGTCTGGTGTGGTCCAAAGGTCGCCCGTGGTCCAAAGGTCGCCTCTGGTCCAAAGGTCGTCTTGGGTCCAGCAATAGCAAAGGTTGTCTTGGGTCCAAAGGTCGTCTTGGGTCCAGGGGTCGTCTCTCTTGGGTCCAGGGGTCGTCTCTGGTCCAAAGGTCGCCTTTGGTCCAGAGATCGCCGCTGGTCCAGCGATCGCCTTTGGCCCCAAGATGGCCTTTGGTCCCAAGATCGTCTCGGGTAGGTCCAACGATCGCCTTTGGTCCAAAGATCGGACCAAAGACTGCACTCGGTCTGAAGGTCGCCTTCGGTCCAAAGATCGCCATTGGTCCATAGGTCTGGGGTCCGGGTGTCTTTGGTCGAAGGTCTTTCTTCGGCTGTTTCTCTTTGGACTTCTCTCGCCAGCTTGCGCCCCTACCCCCGTCGGGCATTTTTCTGGCTTCTTTTCTGGTAGTCTGCCACGGGGCCGCAACGTGAACGCCAACAAGAAAACGGCCGGAGGCTATCGGGCTTAGGAGTGAGGGGAAAGGGCAGGAGGTTATGGGCAATAGCTTCGCGGCAGGAGGTGACTAATCTCCGGTGGGTTAGGCGGGGAGTTTTATGGCGGCGGAGATTAATAATATAGCTTAAGAATCTAGCTTAAGAATCTAGCTTAATAATCTAGCTTAATAGTCTAGCTTAATAGTCTAGCTTAATAGTCTAAGCTTAATAGTCTAAGCTTAAGAATCTAGCTTAATAATCTAGCTTAATAGTCTAGCTTAATAGTCTAGCTTAATAGTCTAGCTTAATAGTCTAGCTGAATAATCTAGCTGAATAATCTAGCTGAATAATCTAGCTGAATAATATAGCTGAATAATATAGCTGAATAATATAGCTTAATAATATAGCTTAATAATATAGCTTAATAATATAGATTATTTTTTTGTTATGTTTTTTATCTATCAACTTATAATAATTGTGCAACAAACTCTTTCTAGCATTCGTGCTCGAAAAATTCACATATCAGAATCCAGAAGTTACACCCAAGTCTTGGTTTATCTTTGTTCTCTTTCTAATTCGGATGAAGACGATAGTGGCGAGGATAGCGGTTACGGCGAGTACAGATATCTCCCAGCGCTTCCTGACAGTCGAGGGCCAATGCCGCAAGGGCCAGAGGTCGACGCACCTCGTGGATGCAAGGGTTGTCAAGGATGCAACAGCAAGTGCGGGCCAAGTGGAAAAGGTTCGGGGCCACCTGATGTCCGCAACAAAACTTCTAGCGGAAAGGGGTCTGCTGCCTCGGCAGAAGGAGATGGCAGCCGTGGTGGTGGAGAGGCACCTCGAAAAACGAGTTAGTATTGTAGTGTGACACGCCGACGACTGAACTTTATTTTAGAAGGAACTATCATTCACGATGGATTATGAGTACTACTTAGTAGGTGTCCTACTTTTTCGTTTTTCTTGATCTTCCAAAACGCTAAATTGATTTTATCCAACATAATCAAGATCATCAATTTGAAGTTGAAGTTTATTATCCTAATCCTACTCAATCTCAATGATACTATTTCTATTTCACTTAGCGGATGGTTCGAGAAGGAAACGCAACTGCTTTCTCGAGTCGTCCTTTTGCTACCATCTTGGACCGTTGTTGTAGCCTTTATTTTATTTAAACGAACTACCGCTCCTATGTTCCCTATCGACGCCAGTTTCTTCTTAATGATTACTGAATTTATCCTGCAGTGTGCTATCTTTTGCAAGCCTACTTCGTTGAGTAGTTGTATAATTAATGGGCAGCCTAAAAACTATCGAGTAAGCCGACGCTGATCTAAAACAGAAGATGCCGTAGCCGAACTGCAGGTGATCCTTGCTTACATCTGACTGTGAAATCAAGAGAAACACTGCCGCAAGCGCAATATCTGCTACGTGAACGTAAGGGTTCGTCGTTAAAGAGAGCTGGTTTTATGTAATTCCTTTGTGTACAAATTGATTCTTCCCTTAGTTTCCAAGCCTAGTATATGTTCTCCGCAATGGATTTACATTTACTTGTAGTCGATTACGATTATACCAGTATCGGAGGGTTCTCGATTCAGGACTACCTTGTACGCATATTCAGCCGCCCCGTTCCTAGAACACCGGGCGATTGTTGTTGGGTTGATTGGCACTCTCAAATTTTACGCACATGCGCAGCGTGCCTTCATTCCTCAATTAGGGTCAGTCTACTTAGTCAAATATATACTGCCGGGTGGTGACCTTGCCTAGCCGCGAGGTGGAGGCCGCCTTAATGGGTCTATTCAAATCCGTTGCAATGAAATTCCCCGTGAGAGAAAGGTCAGCGGTTGCCTTCATTTTGCGGGACTCTGTGTCCTCTCCAGTATCTCTGAGATTGATAGAGATATTTATTTGAGACGAACTGGAAAGAGAAACGAGCGACAGCGACTCTCTGTCTGCTGAAAGAGGATGAGGAGAGATACATAGAAGAGCCGATCTCTTTCTGTAACAATAAAAACAACTCTGGAGAAAAAGAATGACGAGAGCACGAGAAGACGCGGGTTTGATGCTCTAAGAACTTCTGTCATGATCATCAGGCGCGGAAAACACAAGCATGCACATTGTTCGCCTTGATTGATTCGTGTGTTTGTTCCCGAGATGATTTCAAAGCCATTGATTATTAAGTACCCCATCACATCATGATCCAAACTTCATAAATAATATCGTCGTGAACAGGAGTTCCTCGATTGAGGTCTGAAGAAAACACGCCACTCACCTCACTTCACATGCATTTTTGTTGTTGTTTTTCCCCTCCGAATGTTTTGGTTCTTTAGACAATTTATTAATTTCGATAATTTAGAGTAAGTATTCACTGAACTGGACTTCTACAGTTCAAGTTAATCCGGGACGAGAAGCTGAGTTTTCTTCGTATCTTCTAAGTATTTGTTTCAGTTATCTGTTGAATACTTGAGCTTGAGGATATTCAAATTCTTTAACTTCTTGAGCAAGCAGATGAAGTGTTTGAGCCAGTAAGACTAGCTGCGCTTTCCTACAAGATAGAACTTTAGCCTCGTATGGTGTTTCAGCAAGTGCGGGTAGGCCTATTTCGAAAGAACAAATACATCGACGATGATTATCTTTGTAATCATCTCGCTTTGCGGTTATTTGTAGGACTTTTTGGTTTCAAATATCAGTATTAAGGATGAGTAATCCCCCAGATTTCCTTCTAAAGGATGTCGATGTTATTATTACTTAATGATCATCAACATGACGATGACCATGATCGTTAGAATGATCTACAACAAGTAGAAGAAGAAGTAGACCAGGAAACAAAATGTCTTTTGGCCACGTCATGACATCAAGCAGGCAGGGTTTGTCTTCGTACAACCCATGGCCTAGCCGCATAGGGATGATGACGTCCTCTTTTACAGGGCAGTGGAGCAAACCTGCGACGCCAGACGTGATTGCTCGTCGTCATAGAACAACTCAGACTTCATTCGGTCGACGCTTTAGTACAACGGCGGTCGCACCAATAAACAATGACCGGACGAGGAGTTTTAATACCGATCATGCGAATTATAGAGGGGCCTTTGATATTGACCGAGTACGAGCGGCGCTAGCCGAGGTGTGGCGTCACGAAGAACAGCTCCTTCAGGGTGTTTCGAACAAGTCTACTGTCGCTCGTGTTGATGCTCCAAGGCAGCGGCAACAAAAAGAGGACACTTCTGGCTCTTCCACTTTGAGCCAAGAACAACAAGCTGTGAAGATCACCAGTGTGCAGTATGGTGATTCACAGGCCAAGTGGCACTATTTGGATCGCGAAATGAGTTCGAATATGGCGGGAGAAACGGGTGCTGTGTTTATCTATCGCGGTGCCAGAGCAGCGGCATTGGCCCGATTGTGGCTGTGGGAACGAGGTCTCGGATTACTTTCGCAACTTGCCTTAGCATCACTTTCACAGCAGCAGCTGCGAGAGCGCTTTATAAACGTGCAACGTCGAGATCGGCTAATGCTAGACTTCGTATCATCGCATCTGGATGCCGAACAAAAACACTTGGATCTTTTCAAGAACGCTTTCAACGGGCGTCCCTGGATGCATACGCGATTGCTGCCACTCTGGCGTGTAGGCGGGCTCACTCTCGGCTTCACGCCAGCGTTTTTTGGTGGGGGTGTGTGGTTGTATCACACAGTTGAGGCTGTCGAGACCTTTGTAGAGGGCCACTACAACGAACAGATCCGATACCTTCACAACTACATGGGAAACCAGGTTCCTGTACAGAGTGTACTATCTTCCCCAAAACAAGGGCAACCTCCAGCTCCGCACCTGAAGCAGGCAGCTCAGGAGGGTATTCGAGAAGTCGAGAACAAGGTAGACGTAGAAAGCAGCGTGTCTTCAGAATCTGAAGACGGGAAAAAAACGCTGCGCAAAAAACGATCATTCCAACGACAGTCGTCTGTGCGTAGACCGGGATGGAACGCGAGTCAGGAGAACAGCAATTACAGGCAGCCTTCTCAGGAAAGCGATCGGAATCACCAAGAAGAAATCGAGAAGAGTAAGACAGATATGGCAAGAAAAACCGATGTTCATCCTGAGCATGAACAAGAAGAGATCACTCCTGATAAAACAACTGAAGATATGTGTACGGCACACTCAGACGTAACTCTATCTAGTGAAAACGGAACAATAGTATCAACAACCCTAGAGGACACTAGAAGGAGCGAGAATGTCCAGGAGCTCGTGCGGATGTTGCGAAGTTGTTGCGAGGACGAGATTCACCATAAGGATGACGCGCAAGAGAAGCTCCTAGCGGAAGATGCGAAAATACGCCTATCGCATCGCTTCTGGCGCTCTGTAGTCTTTCATGGAAGTGCGACCGCTGCAACAATCGCGAAGTACGTTTAATGAAATTCGTTGTACTTCCTACTTGTAGAATTCAACGCGCGATCCTTGTTTGTGTGCAGGAAAGGTTTGGCGTTTATTGAGGTCGATGAATATTTTTCCAAAATTAGCGAGATATAGTAGGTGGCTAAATGCTCGTGTAAACGTAAAGATTATGGTAACTCGTATATGACCACTAAAACTTTGCATCAGCATTTTCCGGGTCCATACTCCATGCTTTTCTCTAAGTTAGATCTACTAGTCAGTGTGATGTACCATGTCAGAGTCTTTGGCTATTTGTCATTGAAATGGCTTTTGTGATAATTTGGAGCTCAACGACGAGCTTCTCCTCTTTACACTTGTGGGCTGTCAAGAATGCCTCAAGAACAAATTGTGAAGTTGAAAATAGACTGTGATGTGAAGAGCAGCATACAAAACATTGTACAAATTGAAAATTTAGTCCTAGTCCAAGCCGTTTAGATTCTCGTCGTTTATTTCGAGAGATTCAAAAAAATGGTTCTTTCATCTATTCAAAATCTTTAAGGAACAATACGATTTCGATTATTGTGGATCCGAAGAGCCGTGTGTTCTTTCCCTATGTTGGCGTTCTAATTTGTCTCGGGATCCTTGCCCTACTAGGTAGATGGCATCGTGCATTTCCTGTTGTCTTTAGCGGCAGCGAATGCGAATCTGAGTCTTCTTGGATGATGAAAATGAAACCCGTCTGAATCATCTTCAATCTGTCAATATTTTAGAGCAAGTCGCCAAAGGCAGTGCGTGATCAACGATCCTTCCTGCGGATCCATGCTTCATAGTAGCACATCGTCCCGTAGTGCACCGAGACCGACCAGCACTTGGTGGACCGAATCGTAGCACGTGGTACGATCAGAGGACCACGATTGTGGTTGTGGTGGTATCGTATCTCCTAACAAAAATAGTGGCATGATGAAGATTAGTGTCGCTTTGAGTATCACAATTTACATTTTGAACATCAAATTCAGGGACAGGACTGCTAGCGACAGGTTAGTTAGTATGAAAGACATGTGGAAAATCAACCTTCGTTATCGGTGAAAGTCATTTTCACTCATCTATTTCTACACTTGGTGCTTGTTTGATTTCTACTTCATCTACACAAGTCCAAGTGGATAATCGTAATTTTGATAGTAGATTTTTTAGAAGTACGTAGAGATAGAGTATCATCAAAAAGATGGGGAAGAAGGAGTCTTCTACTCAGATCGACGCGTGGCGGCGCAAGAACAAGGCTAAAGAGCGACAGAAGATCCGCGATACGAGGAAAGAGAATTTTCAGAACAAGTTAAAGGATGACGGGTTTGACGCGGCAGAGCAGGAAATTGAGCGCCTCAGGATACTCAAGGATGCGGAAAAATTGTCGCATGAGGGTAAGCACAAGCTTGAGATGCACGAAAAGTTTGTCGCTCTTCATGCGCCAGAACTGCTCAAACGACAAAAAGAGAAGGAAGAGGAGGCGGAAGACGCCAAACTTAAGGAGGTGCTCGACCGCAGAAAAAGAATAGCCAGATTCAGCCTCTACTACGATGAAGACGTACGACTCCTATATCTACTAAATGAAGAAGGTCTTCCGGTGAAGATTATACTTGATGAATACGTACCTTAGGTCTGAACTTCTAAGTGAGCCGCCTTTGCTTCGACATCTATCGTGTAGTCCTACAACGCGGATCATCTTTACATCAATCATATGTATCAGTAGCTTCAATAGCTTCTATCACTTTCAATACACTCTCTCACAGGAAAACCCGTACGGCATAGCGCCACCTGGCGACCAGGAGCAGTTTCGATGGCCAGACGGGAGCGTGAAGAGCGAGCCACCTTTTCAAGATGACGACCGAGAGACGAAACGACGGAAGTTGGACAAGGAGACATTCAAGCTGCCTGGATTTAGCTCCGGGATGATGGCGAAGATCCGAAGAGACGCGCTAAAAGCGGCAGAAGAAGAGGAGCGCGAAGCCAATGGTGGCGCAAGAATAGCAGCTCCAGATAGCGACGACGATGATCACGTAGATGATCTTCACAAAGACGGCACAAGAAAGGCGAACACCCGAGTATCTACAGGTGGAGATCAAGCGCAACAAGAGGCTCCAGTTTTCTACGTTCCGCCATTGCCAGAAGAGCCGTACCCATACTACGAGGCCCCAACGATGTCGCAGGAGCCGATTGTGACTAGTATCGAGCTAATCCGGGACACGATGATCGCCATAGCCAACGTGCGCAACGCTTTGTTAGAAAGCGTAGCGAATCGAGTCGTGGACCCAGTCCAGGCGCATATGGAGCGAACACTCGTCGGTGGGGGCCCTCGCGGCTTCGCTCCTCCGCCACCGTGGAAGGGAAAAGACGGTGACCACCACGGTAAGAAAGGCCTGAAGGGCGGGAAAGACGGGAAGAAAGGACGCTATGGGAAGAAAGGTGAAGATGTGCCACTTCCTGCAGCACTTTCGAAAGCATCAGCTGTCAAGGCACAGGCGCAGGAACGCGGCGACGACGAGGATGATATCGTGATCACAATTAAGAGCACCAATAGCGGAACGTCGTCAGTACTGCCTCCGCATCAGCCACCGCCTTCGACATCGTCCCCTACAACAGGGCGCCCACAAAGACAAGGACCACGAGGTTCTCCTTCGGGTGCGAAGATGTTAGTTGACCCCAAAGCAAACGCCATGTTATTGAACCGCTTCGCAAAACGAGGGAAACAAAATCTAGCCTACCTAAAAGCCCAAACGCAAGTGAGTGCTCAAGCCACAGTGACGCGCTCAGCAGCAGATAGAGACATGGATGACCTGCTACACCAAATCGATGAGTAATGGTAATGCCTTTTTCCCTTTCACGGTATGGATGACTTTCGATGACGTTCATCAAATCCCATCACTACGACGAAAAGACGAGAATGAATCACATCCTCCTCCTCCATGATAGTACAAGAACTTGGGTACTATTTTTACTGCGTTGTAACCCAACGAGAACTCTAACTACCACGGAAACCCTGGAGTGTGACTCTTCAGACAACCAAATTTCCGATTTCAAATCTCGAAGCCACGAGTGTATTTGAAGTCTGTTGAGTTGAAAACGAAAAAACGAACTGCACAGGCAGAAAACGGTACAAAATGCAAAAAGATAATCAAGACCGACAACTCCGACAATTAGAATTAAACGTGCGCAAATGGAGATGAAATTGAACAGTGAGTAGAATTGCATTGGGCAGCGTTGTCTATTGGTCCTAAAGTCGAAAGTCGATTGAAGAAAGAAACCATCTGTATCTCGAGTGAAGATTGGTTCAACAGAAAACGAATTTCTGAACATAAAGAACTGGTATGCCCCCTTGTGTCCGAAGAGGAGCAGCAACTCAACATCGTAAGTCAACAGTTAACAGAGAAATAATAAACATCAAGAATATCTATCAACAAAAATATTGATTTTTACGAATTCTCCTATAATTGAGATCATGGTAGCGTCTGGCAGACTCGTCGCTGACCCTTTTGAGAAAGGCGATGACGCCTTGGCAGGATGTGGAACAGGGCAGAAAGAAGACGATCCTGCTCAAAGTGGAAGTAGCCAGTGCAGCAAAGGCGAGGACGAGAGTGACCAAGAGCTTGCGGGGCGACGAGGGGCGGCTGCTTCTTCGGTCGCGGATGTTCTGTTTCGCAGCGAATGGTTTCTGTCCCGTGTGCTGACCTTTTCTTCGTGGGAGACGCGACTCGAGGCAATGCTGATAGCGAAAATGACAAGTGACCAGCAGGAAGCCTATTGGTCCTTCCTCTGCATGCGGCTAGCAGAAGAGCGGTGCTTGACGCTGTTGCCGCGACGATTTTTTCCGAAACTGCACATAACAAGTGCAAAGGCCTACTTCCAGCGTCTGTGGAAGCAAAGAAATCGATTTTTGCTTGCGGTGGATCCATTGGTGCAAGTTTTGCCGAGCCGTGAGAAACTGTTGCCAGAAGACGAAAAAAACGCTCAACCGGAACAGGATCCAACGGAAGAGTCCAAGCAAGGAGAAGTAAAGGTCAGTCCACCTTCTGACGCGGATGCGTCGGAGCCTGAACCGGAGCAGGTTTTTCAAACCGTGTGCCGATTCCGACCTGCTTCGTGTTTCCGGGAAACGTTAAGGTCAGTTGTTAAGTAAGTACTAGCCTAGAGCGACGCGTAGCTCATTTCCGCACTAGAATCACCACGCACCACCACAAACCAAAAAAAAAAGCATGCCGGCGCACGTGCAGGCACCGACCTAAAATCTTTTCTATGCAACCACAGAAAGGAAACCCTTCCACATCCTGAAGGATAGCCAAGAAGGCGCCGGGAAGGGGGCGGGACGTTCTGGGATCTAGTAACGTCCGAGAAAAGTAGCCGAGGCCGCTGCCCTCTCTCCTTCTATTAATGTCCGGGAAAATTGGCCGGGGCCGCTCCCTCCCTCTTCTTCTATATTTGTCTGAGAAAATACCGAGACTGATGGACAGGGGGAACCGCTGCCCCCCTCTCCTATGGCCGGGACTGCTGTCCCCCTCTGCTTCTATTAATGTCCGAGAAAAGCCGAGGCCGGTGGACTGACTCCAGGGCGGCGGCTGTCCTCCTCTTCTTCTATTAATGTCCGAGAAAAGTGCCCGAGGCGGCTGCCCTCCTCTTCTTCTATTAATGTACGTCCGAGAAGAGCCGAGACCGATGGACAGGACGGCGGGCGCCCTCTTGTTCTTCTATTAATGTCCGAGAAAAGCCGAGGCCGATGGGCTGGGTGGTGGTTGCCCTGGTCCTCTTCTATTAATGTCCGAGAAAAGTAGCCGAGGCTACTGCCCTCCTTCTGTTCTTCTATTAATGTCCGAGAAAAGTAGCCGAGGCTGCTGCTCTCCTCCTCTCCTTCTATTGATGTCCGAGAAAAGTCGAGACCGATGGAGAGGGCAAGACACGGCCTACCCTCCTCTCAGCGCTTGGCCTTCAATTTTGGCCAAATTGCTAAACTTTTGACTTTAAGCCATTCGAGTGAAATTAGAAACCTGACCGACCCGGGCGCGGTGTGTCCCTCTCTTTCTGATCCAGCGCGGGGGCTTCTCTATCTGGGCTGGAAGGTCTACAAATTTTAGCCAAGGTGCCAACCTTTTGACTTTGATCAATTACAGTTTGGGCGAAATTAGAAACCCATCGCGCGCATGGCTTCCCTTTTTTTCGGCGTTTGTTAGTTTTTAAATTTTGGCCAAAGTGCTAAATTTTTGATTTTAAACCATTTGGAGCGAAATTAGAAACCAACCGCGCGCACTGCCTCCCTTTTTTTTCGGCGTTTGTTTTTAAATTTTAGCCAAGGCGCCAACTTTTTGACTTTGATCAATTACAATTTGGGCGAAATTAGAAACCCATCGCGCGCATGGCTTCCCTTTTTTTCGGCGTTTGTTAGTTTTTAAATTTTGGCCAAAGGGCTAAGCTTTTGACTTTAAACCATTTGGAGCGAAATTAGAAACCAACCGCGCGCACTGCCTCCCTTTTTTTTCGGCGTTTGTTTTTAAATTTTGGCCAAAGTTCTAAACTTTTGATTTTAAACCATTTTGAGTGAAATTAGGCACCTGGCTGGGCGCGGTGCCCAAGCCATCTGGATCTAAACCGTCGGGATCTAAACCACCGGGACCGAAACCGTCGGGATCTAAACCATCGGGATCTAAACCATCGGGATCTAAACCATCGGGATCTAAACCATCGGGACCTAAACCATCGGGACCTAAACCATCGGGATCTAAACCGTCGGGATCTAAGCCGTCGGGATCTAAACCATCTGCCTTCGTCGTGTGTGTGTGGCGGTGTTTTTTTTTTGAGCGTTTTGAAATTTGGTTGTTTATTGTTCATTCTGTTTTTGTATTAACATTTCTTGAAGTACTTGTGGTTCATGTTCATCTGGTTGCATGCTGATCAACACTTAGAAGACAGCCCGACTGAAGATCTTGCCTATGTATATCTTTCTATGGAGCTTTTGTCGCACTGTCACTGACATATCATGTCAACATAATGTTCATTCTAAAATCATGTCAACATAATGTTCATTCTAAAAGCCGCAGAGAACACCTCATCGCATAACAAAGTGACTATTCCTCTGCACCAGCGCGTAAGCTTGTGGCGGCAAAAGGGCTTTTCGAAAGTTGAAGCGCAGAAAAAGGCGCTCGCTTTCGAAAGAGGTCTTCAACTGGCCAGGAGAGGCGCAGGAACTGGTGCAGAGACATCAACCGGGCTTCCACATGGAGCAGGAGAAGATGAGGACAAGGGCCACGATGATGCAGAGGAGTTTGCGTTTTCTTTGAAGCCTTCTAGTGGCACTATTGCGGTGAAGAAAGGAGATGGTGAAGGTGATGAGTTGCAGATGGGGAGTAACAAGAACATGCAAAAGGAAGAAATGACATCAAAATCTGACGGCAGCACCAGCACAGTCGCTGCCACGTCTTCCTCGACTTCTTCTGTGGGTGCGACTAGCCAATACCAGTTACGTGCGAGCATCCTTAATTTCACCGGAACCGAAGTTTACACCCTTTGCCCAGGAGTAGGAGCGAAGCGTTACGAGTACGACGATGTCTTAGGCGAGAAATCCCACACTCTGCATCTCTTCGACCTGTCGTTGCCTTTGATCAACACTTTCTTAAACGGCGAAGATTCTTGCATCTTTTGCTACGGACAAACGGGGTCTGGGAAAACCTTCACAATGTTCGGCGAAGATTTGGAAACCACTGAAGACCTGGCGCGATTGTCTGCCACGGCCAAAGAACTCTATCCAGAACGTGAGACCAGCATTTACGGAGAAGCTTCAAATGAAGGGAGAAGTAAGAGTGCATCTACGCGTACGAACTACGAAGTAGTCGGCGGATCATCGCCATCTTCGACTACGATGCTTGGAGGTTCGGCACCTCCCACGGACGATCGCTTTGGGCTAATACCGCATGCGCTTCTCTACCTTCTCCGAAAGAAGCCTGAGCGACTACAAATATCGCTCTCTTTTGTTTATGTGATGACGACGTAAAAATATTTTGTTTTCATCGAAGAAGCGGAAGGAAAACGGCTCTGAGAACTGAGTTCTCTCAAGATGCAACATCTTTTGTTTTTTGTTAGAAAGATCGTTTCTTGAATTCTAAGGCTCTCGAGATTGTTTTCATCGAGCTGTTTACGAGTAGAGGATCGATACTGTCACTGTGTATTTCAGTACTCATATTGCCAGAAGACCTGATTTCGTGGAACTTCGTACGCAATTTGTTAGATATTTGTTAATTGTTAGCCCCTATCGATGAGAAAGAATGGTTGAACCTTTCTTGTACTTCTTGGATGATGCTGTTGTCCTTTCATACAGCAGAGGTGTTTGGAAATCAAGTCCGCGACTTGCTTACGGGCCGTCCTGTTGTTTCTTTGCTGACGACTCCTGCTACTGAGAAACCGCTTGACTCAGCAAACGATATCTTCACATTTCTGCAAGCAGGTGCGCAGCATAAGCGCGCAGCGGCCACGGCAATGAACGAGAAGAGCACGCGGGCTCACGCAGTGGTAATAGCCAAGCTCCACGATGCAACCGGAGAACCGACATCCAAATTTGTCCTGGTGGATTTGGGTATTTCTAACTACTCCGTTTTCCTTTTGATGTTGATGTAAGTAGACAAAAAGTTTTATGTTCGACTTTGAGTGATTCAACACGAAAGGTTAATGTTAATAAATCTAACCTTGTTCTTCTTGTTGATAAGATGACATTCCACATCCTCCAGGTGGTTCGGAGAAGCTTGAGCGGTCCAGGGTGCACGAGGATGTGAAAGCACCTGGTGGTTTTGTTTCGGGTGACCAGGTGTTTGCCGAGACAACGTGGGCCGAGTACTACAAGTCTAGAACCAGGGTGCAGGAAACGGCATACATCAATCTTGGACTTCTGTCCCTAAAACGATGCATTGCAGCATTACTGGAGACAGCAGACGCAGAGAAAATGAAGAACATTGCATTTAAGGATCAGGAAGATTTACTGTACCAGTGCTTAGTAGGCGGCAATAAAGGTAAAATTAAAAATATTATGTGTGCTCAACCTCAACAAGACGATCACAGATGATGTTGTCAAGAATTACGATTTTTATCGGATTAAATATGGTATTGCCCCCTAATTATTGTAAGAATGTCGTGAGTCTCCGCCCCGCGCTAAAGTGACGGCAACAGAACAGCATCGCATTCCGTTTTACGACAGTAAGCTGACGCAAATTATGCGGGACTCGTTGCTATCGCGAAATTTGCTTTGCGTCATCTGCGCGGGACCTGAAGAGGCCAACGCGGTGGAAACGATTGCCAGTCTGCGATTCGGAGAAACCTGCCGACAGCTTGGATCGACTAAATCAAACAAAAGTACTAACAGGAGTGGCACTTCTGCTAGTCAGCACGGTCAACAAAATGGGGGTTCAAGTTCAGGCGGGGACCTGGTGAATGCAGTCCGCGTGCTGGATGACAGGATTAAGGCATTGCAAGCCGACATAAAGAGCAAGGAAAAGTGGGAGTGGCGTGTCACACAGAAGACGGACGTCGTAGATGCGATGGAAGGGGTGACAAAGCTCAACGCAGAAGAAGAAATGGAGCTCGGCGGTCTCGGCGCAGTGGAATTCCTAAAGGAAGAAGAAAATTATGATTTCATTCTTTGTTACTCCTAGTGGTCTGGTAGTCAGTGTAGTTCTATAATGGGTGCGGTGGATTTCGATTTATTGGATTTCATTTTGGAATCAGAAAATGATCTGTCTCCTTAAGGCTCCTATCTGGTCCCTTTGTCGTTTTTACACGACCATCGCAACCCAACTTCTTCTAAGACACAGGTAAAAAGGATGTGATTAACCACTCGGTCGGTGGATACTTCCTCGTAGGCGCCGAAGAAGAGAATTTACTCTTAGCAAAGCTGTCCGAGCAAAGAAGAATGCTGGTGGGAGAAGCTTGATCAGCACTGCGTCACCACGTCCTCGCCAACAGGTTGTCATCTTGAAGACATTTAACGATTATAATGAACAAATCTCAAGATTCTTTTCTTTCGCTATGTTACCTTCCTCTTCGATATCGAATTGGACATTTTTTGAAACAGAAGTAAATGTAGCACATCCTTCTGACCACAAACTCCTTAGCGCGGAACAAGCACATTCACCATTGTATTTTCGTAGAAGATACATCAATCCAGCTTCTGCGAGATCTACTTCTTGGAAGTAGTTAATATTTTTGGTCAGAAAATTTACATGGGATACTAAGACCATCTATGACTCCTTTTTCCGTTGGCAATGGGTTGTTATCTAAATGGTTGCATCTCTTATTCTGTCACCAGATGTCGTCCTACACCTCCATTTGTATTTCGACCAACGGCGCCAGATGTCTACTTCCGGAAAAACTCATGTCATCCTTTGTTCCGATAAAAAAAAAGGGACTTGAATGATGCTGCTTTTTTCCGGTGGAATGTAAATTGGCACATATTACAGTGCAATTTGTAGCACGCATGGCGCATGGGACGGACAGAACGAATGGCGCGAATGACGCACCCCAATAAACTCCAAAAATGTAGCGAATGGCACAGGTTGACAGGTCTTCGCCGGTTGGCGCACTTGGTCTCCCTTCGAGGAGTCGTTAGTCGCATGCAGTGCCCGGCCAGCTCCCTTACCGTTGAAAATGGCAAGGGAGCTGGCAAGAGAATGAAGGGAAAACATGGCCCAGCCTGATACTAGGTTCGCTGTCTTGATATCTCTATCTGTAGCAGGTACTTTTACTGTGCAGGAGATGCGTGACAAAATATAGAGAAAGATGACGTCGTATCGGCAGTTTCGAATCCTCCGGATGGCGCACAGAGGGAGCCCCTGGTGGTGTGCGTAGTAGTACTAGTAAAAACATCACTGAGTATTACATACTTAGTTGTTTCGTTATCGTTCATTCATGTTCATCGAAACGCTTTCGATTGCACAGCTCGATGATATCAAATGATATTTATAATTCCTCTATCATTTGAATTTGATACATATATCTATTATAAGTCCCTCCACAGCATAATAGTCGGTAGTAGATGTGAGCAATTCGACTGCATATTTATACGACAACGCTTCTTCATGTTGACAACAATTAGATATGACCAATCAGAATTTTGTATAGCGAACAATTACGCTTCTTTATAATGACTAAAATAGCAGGGAGCTTCCATGTGGGTTCTTGAGCAAGAGCCTTCCACAGTAGTCTGACCAGTTTTCGACTTCGAGCGACTGCATCTTCCACGATGGACGCAAACGGAGACGTGGCGCCACCCGGTTCGCCACCGGGTGAGGAATTTCCTGGGTTGCGCATAACGGCCAACAGCGCTGCGAGTAGTTCAACCGACCCGCTGTGGTGCCACACGACGAACCAAGACAGTGGCACAGTTATGGTAATACATGGCAGGTTAAGGACTTGGCGACGCTCTAAAAACGAGGACGCTTCCAAGTATTGCTCGCAGATAAAGCGTTGCCGAGTAGTCAAGTCGTGATAGAGTATGACTCGTTGCTCGAACGACGCAAATGCATTGGCACTGCGTCTTTGCTCTAATCTCCACGTTTGCGCCATTCCGCTATTTTGGACGGACGGCCAACAAGCTGCCACTCACTCTTGTAGCAGCGGAAGGCGCCCACGACTGGTAAGCGATCGACCACGAGCGGCCAACACTCGGCTGACAGGGCGGCGCATCGGCTCTGCTGTCGTGTGCTTTGAGGCAGTTTCCGCGCTTCATCGCAAATATAAGGGTCAGAGAGGAGCAAAGACTCTGGCGCAAGTGTTCAGCGGGAAAGGCAAAAACACATCAGCATCACCAGCACCAGCTGAGGAGGCTTATGGCCCGGCGGCTGAATTCACCTCGAAGACGGCCGCGCAGGCGCAGGGTTTTAGCGCTGGCGATGACGACAGAAGGACAAAAAGGAGCGAAGGCAAGCGGTCCCCCGACAGTGGAATAACGACTGCTGCGGAAGTCAACGGTATCGGTATACTACTCTTTAAGCTCAGGAGTGACAGACGATGGATAGCGTTAGACTTAGCTACCTCGACCTCTGGAGGTTGTCTTATAATGATATATGGGTACGCCATACTACTTTTTCGAAGACTAGTGATCATGTAGTTGGCAAAAAATACGAAGAGTGGCGCTTGCGGTTGCGCCCGCTTGATTTTCTAACTCTAGTCACACTTTAATAATGAGAAAAATGGCAATGGATCACACTTCAGGCAATGCGGATCCGCCGCAGAAGCCTCAAGGGTCTGATGGTTCTAGAACTATTTCCTCGGAACGAACAGGTAGTTCGCAAGGCTCGGGCAAGGAGCATGCTAAGGGGGCTGCTGCAGAACCGGGGCCCAATAATGGTCCTAAGTTCGATTTCTCTCTTCTTACTTTTTGGACATCTGCTCGCTTGGACGAGTTGGACTTGTTATTTTGCATGCCGCTACACTTCACTTTTGTCCCCCGACAATATTTCTAGACAAAGCAATCTACCGAAACCAAAAGTATGACCTGCCGACGATTCGCCTTTTTCATCCGCAAATTACTCAGCATCAAACAATCCACAGGTGTAGTTGCCCAGGAGCATGCACGACAGCGCGCAGCGTCGGAGGATAGGTCTCAGGCGCAGAACCATGAAGGAGTTAGCACTAGCGCAAGAGCGCATAGCACTGAAGGCACGAACAAAGTCCATGATGAGCAGGAGCGGGCTGCCTCTACTCTACCAACGGCAGAGAAAGGTAGAAGTTGCTTCTCGTCTTCTCACTCTGTAGACAGTGCGACCCTTCGCGTCTGACTTAGACTATGCTGTAGCTTATCTTGGTTCCATGAAACTAAGAACTTCTCTTCTTCGGCTCGGACTGAACAAGGGCCGCACTCATCTCACTCGACAGCTCACCAAGAAACAGAAACTGCTCAACACCGATCACTGTGCAGGTATGTCTGCCGAGGAGTATCCGCAGGGCTCCCTTTCGGAGGATAAGAAAACAAAACTCACTGCGGAAACAGCCAATAGCATAGACCACGGCAGCGATAAGCAGCTCCGCGAGAGTGGAAAGAAGGGAATGAAAAACGCAAAGACGGCCTCCCCGGCAAGTAAGACGCTTGGTGCTTGAGCTTGTTTTTCCTCATTTCCGTCTTAGCATCATTGGTTTTACTGTCGTACACAAAGTAGGGTCTACAATCATCTTAAGAGTCTCTTTAACTTTTCGCACTCTACTCAAATTAACAAACTGAAACTTTAGGTTAAGCTACTCGCCGTCACTCACTCTCATTTTCAGATAAACCAGCAGCCGCTAGCCAATCTCAGAGAGCCACGAGGGCTATTGGCAGAGACGCAGAAGACAGCAGAGGTGTAACCAGTGTGGGCGTGATTGACGACGCGGCGAGCCTCGCCGAGTATGGCGAAGGCCTAGACTGCTGGGCTGGCATTTTATGGTAGTGCGCTGACTGTATTGCTTCGTCATCTGTGTAGTAATCAATTCAGAGCTTACTGCGAGCACCTGGTTTGCGTAGTGGCATCGACATTGGGCTCATTCCTTGTCTTTTGTAATTGTCTTGGCGAGGTTCTAGTGCTTATCCCACTGCCAGCCCTCAACCTCATAGGTAATGGCTTGGTACGGTATTGAATGAAAGACGCAACCGCAAGTGACCTCTTTCTTGAGTGCTATGGTATTCGTTGTCAGGTACCGTTGGTTCTTTTTCTAAATAGTGCGACGGTTACCCACACGACGACGGCTTTGAAGATGAAGATGCTTCGGCGGTCTTCGTGCTCGCCTCCGTCGCTCTTTGGGAGGGTGAAGGCATGGGGGAGGCAAGTAGTTAATGAGCTTTACCTAGTGCGGCGCCGCGTTGCGGGGATTTTTTGGTCGAGCTCTCCTGCGGAGGATGACGCTATCGAAAGTGGTCCGCTAGATTTATGTATGATGGAACTGATGCAGTGCTCCACTTGCTCCAGGTATCGGACGAAAGATAGCTAGACATACATGGTCGTTCACGTTTGAGATAAGCTGTGCGTAGTCTTTACTCTCGTATCCTAGTAAAAGGTGACTAACACAACTGTCGTTGTAAGATTAAGCGACATGATCACGCATCGGGAGGTGAGTTGCTTTTATTGAAGTGCTTCCCGACTCTCTTCTTTCATATTTTATTGACGCCCGGCTGTTGTGGCGCGGCGAAGAACAAGAAGACGCGCAAGAGCTTTCGTTGTTGCAGCTGCAAATCGAAGGCTTTCGCTTTTATTTAACTCGTCCTAAAGTGGCAGACGCTATCAACGAGGTGCCTTGCGAGCACACTGTCGCTCAGGAGAAGAACGCGAAACCAGTGTTGAACGCTGTCGAGGTAACACCGAGCAGTCCTCTGGGACGGAGTCTCCATGAATTGTATGTTTCTACTAACGCGCTGTCCTTCTTTTGCGAGTGTGCGTATGAGAACGAGGAGTGGCAGTTTGAACTCGGTGACCCAAATGGAACGCCAGGTGGGATTTCGACCGCAGGCGACAGCAGTGATGCAACTTCACTTACTACAGAGCCAGGCACAACGCAGAGCCCTGTGTGTCGAATCTATGCTGTCGAGAAGGTTCAACTTCGAGAAAACGATGGGGCACAAAACGATGGCGCTTTACTGGTGCTGGTGGCGCAGAAGATCCACGCTGCTGATGGCGCGAGTCCTACTAGAAGTAGTTCCACTGACGCTGCAACGTCACGCCGGCTCCTGTTTTGCAAGAAAATGAAAGCTGATTCCGTCGATGAAAACGGGAAAGAATCATCGCTGAAGAATGATAATAGGAGCGAGTGCAAGGCTGCGAGTCATTTCGTGACAATGTGGAACGAGAACATCCTCGCACACGGAGGATACAAATCTTCGGTCGTCGGAATCCCGTTTTGCATCGAGGAGCTGAGTAAGGAGATCGACCCCAAAGAGCATCATACGCTTTGTTCGGATGCCATGGATTCTGTGAACGACGCGAAGCTCACGGATGCGCTGGCCGCGGCTGGTAAGGCTCCGGCACCGGCCGCAAATAGGCCGAAAGAGGAAGACGGGCCACGAAATATCGTTTGGTGGACTTGGAATAGCATCGGCGGACTGGTGAGGGCGGGCCTTTTCCATCGAGACATCAAATCCACGAACTTCGTATCTCGAGGTGAAGGCGCTCAAGCGGTTTGGATCGCAATCGACATGGGTTTTGCGTGCGGGTTTCCGAATGGGTCGCCGGGAGTCCGGGCATGTGCTTCTGTCCAGCAAATTGCAGGCACCCTAGACCACCTTTCTCCGGACCATGTCAAGTTCAACAGCGGGAGGGAACGACGCTCGATATCCGTCGATGATGGTGCCAGGGGAGACTCCTTCAGTTGGGCAGTTGATATCATCCAGACCAAGAATATGAAACGAAAATCTGTTACTTATCATTATCAAGTTTCTGAAGAAGAAAAGCATGATAATGATAACAGATTTTCTTTTCATAAAGAAAGCCCGCGCGAGCAGGGCTGTGCTGGCTTTGTTGGGATTCAAGTCCGGCAAGCCTTTTCCTTCTCCAACTGGCAACCAAAAAAGTGACCAATTGGAAAAAGCGAAGTTCGAAGAAGATTATGTTGTCTTTTTTGCACGTTAGCCTGATCCCTCGCTGAGGAGACTTGTTCAGGTTGTCATAGGGAAAAACAGGATCAATGAATTCCATCATGTATGAGTACTAAAAGGAATTATGGAAATGCCACAGACCGCATCATCTCTAATGCGTCCGCAGGACAGCTGTGGTGGAAATGCTGCGGAAACGGCAGGCCTGTCGTGGCTCGATTCTGCTTATGGCGCAGTCCTCTCATGTGTGCAGGTTTAGAGATCTGCCGTGTTTAACGTATTTTTTACTCACCGAACATTTCCGACACCCCCCTGTTCTTCATAGCACTGCGGATGGCTTCGGTTACGTTTTCGTCGGAGCAGACGCCTGCAGGACAGTCGGGTATGAGTAAAGCGGTTGAGCTTCTGTCAGACTTATGATGCGGTAGCGCTTTAAAAAACAGTAACTACAGGATAGACCGGGCGTCTACGGTAAGTAAAAAGTGCTTATAATTCGGAAGACCACCACGGCTGGCTTCCAGAAGAATGGGTGTAATTATCCAGTGCATAGTGGCTCAACTAAGTAGCTAGATATATCCGTCCTTATCCACAGTTGATAGAGCGTACGCCTTCTCACGAGCTATCTCCTCAGAACTGTTGCCAAAATGGTCACTTTCTTGTTAGTAGATCTTCTTCATTTTTGTGGATCGACCAGAATACAGAGCTTGGCCCCAAGACGAGAGAGGCGCTCGAGAAAACGAGGCTCACGCCGTTGCCACACAGCTCCCTTGTTGACGAACCGTCTGGGCCCATTCCGGCGATTGAGTTGATCGCGCAAGCACTTCTGGGCAACCCGTGGAGCTTGTCCTATCGCGAGGGCAAGTATGCAAACAAAAAGGCGGCGAGCAATCAATTTTACATGTGGCAAGAGACCACACTTTTCGAGACCACGCGGTTGCGGTCGTGGGTGTGGGGAAGCAACAATGGGGGTTATCAATATAATTATTGTCAGTAGTACTAGGGCCACGGCCTGGTGTACTAGGAATCTCCCGAAATTAAGGATAGATAGCTTGAAGTTTTTTTTCATTGTGATTTTTGTTTTTCCTATCTACTAGACTCTATCCCGCATCAACGTGGGTCTTGAGTCTTATTAACAGTAGAGATGGTCAAGTACTTACGATTACAAATATTGATTTTTGCTCTCGCATCTTCTGCGTTGGCTTTGGCAGTTCTTCGAACGAGCTCCACCAAGGTTTTTCATCTGTCGTTGGGGAGCAGAAAAAGTATTTAGAAGTTTTACATCCGCTATCGTCTAAAAACAACAACATTAAAAGTTTTATCGGAATCTACTGGTCCACATATGTAGGACTGTGCTTCAGCTATAGTGAGACGCGAGCTTCTTCCCATGTATATTGTAGAACCGGTTTTTGATCCGCGTGTGAAAAAACGTGCAGAATGAAAGGGAAAAGCAACTCCTCGCCATAGTTTTCAATATAATTGGCCTAGAGGCAGTTTTTCATACTCCTCGTGGTACGCGACAGAATTAGGGATCACGTGATAAGAAATCCATGTTGGCACGTGCGCTCGAGAGGCCCATAACTGCGCGATGGATTTGAGCGCCCACGACCCATTCGTATCTAAAATACTGATTGATTTCTCCGAGGAAGGTCTGAGGAAATGTTCCTGATATCAGCTATCGCTGTTCGTTGCATGAGAATGAAGATTCGTGAAAATCAGAGACACTGAAAGTCTTTCTCTGTCGCAGCCGGACTCAAAACAGCTCAAGTCAAACGAGATGATCTCACGTCTGTTCTTACGTTTAGGTCTACGCACGAAAGTCAATATATAGAAAGCCATTAACGAGAACGATCTACTTCGTCGATACCCAAACGAGAGGATGAGCGCTGAGACGACTGAAAAATTCTGATAGAGATATTAGATCAATGAATGATTAACATTAGGTACTAGAGAGCTACTACCACGACCACGAGAGCATTCATCGTCGATTCGATCCTCGAAGGAAATCTCGTAAACCACCTACACAGTGCAAACTGCGAATACACCTCGCTTGCGTCTGCTCGATCGAACAATTTATTGTAGCAAGTTCTGGAATCAATTATCTCGTTGAGTTTCTTACATACGCATGATGACTGAAATCTATTATCGATGTAACTAATTTCACCGTCTAGTCGTCCACTCACACTATATATATATAACGATGTAATTGTCACTAATATCTGCCTAGGCATACTTGATCTTAAAGATCAAGCTGTTCGTATCCAATGATCCTCATCCTCCCCATCCAAAATATTAGATTTAGAGCAAGAGCTAGATCTCAAAGATAGAGGCCTAGTAGAGAAAGAGGTAGTACACACCACATTGCTAGAGTGTAAGAGTAAGTAGACCACAATCTCATCCGAGAACAAGAGAAGAACTACTACGTCATTCTGAAGAAGCCACATCATCATCAACAAGGAGAAAGAAATTCTTCTGCAACAAATCAAGGGCACGGTGCTTACAAGTAGTACAACAGTCTTCAACGTCCAACTTCTACTTGATATTACACCAAGCAGCACGACAACGACGACTACGAGGAAGGACATCAACATCAAGATGGTCGCTGCAGGAAAGAGACTTGTCAATGCCAACTGTGCCCTGCTGTTGCTCGCTTCGCACGAGCAACAGACCGCAGGAGCTGTGCCGGTACTGCCGACCAACCGCGTTCGCCATGTCGGTGCTGGATTGGCCTGGTCGCAATGGCCTATGGACGGCATGGATGCACCCGCGTCTGGCCAAATGGCAGCCACAGTAGACGCGGATGGCCGTATCAATGTCCTGACGCAAGAGGAGATCACAGAGCTGCAGACAAAGACGGACGATGACCTCTCAGGTGGCTACTACGGAGGACGCTCTTCCTCGAAAGTTATGTGCTTCATATTGATGTTGATAGAAGACCTACAATCTTCTAGTTGTCCCTGCTCCTGTCCCTCCATCAGGTCGCAAGTACCTACGAATCTCAATACTCAATGTTGATGTCGTTCTTTCATCTTGAGATTTTTCTAACACAAAAGGATCGGAGCTGGACGGATTGGATGGGATTACCCACCCGTGCTTGCGTGAACGCCCAGCTGATGCCGCCACTAGAGACCTCTGGAGCCGTAAATTTGGTTGCACCTGGGATGACGTCGCTCCCACGAACAACATCAAGCGTGGTCAGGAGAAGCGACTGCATCCGGTATTATCATCTGCTGCTCTACTTTGGTTTTTGTATTACTTATTTCTAGAACTACAACTTTGAGTCAACATAGACGCCCGGAGGATGACGATTGACGAAGTTAATATTATAATATTGTACTATACGAGTACTTGACGAAAAATCGAGTAGATTTGAAGAAAAATCGGGATTTCTTTCTGCCGTCATCGATTTCGATGTAGTGCAAAGAATTAAATAGTAGAACAAATAAGGACCCTGCAGCACTGGGACTGACATCGTCTACCTAAAAATCTTGAACAGTTTGGTGGACCGGATAACAATGTGACTGGTGGCCCCGACAGCGCCTCGTCCGATGAGGGCACACGACCGCAGAAGTACTCGCGCTTTTCCTACGCTGGCGCCGTTAAATGGGAATCTTCTCAGACCTGGGACGAATTCTATGTAAACCAACAGCGCCGAAACAACAATGTCCGCCGTGCTCGCATCGAAGCTCAAAACCTCTTCGGTATCGCCAAGGGCAAAGAGGGAGCCGAAACCGTCAATCCAGCCATGCCGAAAAACCTCCAACTTTTATGCTTCCAAAGAACTATATCGCAAATCAATGAAGATTTGTTTTATTTGTATCTATCTATAGGTTAGTAGCTAGATGAACTAAATGTAAATTGTAACAACAAGTAGTTTTTCGTAGACGCTTGAACCATAGTACTGGTCACTTTTCTACGGTCGTTTTTTTTGACACTATCAGGAACTACCAATACAACATGACATAGACAGAGTCGGGCTTTCAGCATTATACTAGGCATGTACTGCTAGTTGTACAATCTTATCAAGAAAGAGTTACCAGCGCATGGTAAAAAATTATAATACTGTGTGCACGAGCAAGACCAAGATGTTGAATAACGAGTTCATGTCTATTCAGTCGAAAGATTACAACTACTAACACGACGATCACGATTAAAAGTAAACAAGTGAACGTTCTGCTTCTACTTCTAGGTCTTCTAACCTTTCCCTCTGTTGCCAAAAACGTTGACAATAGCGACGTCGACTTGTTTTTCTCGGTCTCCGAAGAAGACTGGGATGCAGCACAACAGCAGGGAGTAGACCGAGCTGTGTGGGACACGGAGAAGGGGACTTCCAACAAAAATCAGCGCCCCTTCCTCCTTAACTGCGTTCTCTTCGCAGCAATCATGATTGGTAAGATATTTTGGAATTTCGTACGTGTACGACACAATGACTTTCAGCTATCTACTAGTACTACTTCTTGGTTGTAAATATCACTTCCAAATCATGTGCTAACTATGCATCTAATATCTGTTTCACGTATTATTTATCTGCTATGCTTTTCTCTCCATATCCATTTGTTCTCTGTTCAGTTTTCGCGATTATTGTGCTGTTGCTGGCCACCGTGGTGCCTCAATTGAATGTGGTCCTCGAGTTCGTGATGCCGCAGGACGACGACATTCAGTTGCGCCAAGTGTCAGCATCCCGACGCTCGGTAGGATCTTCTTATCCTTCCACTAACACTATCCGCAAGCCAGCAGTGGCCCATGAAATTGAATTTTCCGCTGCCGACCTGCGTTCTCGCATGGAGATCGATGAGAGCAAGATCAGCCAGTTCGGCTTCTACTCCAATTTTGGTCGCACTCTTGAATGCGGATTTGGAGGACTTCCAGCCTCCAAGGATAATGGACTTTCGCCGTCCGATGACTCTACCACTTGTGGCGACTCTCCGATGGACGACTCTCCGCTGGACGATGTCTACGATGCTGGCTTAATGGTACCATCATTCTCAGTGGGTTAACATGAGATTGATGATGATAAGTAAATGGAGGTCGCCATCTGGTCTCTAGGGTGGTCGAGAATGACCATAACAGGGGCACATACATACACTACATTAGATTTTAGTATGTTGAAGATGAAGAATATCTCGTATGTGTACTTATGTGAATGAGAGTACTGCCTGAAAAAAACTACCATTATGAACCATAAACATGATTTTATTGACTCTTAATTTGTCTTGACCACAGGGGAGCAACAGCATTTAAGACGTCAAACTTCGAGTACGTTTTGTCGTGGAATCACGACAAGGAAATGAGGACGGGAGTTGAGGAAGATGGCACTTTTTTGGGATCAGAATGGTGTCAACAGGTTAAGGTTTGATCTCGTGTTGGAGCATAGAACGTAAGTATTCATATGAGCATCGTGTACGTGAATTTGTTAACAACAACTCGACCTACTACAACCTGATGTTGTGGCGAGGTGGTTGAGCGCAAGAAGGAGAATGCGCAAAGTACTTTTTACTGTACTCTCTGTGGTATAGGTATCCTTTCTTTCTTGTACAAATCAAAATGTCATGGTATATTAGGAGTATTGAAATGAATCGTCCGTATTAGCACTACATGTGATATCACCAATGAACAGCATATACTTTGAACAGATACAACACAACACAACAAGCCCCAAAACCCCGACTTACAAGAACTACATGAATATTGTTGTCATGACTGAACCACTTATTGCACAGACCAGTTAGTTACTGAATCAGTTTAATCTTACAGCGGACAATCAATTACAACAACTATGAAATTACAAATTCAAACACTTGCGATCAAACAACTCAGTTTAATACCGAAAGTAACACTTATTTCGAACTAGTACTAGTTATATATAAGTATCGAGATCGACAGCAGTATTACCTAATTAGAAAAAGTCAAGCGACCACGTACTTCTTGGCTCATCCTTCTTCAACACGCCATACAACTACACATCAAATTTATATTCTGAGGCATAAAAAATGAAACACGAACACTTCCAAAAATCTTCACGCTCCTGCTATACTTAGATTGAATGAGCCTGCATGCTATGATCAATTTATATCTAACCATAATACAACCCGAACTACGAACATCTCCGCTACATACTACACTTCGATTCAACATCCAAACTGCCCACACCACGTTGATTTACACAATTTGCCACGTACTCAAGCACGTAACATAAAAGTAATATTATCAAATCTGTACTACCCATAAGTCTAGTACCCGCTGCGTGAACACTTATTTCCATCTCGTCCACACATTAATGCCTCTGAATGATCATAATTCGAATGATATGATGCTCTGATATTCACTTGGTTTAACTTGAACTCAACATAATTTGATTTTGTATTTCTTGCACTACATCGCCAAGGACTGACACCACCTTGATCATCTTGTCAACAGCTCGCCCTATTGTTGCCTTGTTTTAAACATCAACATGTAGAAGTACCATTCTTCCACAGGTTGTTTTAACTAGGCGTTTCGATCTTTCATCAGAATAATCATCACATCACAATGAAGTTGAAGATATTTTTTTCGTCTCTTTTTGATACCAGACGGAAGAACATCTTCTTCTCCTTCTTCTTCATCAATCTGAAGACGGTGTACAGAATGCGTTGATTGTTTCGGAGGTCTCAACTACCACAGCTGAAGACAGCATGGAACTGGAAGTACATAATGCATCATATTATACACTTGAACACCAGCAAGTAGAAGGTGAACCCCATCGTCACCCACACCTCCTCCATGTCATATTCAAGAACATCATATTAGAACCTCCTACGTATGAAAATTTTCCCAAACGACGACCCTCTAAAATGATCATTGGCTTCAAACATCCAATACAGGATATACTTGCGTCCGACGCATCCAAGATAATTTGGATGATGTGGCCACCCTCCATTCAATGATAACCCAAGATAAGTATACAAACTTTGCTTTCCAGCAAAAACGATGAATCTAACCCCGCACTACATAGAAAATCAACGAAGCGAACAAAGCTGAAGAAGCGCTTCATTAAGTAGATACTTGTTACCTTGCCTTCAAGTCAAGTTTGTTGTTCCTTCTCTCCAGCTCGAGCGGTTAGCGTCGGTTCTCTTCACCTAGGACGGTCGAGAGCGTGCTCGTAACTCGGTAGTAGAATCACGTCTACTAGGGGACGAATGTTGCTCAAGATGCGACTTATGAATTCGGGCACTTTCATCTTAGAGCAGGTGAGAACTCGGACGCTACCCGAGAGAGATCCTCGGGCACTCGTTCGGAGAGAGAGATCGCAGTAGAGGGAACAACTTTTCATACAACGTCTGTCGTGATTATAATTTCTTGTGCAACTCAACTCCGCTTGTTCGTAGGCGAACCTCCTCACTCCAACAAGACAAAACCTAGCCCGCCTGCTGAGGTAAATTCCAAGCTAAAACATCTCCCAACAAGATTTCGAATTCGATGTCGTTGCCTTGGTGCGGTCAAATACTGCGATAGAATGAAGATTTCCTACTCAACACATTTTGCATCCATTTGATGCAGCAAAGACCTGTATACCAACATTATGCATACTTAGTTTCATCAACTTGGACTTTTTTTCACGAACAAGCTTGTAGTTGTACTTGTTCTACTTAGCTTTTTAATTGTTGCAAGAAAAACGACAACGACATGACCATGAGGAGTTTTTTTTCACCAGCCGCCACAGCATCGGGAAATCAATCACTTTTCGATCTCAGCTGATTCAGATTCTTCTTCTGGTTCTTATACAGCTGATACAACAGGCAAGAAGTAGTGACTGAAGCAAGCACTCTTTTGTAGTGTAGCTTCCCGGCTGATTGTAAGTAGACGAGCACGAGGAGTCATCTTCCAGCTTCGCGAAAATGTTGGGCGATTTAAAGGAGCTCTTCCTCCCAGAGGAGGTTCTGAACGAGGTTGCAAGTTTGAATGCCGAAACCGTTGGGGAGCTGGCATCGACCTTCCGAAGAAATAGCGCTGTCTTAAGGCTTGATGATGCTGATTTCCTATAATGTTACAATGACCTGAACAGAAGTCCTCCACCTTCTTGCTCCATGTCGTTCCTTCTATATTGAGAAGAAGCATAGTCACGACCTCCATCTCGTAGACGTTTAATAAAATAGGTTTTAGTAATATCCTTTTGCAAACTCGGATATGATCATAGGACGAATCGCTTTTGACGCTGTGGTCTAATGAACTTCGGATCAAGGTGCGCACTGGTTGCTTTGGATACGATGAAAAATCATCATCCCGGACATATTTTCCAGTACTGAAGAATTTCAAGTTTTTGATTTGGTGGTGCTGCTGCTGCAGTATTATTTGTTGGTCAAACTAGAAGATTATGGACTTGTAACATACTTGAGTTAGAGCTAGAGAAAACCACCTTCAATAAAAAATATGTTACAGTAACGTGAATGTTCTTTATGAAAAAAGAACTACAAGATCTGTAGGATACATGCAAAATATTATATGTTTTGAATCTACTTACTCAAATCAATATCAGATACGTGCAGGAGCTGACCCGGGGAGAGTGGAAGCAAGTCTTGCGACTCAATTAAGGCTTGCTACTAGTACCAAGAAAATGTTCTTCTTCGTATTCGTTCTTGTCAACATAATCATGAATTTGACGACACAATAGATCAACAGTATCTAGGTATGCGAGTCCTTTCCAACTTACCAAGGATGTGCCACATCTTCTTCCACCCAGTTGCAAGTAACTATAGCTATACCTACGTGTCGTATTTGTATAAGACCTCGTCCATGTGTGTCTCGTCTAATAGAATCGAGTGCGCGGTCGGATACTTATGCACACGCGAATGGAGTCGCGACGACGAGGTGTATTTGCCATTGACGCGCATGAAAGAACGACTGGAGGCATGAGGCCAGAACGTGTTCCAACGAGAGAATCGGTGCAGACCGTCGAGGGTCGCAGGTGCATCATTGACATTATGTGGCAAGGGGGAAGAACGGACCGGTTCTACTGGTGCAAGCGCCCTCCGAGGTTTTGTTAAGGCTTCGTACCCCTAATCCATCTTCAACATACACATAATCGATCCATCCTGGGGACGATTTTCAAGGGAAATATTTAGCGTCTACGATTGCACCTCGAGACGGACTCTTAGGCTGAGCTCTAACTTTGCGTGAATATCGCCAGGAGACTACGCTATCGGCTGCGTGACCGCATTGAGGCTGCCCGGAGGGAGAAGCGCGAGGAGGAAGAGCGCAAGAAACCACTAGAGACAATTCGAGTCGAGGAGAGGGATGATGACAGAAGTACAAGAACAAGAAGTACCAAGGGGGTCGTGATGGGAAGAACAGGTGAAGGGCTGGACACCGACGTGGACGAAGTCGAAGACGAGGATTCAGCATGCGCCCATAGGCCGTCGTGCGATGATGAGGAGAACAGGAACAGGATGCCGACCTACTCTGGCAGCACAAGTAGTACCAGCAGCACCTCAGCATATCGTGGGGAAAGTGGAGGGTTGTCGCCGTCCTCCTTCTCGTCCTCTGCATCTTCATCTTCCACGTTTTTCTCCGCGGAAAATATTGGAGTTATGCTGGCTATCGTAGAGAAGTGGGGGTGCCATTCAGTTTGAGACACCATCTGAGTGGCAATTCATTGCTTCCGAGTAAGTATGCAAAATCTATGTAATTTTTTTAGTGAAAGAAGGAACAACCCTAATAAATTGAAACGACCACCTCCAAATCTAATCCATCAGGCCCTTTGTTCTTGTAAAATTTGATAGGATTCTGGACTTGTCGTGAAAGTAGAAACTAAATGAACTCCACAGTGTTCTTTCATCACTATTTCGTTCTAGATTATCAAACTACAACCTCAAGCTCAACACCTCTAAGCCTTGTGGAGAAGAATTCCCGTTCGATCGGCCAAGGGCTGGGCAGAACGATAAGAAAGGTGGTTGCAGAAGCAATTTCCATAGAAGCAGAAGACGAAATGACAACGATGCTGAGGGCGAGGAAAACCAATCTCCACCAGGCGGAGTAGAGGGACTAGGAGGGACAGACTACAGCTTCTGTTCGTCATCCTTTTCATCTACTAAAACATTTTACAATTATTCCTCTTCATCTTCAGGAGCTAAGAAAGCATCTTCCTCGTTCTCATCTAGTTCTAGTTCTAGTACTAAAACAAAAACTTCCGGGACTTCTACCTCTAGTTCTAGTTCTTGTCCTAGTACAAGGAGAACAGAGACGGATCCGTCCTCTTGGAGCCACTACGAAGTGCTCGGTGTGGAAGAAGACGCGAGTCCGCACACGATCCGACGTGCGTACCGTAGGCGCGCTCTCGAGACACATCCCGACAAAAACATGGCTGGACAAGGGTCCTCCAAGGAGCTGGGAGATGATGAGGCTATGTTTCATCGAGTGGCAGCTGCCTACGAGACACTCAGCAATGCGAACAAGCGCATCATCTACAACGCAACTCTACGCCGGAAAAGAATGCTTATACAACAGACCACGAGTGCACCCGTTGTAGTTCCTCCAAAGTTCACCAAAAGAACTCCAGCTGGAGCTGCTTCTGCTGCCGCTGGTGGTTCTGCACATGCGAGCACTCGCAACTCTGCACCAGGAAGTCGTAGTGCTACGTCGTCCTCGAAAGTCGCTAGTAAAGCAAGAAAGAAGGAAGACAGAGCAAGCACTAGCAAGTTAAACGGAACCGGAAGTTCTGGCACCTCCCCAGAAAAAGCAGCGAAGTCATCGGAGGAGCGGAAGGTGCCAACTGAAAATACGGGCTATACAAAGGATCCAGCAAAAAGGGATCCGAAAAAAATGAATGACGACAGTTCTGTGCATAAAGGTGCCAACCACGAAAGGAAAGCTACTTCTAACAACTACAGCACGACCAGTCCTTCTACTTCTTCTTCTAGTGCTTTTTCAAAAACTCCCGCCTCCGGTAATGCTGCTCCTGTAACCAGAGGTGACTTCCCCACCGGTTCTTTTAGGAAAACACCAACACGCGAGGACGATGTAAATCAACATCATAAAGGAACAAGTAAAGACGAGGACACAGACAGAAGCACCTCCACAGCTAGTTCTACGACCAAGGGTGAAAAAAAGGAAAAGCAAGAAAATAGTTCAAGAAGTTCTTGTAAAAATAGTCCTTGTTCAAGAGAAAAACAACGTCAAGAAAGTGTCTCGCAGGAAAAAGATGAAGATGACAAGAAATCGACGATGGAGGCGCCCGAGACTCGGCATCCAAATTACCCACGAGACATAGACACACGCGGACAAATTAAGGCCGCGTCCGATGATCTACATATTTCGAGTTCGACATCTATCTTTTTCACTGACAGACCGACAGGCCTGAAATACTGACCTTGTTTGACATCACCCAAAGTAATTGATTTTTGTTGCCATACCCATAGTTGGCACATAATTGGACCACTATCTTCGATAACGAAAGTATTGAACAGACACGAATACCATAATACTAAGCAACAATTGTGGTTGTACTACTTGTGAGATGACGATTACTTGTAGTACTTAGTCCAGCTCTAATTCAATTCCTTCCCAGCCCGAGACTGATACGGACATGGAGACGGAGGAGACCAGAGTGGATGAGCGTGGCCTCAAGGTTTGCGTTCTTATGACCTACTTATTCTAGTGCTACTGGTATTGCGAAGAAGAAGATATCTAATTCATATCCCACAGAATCTACTTACGACTACATCCTCTAGAATCTGTCCTTCTTTCTTTGTTACTGTTAGTCGCTTGCAAAAATTACACCTAATCAACTACTTGCTTCTAATGCTACTAGTAGAATCTTATTCTTAATATCGCGCAGCGAGTATCAGTTTTTGGCTCATTCTTTTCTCCTCTCTCTCTCTCCCTCTGGTAGAATATCTAATCAACTTGCAAAATCTATTACTACTAGTAAAATCTTTATCTTATCCTTAATACAAAGAAATATGAGAATGATAAGGAAGAACAAGGAGGAAAGTTGGCCACAAGGACATGTGCATGCATACAAGAAGCATGGCCGCTGGAGTCTACTTCTAACGTGAGGGCTCCTGGTTGGCGTCTGGTGCGGCACTGCATAACTGACTTTATCGACGACGTGCATGCGGCGTTGGAAACAGCCATAGAGTTTCTCACAGCGCCACCTTTTAAGGGATAAGGGTTTCCACATTCATTGCATTCTGCACGACTTGCATCCTCGACCTTTTGATCTCAAGTAGAAAACTTAGGTCAAAGGAAATGCCCTGAAGAATGTAGAATGCTGCAACCTTTAAACCTAGCGACTTGCGCAATGACCTTTTTCCACCTTGCGAAGATGCTGCACTTGAATTTTGCATTCCAGACGAGCCGCAAAAGTTTCTCTGAGACTACGACCGGCTGATCGAGGTCGCAGAGGTTTCTCTGATGCTATAATGTTGACCAGATAATCGTCGGAGATGATCTCGACTTACTTTGAGTACGCAGGAATCTGTATATGATTCCGATTTATGAATCTGATATCCGCAGACGGAGGGACAACGGAAGCAGCCGCCGATTTCTACGGTACTTGTTAGTGTCCTCCACGACTTGCAAGGATTAAAGTATCACCGGGATTAGAATAATTCTGCGATCCCTGGTTCTAAGAATCTCGATAACTACTTCTTTTTTTGTCCTTTGAAATTATAGCTGAGTGATAACAAAGAATGCTCGTTATCATGAGTCACATCTAGTTCTTCCAACCTCCTGCTCAACTGTATGTTTATTACACAGAGTATTTCTGGCTACTAGGAATTAAAAAAGATATCCAAGATGAACTCGTGTTTTTTATCTCGAGAAAGCATCCATTCGATAAGTTGTTCTTATGACAATGAACTACTATGAGACAAATGAGGCAAATTCCTCGAGAGAGTACAGGAGTCAATTAATCAATCTCATGCATACGCAATGAATCAATCAATTTTTATGTTTTTCTCTTTGGTATCTGTCATCGATCCCGCAGAGCTTAGGGGCTGGTCTGTCCACTAATTGCCACTAATTTGTGTCAAGAAAAGGTATGAGAGTAGCTAGTAGTTGTACTGTTCATGAAGCCTCGCATCCAGCCTCTACTCTCTCCTCGATTTTGTTTCTACATGAAACCGAAAAAAAATGAATGACGTCATGTGTCTGATCAGTGACGTCGAAAAAATATTCCTGTTCCGTATCAGCTTGCAAGAGTACGAGAAACAGTGCGTCTGAATTCGATGCACCACCTTCCGCATCAGGTGTTACATGGGTGATTACAGGTGGCTATGATCATCATTATTAAATTTTTCTGGAAAAAGTCACCAAATAGAAGAAACGATTGGAGAAGCCAAAGCGTAGGGAACGCTGGATCCCTTTTTCGAGAAGGACCCTTCATCAAACGAGCCGCATGACACGATCCTCAGGAAGTGGGAAACGCGCATACATAAGAACGGCTCCCATAGTACTTGTTTTGGAGTGTAGTCAAATTTGGTGAGAGATCCTGCTCTGGTTTCCTCTATAAACTAAGCTGTGTCGCGATTTCCCTTCCACAGCTAAGGAACGGCTATCTGTAGTTCAAAGTTCATAGTCTGCACTTCTACTTGCTTGTCGTGCTTGTTTCTATCTGGTACAGGTTGGGAGATTCATCACATTAAATCGTGCCATCCTTTGGTTGTAGGTGTTGTAGGTTGCTGTATACCTCAACAATACAACGGTTCTGTTTCCCGAAGATGTTTTAGTTTTTTTTCCCTCCGCTCCCCATCCGTCCCCCTTTTCAAACAATCCCTTCTTTCACTTTCATCTCCCGAGCTAATATCAAGCAATACTTTGTTGCCAGTGCTGTCCTGCCACGCTATTATTCTATTTTTCATTTGAATTTATTTCACGAGTTAAAATTGAATATGGCCACCTCGATCTCGTCCTCCATTTCGTGCTAGCCGTCTGATGCGTCCTGTGTGGAAGTACGAGGATTGGGCCTCAGGGGCTCCCAGAGAGAAGGTAATTGCAGGAGACGTACTGGAACCACCGAAAGCAGGTTCAAAGTTACGGAAATACGATCTGCTGCAAGCCTCTTCATGATGATCTCGATAACAAACATCTGCGAGGTGGAGCATATTTAATGCAACACCAGTTTCTGGTCGTCGTTACCTAGGCAACTTGTTAAATTCTTTTTTTGCCGTAGATGTATGCAGCATTAATAGATATTGTTATTCATGATCGAGTACTTATGTAGGTTTAATGCTAGAGCAGTACCTCTGGTAGATTGTGATTGCCACGTTATATATTGTTCATGATCTATGATCATGAAGTTGATTTTTATCCTCTAATGCAGAGTTCCACCTCGGGATCAAGTTTCGAAGACCCCGATGTGAAGCAGGAGGCGAAGGGCAAAGCTCGGAGAACGAGAGAGGGAAAACTGGACAGGAGGGGGACATCCGTGCGAGTCTTTATCGGAAATGTCCCATTTGAGATGAAACATGAGGAGGTACTTGTTTTTCGATTTTGATGCGTCCCATTTGAGATGAAAAATGAGGAGGTACTTGTTTTTCGATTTGGATATGTCCCATTTGAGATGAAACATGAGAAGGTACTTGTTTTTCGATTTTGATGCGTCCCATTTGAGATGAAACAGGAGGAACTTGTTTTTCTATTTTTACATTTACTGAAGGCCTGAAGGAAGCCTCGATGAGATTGAGAAGGTACCTTGTCCATCTTAATAGATGATCATCTGACAATTACTTGTACTTCTACTTTCCACGACCTCTGTCTCCACCTCGTACTTGCAGTAAATCTCGTCATCAGACCCTGACCAAAGAGATTTCTTTCCTTATCCTCTTATGCAGCTTCTGGGGATTTGCCAGCAAGTTCCTGGGGTAATGGAACTCCGCTTGGTGATGGACAACGACAAGAATAGGCATCGAGGGAAAGCCTTCTGCGAGTATGAGGACATGCTTCACGCGGCGGATGCGATCACACTTCTCAACGTTAAGGCTAGCATAAATCCATGCGTTGATTGAACAGTGCCCGTTGGCTTCGAGATAAGGCCCCTACGCGGGAATTTGTCGCGCGTAGAATTTGTAGACACAGGTAACAAATATAGGGAGGTTAACGTTAATGTACTCCACCTGCCGCCGGTTTGCGAACTGGATAAAACTGGGATCACCCTTCCGGCGGTCTTGGCATACAAAAAAAAAATCAAAATAAAAAAGGCCAGGGTGGAGCACATGAAGGAACAAGCACGCTACATCAATAAGTCCATCTTCCCAACCAGCATCCTGTGTTCCCGTTTCTCAAGAGCAAACGGGCACCGAGACGCTCACCAAGATGGATTTAGTCAAGGTCTAACAACGGTTACGAAGTTGTCTGCCAAAAAGGAAATCATCACATAAAACGAAAATTGATTGTAGATTGGGCCAACCAAGAATTGCAGTCAGGCTTAAGGCTTCCTCTAATCCACCTACTCTCTAAGGATGATCCATCAAGATAAGTATGCACCCCAATACAAGGGGAATAATCTTGAGGCGTACAACTGTTGAGGGATCTACTCCACAGGGATGACTTGGGGAGTACAGTAGAAGACGTCTAACCGGCCTAAACCCAGAGGCAGTATTGGGAGACACATTTGCTCCAACCTGGTGCGGGCAGACAGCCTCAATCGAGAAGCAAGACGAAGGTAATAAAGGCAAAGGTAAGGGTGGCAAAGGAGTTAAAAAAGGCAGTGGACGAAAGGGTGGGAAGACGAGTCGTTCAACAGATAATAAAAACGATTCATATAATAATACTGAAGGAAGCAAAAACAAGGAGAACGCAGCGAGAAACACTTCTACGACAAGTGAAGGAATAATGAATGTCGAGGACCTCGCCGCCGGTCAGAACTACTATAGCACTGAAAATATGATTGGTGGAAGTGGAATCGAGAATGGAGGCGCTCCTGAAGATGCTAACTTCTATGCTGCTTTTGACGAGCCCGCAGGAGGTAACACAAAAGAGGACGAGCAATGGAATGTAGCCATGACAGTTGCCTCGTTAAATACGCCTGAAGACCAGGCTCGGTTAGCCTATCTCCAGCGCGCCGCAGCTGGCGGAACTAAGGCGAAGGGGACGCCGTCCCCTACGCCAGGGTCTACTAGCACAGGAGCAACAGCCGCAACAGAGATGCCGTTGAAGTTATGAAGAACAACAAGTAATACTTAACTTTGTGACTACTAAGAAGGAGGTGATCCATGATTACGTTGGCGTCTCAAGTAGCTTTATTGGTCCAACAGCAATGCGAAGCAGTTCTAACGGTGTATTGCCAAAGTGATGATTCTTTAACGACGATTCCCAATATTCGTTCTTAATCACCCCGTTCTTCCGTCGACCTCGAGGACAATGAGCATGTCTAGAACTACTGTGTTATTTATTTACTGACTTCTAGTAGTAGGAGAGGTTCTTGCAGTACTTGTTTTAAACGAATAGAGCATATACCTGTCATAATATCGACTTCATTCTAATTCGAAAGCAGTGCTTGTTTTATTCGATAAAGCATATACTTGTCATAATATCGACTTCATTCTAATTCTAAAGCAGGCTCCCACAAAACAAGTTGATCAAACGGTCTTCAACGTCCCGCCAGCGGCGAGTGTACCACCGGTGATGTTGCCGCAACATTACAACCCCTTTGCGGCTGACGCAGAGCTAGACGGCGAAACAGAAGTTAAGGGTAGTTTATCAGTATCAATCCCATGTGGACTATGCTGAGTAAATAAGTCCACCCTGATGTGAAGAGGAAGATATAGGGGGAAAAGGGCAAGAACCCACTTGACCAGAGATAGTGAGAAGCTACCTCTAAAGAAGATGATGAAGAAGAAAATTGGGGGATAAACGACGATGACGAAGCTGCTCTCAGTGACCCTGCGGAGGCCGAAAAAGCGTCGGGGAAGCCAAAAAAGCGGACCCTTGCTGAAGTAAACATGGAATTCAATGACAAGCGGAACCCTGCAAACAACATCGAAAATAAGAAGAACAACAAAGGTATGAGAGGGAAAAGTGCACTCACACTCTCTCAAGAAATAAGTAGCTACTTTCCTACTGCTACTTGAATCCTGGGGAATTTCTTGAGTGTGAGTGCACATTTTCCTTTCATAAAAGGACGCGGCAAAAACAAGAATTATGTTCGGTTTTGCACCTAGGCGGATTGTACTGATAGTTGGCGTTGTGACTACCGCAATATAGAAACGAACTCAAAAAAAGTGCTCGTTCGTTGTACTACTTACTACTATGTACTATAATGGACATTCACATTCTTCAATACACTAACATTTCTGACCTCAGCAAAAGTGATGAATGTTTCTAGGAGGACTACTTGGGATGTGAATGAATGAATGGAAAAACAAACAATCTTCATCAATGATCCTACTTTCATGTCATCGGTAAAGACGGCGTCCGGCGTGCTACTACTGAAGGTGGAGGTCATGTTTACATGGGTGGTGGGTCGAGGACGGGGTCAGCGGATCATGATGCAAAGTGGTACATTAAGGAAGCCCAGCTCGAAGTTGAGAAGGCAAAACAGGAGACAAAAAGGCAAAGGATAGAACAAGAGGCTTCTATGGGTTCATCAGGTACTTAGACAGAGAAATATATTACTAGTGTTGATGAGGTTTCATTTTCATACATTAAATTTATTTTCATGACTCTCAGAATTCTAGCTAAGGTGCATGTGTACTCATAGAGCTGCTGTTGCTTAATTTGCGTTCTGTATATTACACCTGGTACAGATGGCTCGACGTCGTTCATTCATGCAAGAAAGAGGAATGTCATCAGCAGGGTAAAAAAATCTCAATCAGACAAGTAGGAGTACTGACCGAAAAATATAAGTTAGTTTAGAAATATATTCTTCTTCATCTACTTTCTTGACACAACAAGGAAGAGACCGCAACATTCAAAAAAATTCAAAAATTATCTCAGCGCCAGCACGCATGCCTCCTGTGCCCCCTCCGATACCGGCAGCTGCGACCGCGCTGGCCCAAAGCCTGGCCAGTGCTGCTTTACAAGGATCAGTTCCGCAGAACGCATCGCCAACGACATTTGATTAAGGCTTACACCACTTTTTTGGTTTTCGTCCAAACCGTAACTGTTTTTTGGATTTTCTTGAAGAATCGTTTGTTATGATAGATGGAGTATCTTTCAGAGCAAAAACAATAGAAACAGCAGCATGATTTTATAAATGAACGGCAACATCAGACCACGAGGTGAATCAGTAATAAACGATGAACTCAATACAATCAAAACGAAAAATCTAGCACCACGACCCATTGTTCTAATCTGATGACGACAGCTTGTACGATAACTTTTCTTTGAAGGAGGCGAAAGATGCTCTGCGCTTTATAAAAGAGCTGAATTTGATCGAACAATACTACGCCTGGCGCAGGCTTCGGAACGGGACAGAAGGTGGACCATGACGAGTAGAAGAAATGGTTTGGAGATCGTGGGTATCACTTGTTTTCGAAGAAACACGTACACGAAGAAAATAGCAGAGAACTGAAAAAACTTTTAATTTATACTACTTCCAATTGGAAGAAATCTATTATTTAATCATACATAATAAATCTTCAGCTCCTTATTTGGAGTTGGACCTCCGACTTGGTTCCGGATACGCCACCTCGCCTTATTCTTATAAATATATGAAGAATTACCCTTTGTCTTGTTACATTCACATCTACCACCCACTGTGAAATCGTGCAACCAACGCAAATGTTCCAAACTATAAGCATAAAAAAAATCTTGGTAACGCCCGCAGGCGACGGACATGCAGACCTAGTGAACTCAAGTGAAGCCAATGGTATCTCAAGCTTGTCGCTGCGCTACTCCTGCTTGTGTTCCGGAGACTTTTTCTGATATCTCCAAATCCAAGTGCAAATCCTTCGAAAGTGCTTCGCTCCAGAAGTAGGGATCAACGTATTGATAGTCATGGTATATACCGGTTAGCCCGCACTGCACAGGAATAAATGGAGGATGTTGCGTTGAGCCTTTGTAGTTCGGTCTTTAGTCGTGCCGAAGGGTTACGGTTAGGACTCGGCGGTTTCAAAAAAGCCGGACACCGCAAGAAGACTTTGGTCTTCAAAAGGTTGTCCATCTGTGTTGCAGCGCACATAAGTACTATGATCGGTCTGCCTTATTTACATTTTGAAGTTACGCAAAACTCATGTTCATGATCCACGGTTTTTGTACCATGGATGTGCTTTTCCAATGGTGCTCACGAATGACTTCATGTACCTAACTAGTGGCATGACAAACAAGCAGGATGAGGAGTAAGCGGAAGAAAAGAGACTTACGGTTCTAAACTCTGGAGTTGAAGGTAGCAGGTCAGATAGGTCCGTTGTGGTCTTCAGAGAGCCCACGGCGAGAAATTTTTTTTTGTGTATCTATAGTATGCGTACCCATGCGCATGCACGTGTAGGTGGGTGAGGAGTCGTGTATGAAGAAAAGGCTGTCATTGTAGAAAACTATTTTCATGGACAAATAAAGATGTAATACTGAGGACTAATTTTTTGAATTGTTGGGGTAGTAGTTCAGCTTCAGGCAGTGACTAAGTATACTGTTTTATCGTCCATGAAAATCAGTGATTTCTCGCGTGTAGTATTGTTCATGCGCATAGTAAAAATAGGAGTTCGTTGTACTAGATAGCCCAGATGAAGTCACTTATCCTCGGTTCTTACTTCATCACCCACGTACTACGTACCGTCAAGAAGAACCAATTGACGAGGTATCGATTTTAGAAGATGGGTGTGTAGATACGGCAGTATGACCGATTGAAGTAGCAGTAGTAGTAGTTACAGTACTAGAAAATACAAATAGAGATTCCCAAAATTCAAATAGAACACTTCGCCATGATGGTGACCTTGTATGTTTTCACTGAGTACGAGTGTACAATGCTAATATTCCCTTAGGTAAGGTAAGACCGTTTAGACATCATTGTTCGAAGCCAGAACATTTTATTCGTGTTTGTGCCCTACCTAAATCATATATCTAAAACTCAAATGATAGCTTCCGCTTCGTTTTAATGCAGATAAAGAGCAGCGGTTGCTTTGATGGCTTGTTGCTTAATTCGAAGTCAAAAACAAAATGTACCTAATTCATGACCGAAAGGATCCTTTTGTTTAGAATATTGACTGCAGCTACATCATACAGGATGGCAACTTCGCTATCTCCTGGTTATTTCAGAAAGTTTTCCGGCATGTCTGCCTTGCAAGCGCAACCGATTCTAGGACGTCGCGCGTCATTACATAGCGGCAGAAGTAGGAGGACCTCTCTCTTACTCTTTGAGCTCCTACCTCCCGCTATGCGGCTGCTGTGTTGGCTGAGCTTGCTGGTTAATGCCGTGTCGAAGGCGTCTTCATCCTCATTTCTGCGAGGTGGCGATCCTGAAAGTGAAAATGCAGTCCCTATGGAAACGACTCTCGTTGCCGGCACGAATGGCAATGATGAAGATATGGAGGAAGTAGTTGAGATAATATCTCCAATGCCAACCTCGTCGTCAAGGTTAGCGGGAGCCAGTAGCGCGACTGCTTCTTCGCTCTTCATACCTCCAGAGACTACTATCGTGGCGCCAGAGGGACCAGGCTCCTCATCGTCCGCACAAGGGACGAATAACCCCTCGAACCGTCGCGCTAGACAGAACCAAATAAGGGCAGGGAGGAGTGGCGGACGAAACAAAATCCCAGATGCAGTCAAAAATGCCGGTCTTCCATCAACAGCGGCTCAAACTACGCGTCTGTCGGGGCGTCGAAGAACGTCCCCAGCATCACCCGTCGTGGCAGCCGCTATTTACAGCGAAGTAAACGAGGCAGACGGAGCAGCAGCAGACCCCACTAGGATCGCAGGTAGCGCAGACCACGCTAGTGCAGCGGCTACAGCTTTACCCGAAGCCTGTACCAACGCCGACGACTCCGATCATATGGTAGAAGCAGATGTCGAGGAGGGACAGGGCAATGCTACCATGCCTTTAGAGCCTGCGCAATCCACTGGAAGCCAAGTAATAGAAAGCGAGAGAAGAGGATTAGAATTAAGACTTTCGATAATTCATTTTCGTCCATAGTTTAGTATCTTCTTGTCGGCGTACCCGTACGCGTATCGGCGTTTTTTGAATGTAGTGCCATACTGGAGGAGCAAAAATTATGTCGAAGACTCGTGAAATGAGGCTTAGCCTGTCACCCTTGGACCATATTATCTATGACTCAGTAGACGGAGACCAGCGCTAAGGATAGAAGAACATGCGGAGCAGCAGCCGAGTGCAAGTGCGACAACATCAACTTCAGCGGCGGGGACCTGCTCCGCTGCCGTTGAGAGCGCGGAAAAAGTACAACAAAGTTTCGATGCATATTGTCGTCTCCTTGGTACAACGGCACCAGAGCAGGCACAGTCTTCCACAAAGCCCGCATTTTTCGAGACAGGGTCTGCAGGACATTACCATCGCCATCTGTCTGGGATAGGCAATACTCGCTACAATCCCAATAGAAGTTTTTGTGCGGCGCACCAGCTGCTTTCTACGGGCAGAAAAATGACATCGCGAGAGCAGGAGCAGGCTGCACAGAGGAAGCGCGAGGAAGATGCGAGGGCGCGTAGTGCGGCCGTCTTTTTCGCGAGAGATTTTTTGACGTGTCGCGAGTTCGTGAACGCGCAGCAAGCTCAAGCGACCTCCAGCGGAAGAGCGCCGAGAGATGCCATCAAAGAGTATGTCGAGAAAATGCAGAGGTTTCTGGATTTGGACGACCCGGAAGGCGCCACTCTTTTTCGTCAGATAGAATCGGACGTGTTCAAGATCGCACACATGACGACTATGTATTTTATATGAAGCGAAAAAGTGTACTCATCCTCACGAAAGTCGGCTCTTTCTAAGTAGGAAAAAGCCTCTTTTCTTGAGAATGAGCGTATTTTCTCCTGTCATATTTCAAGCGGAGTCAGTCGCAGACGCGTGCAAGCTACGAACTTGTGCTCCGAAGACAATCCGGAGCAGAATTTTACGAAGAGAATCAAAACTAGTAGATTCACAGAGATTTTTGTGTCTGTACTACCAGCATAGAACAAACATATAAGGTATTAATATAATAACAAATCTAGGGACCAAAGGAAACTGCTACTCACTGTTTTTGTCTTGAAGATTGGAAAAAGAAAATTGAAAAAAAGACAAAGCAGGATCCTCGTATTCCTGGTAAGCCGCTCCTGTGAAACTTAAACTCATACACCTACTATCTACTACTAGCTCCAAAAATTGACGCGGTTACAGAAACGCAGGCTCAAGCGCCTTGGGATCGGTGCGAGCGACGAAGCGCGGTCACAAGTTCTGGGTCGGGTGTTCGAGGGGATACTTTACAACACCCAATTTTTTGAGGAGGAAGATGGTACTAGTGAAGATGAGGGGTTATCGCCTCAAAATGCCAGAGCCAGCGACCACAAGCGCAGCCCCGAGGAATTTTCACACTACGTGCTGGATAGGCTGTATCGGGGCAGTGAACCACGTGTTTCGTCTGGAAGAAATGGCTCTTGTGGTCCGAATGACTCAGGAGGAAGTACACCGCAACATGCTCCTCCCACAGCAGCTGCAGGAGCTGCTGATCTCGACGCGAAGCATGGACCCGATATGCATCTGAGTTCTTGTGGCCGCTTTGTCATCCCGAAACTGTTTAGACCTTTGCCAAAGCCGCGTGGCCTGTGGAGTGCAGAGGGTAGCCGGCAGAGTCCAGAAACAAGAGGACAGCGTGGACGCCGTGGAGGCGCCGGACATCAGCCACTACGCTACGTACCTGTCGTGCACCATCAACAGCAGCACGGACAGGGACAGCTTGGTACTGGAGACCAGGGGAGCCCGAACGTTGGTGTCCGGGCAAGAGAAGTAGGTAACAGAATAGATCGTCATGGGGAGGTCGGGAGGGGAGGTGAACGGGAGCCACCTCGTGGACCGTTGAGAAACGGTCTTCACATCCCACCACCAAGAGCGACGTCCCAGCATGTTCCAGATGATGCCAGAAATTACTATCCTGCATCTGGTCCCGGAGACACAGCAAGCAGATCGTCCGGACACCGAGAGACTACTCGAAACCACGCGGGCGCTCCCGATAGAAGAAGCTCGGCTCGAAGTAGTCATGAACCTGCAGGACGAGTTATGACGAGTGCTAGCCGCTTGGCCTGAGGGACCTTGTTGGTATTTATTGTGCTGAGGTGATGTGATTTTTATCTTGGTGATCCTGGACGGGGTGAACCTCTATCTGATCATCAAAGTAAACGAGTTGAAGCACGTGAAAATACGCACAAAAGATTCGATCGCTTGGGAAGCTACCTAAGTAGTTTCAAGTTCTGATCTGAGGCTATTCTATTTCTAACCAGCACGAAGAGGGACCTTCTGCCTCTCGCAACCAGAAGCGAATGCCGCGTGTGCCTCTTCCGAGTCTCGACGCGATGAGATTGCTGAGTGACATCAGCGAACATGTGCGGGATCATTGGTACGTACGACGACTGTTGAGACATCGTGCCGTAACATTAGAGTGGAGAAAGAGGATCTCAGTAGATCCAGCGTTTGCGGCTGCAGGAGGGTTTCTCGAGGCCCAACGAGACTTAATCCGCGTGGCGCTGGTCAATCGACCACAGCGGGGAATTGCCGACACGACAACTCCACGATCTTCGGCTAAAGAGGCAATTAGAGCTGGAAGAAAAGAGGACGCCAGAGGAGGAAATGCCAGGGAAGTTTCTGCTGAGGAAACTAGCCAAGAATCGACATTATTGCGGAGAAAACTCGAATTCCAGTACTCTGCGGTCCTGAAAAAGCATTGGGAGAGAGCGCCACCAGGATTTCCACAACTAAATGGGCAGCCAGAAGTAGCTTACGACTAGGTTTTCGCTTGGTTGAACGAGGGAACTTGAGATATCGACTTGATGTTTCCATACACTATAGCTCCATACACCAGCATCGCAGTGGAGATAGCATTTACAACCATCTCTCCTCCATTTCAACCCGTCGCAGACATGGGTGATAAATGTGTAGGGAGTCGTCTGTACTTGTGGTTGTGGAGACTGAGACAATAGCTAATTCAATTTGATAGAAAACATGATAACGCAGCAGGAGCAAACAGCATAATTCTCATTTTTTTCATTTCACGGAGGATGATGCTGACGATGACCCCCTAGCAGGTAGGAGGCCTCCGAGGCCTATGCCCATCCCTCGACAAGAGGTGTTTTCTGCTCGGCAAAGATTGTATGAGCAGGCCCGACATTTATACAATACTCGCCACATTCATAACTACAATCTGCGCATCCAGGCGGACGGGATCTACTACGACGGTCGGCCAGATTACCTCTTATGATTGATGTCCACTTGAAAGTCTCTGTCAAACTTATGATCTTTCAATGAATACGATCTATGACAACTATGTATAGGTATGAAAATGAATTCCGTTTTGTTTCTGCCGGGGTGGGGGAGATGGACTTCCTTTTGAATAACTATCTCACAACTTGTTTTATCTAGAAGACGACTTGTTTTCGTTTTCCTCGTTTATCATGTCTAAACAGCGACGTGGAAAACCTCGGCTCTAGGGATGAAGGCGGACGACGCGAAGAAGCGGCCCCTAACCCTTTCGGCATGAGCCGTGATCGTAGGTATCCCTGGTTGTGGTGGGTAGGGCGACGCAAGGCAGTCCACGTTGCCTGTCTCGATGGAAGATCCGCGGCAATTGCTGCTACTGTAAGTCGTCAGCGCAACAATGATATTTGGAGATCAAGAACTGTCAGGAGGTACTTAATATTCTATCTCTCATTCTCTCGTACTCTGCTTCATTGAGTAGAACACTGACTTGAGACGGCAACTATTGTTTATTTCAAGTATCGAACCTTAGCATTATGCCTACTTACTACTTGTACTTTCCTGCTGACAAAATGGATTTTCGTTTTCTGTCCGCCCAGATCTAGACACGGGCAGTCTGATGAGATTGACCGGAGTATATCGGTGAGCAGTGTTGCAGAGGCCTGGAATCGTGCTGCGGGTGTCGTTCGCACGAGTCCGGCGGGCGCTACCGTCGAATGGGCTCCCGCACCTCAGACTTTGAGCACTCGCGAGCCGAGCGGTCCTCAACATAGTGAACATCACCAGCCGCGCTTTACGCATCTTCCAACAAGTCGTGTTCAGTTAGCTGCATCGAGGGATGCAAGAACGTCTGTAACGGGGGCACTTAATACCGAAGAAGGAGCAGCGCAAATAGATTCCAATCCCGGGTCTGGGCCTGGGGACGCTCCACCCACTACAGAACAGGGCGAGAGTGGAAAAAGTGGCTTCGAGCTGTTGCGGCGCATGCTGCGACGGGTTGTTCAAGACATGCATGAGATAGACGAGCTTCTTTTTGAGCGGAGGGCCTCGCAAGTAGACGTATCTCCTCAACAAGGTCGTCAACAAAGCACTCAAAGCACAGGAGTGGAGCAGTCGCATGATCAGGAAATGTTGTCGATGCTGGAACAAGTGGAATGTGAAAGTCCCACGTCTATGTTATATGCGACGGATGTCGCTGTGACCACCGATTACGGACGAGGAGGTGCTGCGTCCGATTCGCAGAACTACGCCCCACTCACCTTGTCTCGATGTTACGAAGTGCTCATCGCCGTTGTGCTGCGCTATATCGATAGGATTGGCCTGCGTGCTGATGCACTGGCAGAGCGATTGGTGGAGCCGGCAGCAACTACGCCCTTCTCAAGCAGACTGAGGAGCATCTTCCCGTCAACGGACCGCACAAATAACGCGGAGGCAAATGCTGTGTTCGCAGCAATGTCGCCCTTAAGGCTAGCCTTGATAACTCGATCGATCCTGTCAGTCTTGAAGGGGCAGTCTCCCTAGCAGCATCTCGAAGGAGCAATCAACCTAAACGACCTAAAGGAATAATATTGCTGTTCTACTACAGCGATCATGAAGAGTTACTAGTACAACTAGCTCTAATGTTGTCGATAGCGAACAAGTACGGCTTGGCGGAAAGATTGAGAATAAACTTCCTGGACTTGCACCGCATTCACACGCTGGCCTACGTCACACAAGCCACTGAGCAGATCCGTATATCAATCGCAGTTATTATGCAAGAACGAATGTAGTTTACAACTTGATATTTTTACAACTTTATACAGATCTTTGTGCGAGATTCATTCTTGTATTGCGTTGTAGTGTATTGTATCCATTTGTTTTTGATGTTAATAGTGGCTCTTCAGGTGTTCCCGATTCTGGTCTATTGAGTTTTTTTCGGTAACCGTAAGTATAAGTGCGTGCGTGTGTTCATCTCTGATTGTTGATCTACTGTATCGTAATCCGAACCCTCTATTCTCTAAGCAAGCCCAAGCGACCGTGCCCGAAGACATCCGGAATCGTCTGCATCAAGCGCTAGATCAACTTTTTCCGCTACTCGGGATTGCTATCGCGCACGTGGAGCGCGAAAGCGGAATACGATGGGCTGAAAACAGCTTCCGTAGTCAAATGGAGGGAGAGCAGGTATTGAATACAATGTTGGACCTTGCACGTCGAGGAGATGCAGAGTTGCAAATATTTCTAAGGCTTACTGTACCGACTCTATAATTCATCTTGAGCAGCATCTTTCTTTGTCCCCTTTTCTTTGTAAGGAGAAAACACGCGGCCATAGATCGATGCTTTTCAAGATGAACGTGTTCAACAAGACGCTGGGCTCTAATATTTGACCACATTCGGGAAACCGCTACAGCCTTCATGAGTGCTGTGCGGTACGTAGCTGAGGTGGCATGTTCTGGAACCTGCGCGAATGTGCCGTCATCTCAACAAAGGCAGGTAAGCGCCAGCGCCGGAAGAGACGATGAGCCAACCCACCGAACAAACGATGAACCAAGGAGCTCCAGCAGCCACCTTTTAGGTGTAGGGTCTCGAGGACTGCTGCAAGATCACGAACGGGGAGAAGCGGACGACGCATCTTCTTCAACGAGTCAGTCTTCGGGGGAGTCATTCGGTATTCCAAACACTGGAGGTAGTATCTCCCGTCATGCAACAAGCCCAGATGAAGAAGAGCTCCACGCTGCGCGCTCACGCACTGCTGCAGCAGCTGCAAATGCGGTGACGGCTTTCCACCGTGGTGCCAACGACTTGGTGGAGCGGATAGCACACAACATATCCGCGCTCGAGTTGACAGAAGATTATGGCTTCCCTTGATCCATCTTCGGAAGCATCCCCCCAAGAGGCTGCTCGAGAGGAAAAGGCACCCTCCAGGATGCACTATCTTGAGATGGAAGATCATAAGGATGAGCTCTAAGAAGATCATGTCTCGGGCGACGCGACGGATAATTTTCTCGGTCGCACTGTTGCTGTTTTACTAGCTGCGGTAGAACGCGAAGCGGACGAGCTGGGGTCCCGCATTTGGAGCGCGCGAGAGGAGGAGGACACAGCACGTCATCGAAGAGATGACAGGGGTCGTGAGCGCCGCAGCGAATCCCTCTTTTTTTCTAATACATCACCGTCAGCGTCGTCCTCCTCTTCATCATCATCGGAGTCAATGAATTTCGATTTTGTTCCCATACCGAACGGGATGCAGGGTGCCTACCATGCCTGGTTGAATAAACCTGGCACCGTCATTGCACTTCAGGAAGATGGAAGCGGTGGCGACTTCCTACTTCAACCATCAATGGTAAAAGAAGCGATTTACGTGTGGCTTACGAAGCTTCTGCCCCCGCTACTGAATCGAGTGGCGGAGCAACTCTTCGGAGAGTCTGTATTTCCAAGTCATCTGATAAATAACAACGAGGGGGGCGTCGGCGTCGAGGAAGCAGAAGCGGAACAAGAGCCAACAGTCGACAACTCAAGATCAGAAACAGGACACCAAGCTTACAGAGCACCATTGGAAGAAGCACATCAGTCCTCAGTGCAAAAAGATCAAGTTCCAGCACATCTTCGCTCTCAACAGAGTCCCAATGCAAAAGGAAGAGATCCCGACAGTGAACACCATGATAGAAGTCATCAAGAAGCTGTGCCCCTTGAACGGTGCACAGGCTTGAACGAGGAGGAAGCATCGGCTGGCGGCGGAAAGTCTCCCTGGAAAAGTGGCAAGAAGAGCCTACAGACCATAGTTATGGCAGTAAGGACAGTATCCATAACTACGATACTAGGGATAGACGGAACAAGATTTGACTTTGTGAGTTTGATACATCTGATGAAATTAAGAAGATTCAAGATTGTAACGGTTCTTGTGGTAGCGAGCGGCCGTTATTTCTACCTACCGCTCTAATGACCTAGGTGGATCTTTTACGAGGTGCGATTCCGCGACACAGGCACAGGCACAGAGCCGTCTATTGCTTCCACGCTTGCGGTCGGAACTAAAAGGGACGCAACAGGGCCCCTATTTCCGTGGTTCTAAAATTGAAGAACAACAACAAGCTAGCCCCTCATCTTCCCGCCAAGATGTTGTAGTTGATCCGAAGCGAAGTGCTGATATGGTTGCACTCGAATCTGCCATGAAGGAGCTGACGATAGAGGAAGATGCCAGAGGACCTTTTACAACTTCGAGGAGAGCAGACCAGGGCCAGGACGAGCCGAAAGCAGATGAAGCTGGAATGCCTCTACCTGGCCGATCGTTGCCTGCTCAGACGGGGCAAGCATCGAGGGACCCCATGGTTTCTTGTCAGCAGTATCCAGGCGGATGGATCAAACGGGCTGCGATGTCAGATTTCTTCCTGCGTTCACACTTTAAGAATTGCCGTTAATTGATGCTACGCAAGAGAGGACCTAATTAGGATCTCCTTGGCTTCTCCTTTATCATGGAGAAATATGACCATTGACCAACCAAGGATGCGGATAGGGTGAATGAATTTGGCGACCTTTCGTGTCTAAGAATATGCTAGAACTGTCTGAAAGCAAGCGCAGCGTATCAATCTCGGACATTTTTGGGCCTATGTGCATAAACGCGCAGGGCAGAACACTGCATGGGCAACAAGCCTACTCCGTTGTGTCTGACCAGACGAGAAGAAACGTTATGGCTTTCATTATGAATGAGTACGCTCCATACTTTATGATCCAGATCCGGAAGACCTACTTCAACTTCATCTTCTATTTAAATAATCATAATCTTTGCCACCTGACTAAGGTTCATGATGATCCTCTACAAAAAAAAAACATTTTAGTAGTCCTGATTCGGAATCTGAAAATTCTGCGGTCGGCAACAAGAATAACTTCGATTAGCGCACAGCGCTAATAAGACTGACGGAAGCCCCGGCAGAACCGTCAAGAATGTAATCGCCTTTCGCGGCATAAACTTGCGTCCGCAACACCAGCAGATTGCGCATGCTCATGCGTTCTCAATGGCCACCGTGGCCAGAAGATATACACCAAAATTATGGCAGCCTTGTTAGGGTTTTGACCTTGATTGTTCACGCTGGCAACCAAGTTTCGGACATATCAACAATCTGAATCTTTTCCTCCTTATCCAACAGCAAGAAGTGGTCGACCTCCGACGTATTGTGAGAATGCGAAGAACTAGCACATCTTGACGCACTTTCGTCAGCCTAGTCCACTGTAATAAGTCATATATGATCATTGGCTTAGCGACAGCTCTAACAAAAGAATCCGAGCAATGGGTCCATACGTTTCCACGAGAGGACGATGTAAGCTTATATTTTGTCCATTAGTGAATAGTTCTACCACTTCAAGGGCTACTTTCGTCGGGAGCTGCAGGAAACAACAAAGAATGATAATATCTCTGTACTTATATCATAGTTATTATATTCTTTCTTTCTACTAGTTAGTAGTGTTAGTAGTCGTACTAGTCAGGCTTCCTTAGGCTCTCATTTAGATAGAAATTTTCTTACTGAGCACTGACTTAGCAAGTCTAACCGCTTCTTACAGAGTAGTTACGATTTGTCTCTTGATCTCGATTTTTATAGGCCGGCGTGATTCGGTGGGATCTTTTTGGCACACGTTCGAAGGACGTCCGTCGTAGGGTTACAAGGTTAAAAAGAGGACTCGAAGGAACGGTCGGAGTCCGTCTGGATTGGTCCGACGTTTGCATGGATAAGGCACTTGCTGAACAGCATGCGAGCCACTATCCCGATCATATGTTCCACTCCATCGAATCACCGCAGGTTAGCTTACATCACTAGCTATTTGATATGTGTACATGTTAGTTTGACGCAGGGCCTTCCTCTTCCACCGAGGCCACCGATTATACCCAACCAAGCGGCGGCGCCGAGGGCTTGCGCATGGCGCGAGACCTTTCGGATGAGTTTGCGACAGCGCTGACAGTAGCGTCCCGCGCCCTCTCGTGGGGCTGCAGCTTACACCTGGCCCCGTTCTTCCCTCGAGTGCGGTCTTATCTATAGTGCCATCGCTGGCGACCCGCTGGCGGGTAGCTGAAGCAGTCACATGCCTTTGACAGCTAGCCAGTCTTTCGCGAAAGCGGCCGCGTGGACCGCAGGAGCTAGAGGGACGGGAGAGCGCTGCGAAGCATCGGGCAGAAAGAGGGCGAGCAACGAGATTGATCCGGCCAAGCGGACTCGTTGCTTTCTGTGCGGATCGTCGTGGTTTGTGGTTGTCGAGGACATGGATTTCTGACGGCTTTGATCTTAGTGCTGGTCTTCGTTGGCCCGTACTCTACGCGCCAGGTGACAGCTGTGCAAAACAGAAGCAAGGCGAAGCTGGGGCGCAGTCCTGAGCTTGTCTCTCCATGCAGTGGGCGGAGTGGCGGGCCCCTGTTGTTAAGTGGGGAAGTGTTGCCGCTGACTCTGATCTGCGGCGAAGTCAGTGGCCCAGTTATCGGCACGCCGTCGCCTTTGCAGTGTCACGCAGTGCAAGTGAGCCAAGGCGGGTGGGCTGATTCCTCCCCCAGGGCCACAAACTTTAGCTTCCTCCTCTTTGTTTTTAAGAATCCAAAGTCTCGCTTCCGTGTTTTTCGTTTGTGTGAAAAAAGAGGCCGCCTCGGGGGGTGGGGGGTTGGTGGCTGCTGACAAGTGCCTCGTCAGCAATCTTTGACCCCCCATCGTCTCTGTGTTTTTTCATGTCGTCTTCGTTTGCTTCTTTGATCCGCGAGCCTTCCCTTGTTTTGTTTTTTCTGTGTGTTTGATTGGCGTGATAATAGCATTTTGTGAATGATGAGAATGCGCAGGTATACTACACTTTGTAGATGTAGGTAGAAAGATAGTGCGTGCTTGCATTTTCCTCTCTTCTTCGAAGCTTGTAATTACACGTTTGTGAGTAAGAATTTACAGACAGCAGACTGCTTAAGCCTTTCAACGTTCTACGATCACCAGGCAGTTCAAGTACTGGAGAGGTCAACTACATTTTCTCACTCTCATTTCAACAAACCAAACCAGTTACGAATTCCCGGCATGGTTCATCCCCTAAAACTAACGTCTCGAACCTGGTGCCAGCCTACAGCGCGAGAACTTTCGTTGTGCGAGTACATCTATTTCCGACGCTTCGGCGCCTACTACCCGCTCAGTGGCGAGCAGTCAGGTGCAGGATTTTTCCGTCATCTATGCCTGTTAGGAGAACGCTCCGGGTTTACTGTAATTAAGGCTTCTCCTAATCCAGCTCGTAAAGCATCCTGCTACCTACCTGATGAAGAAAAGGCACCTTCCAGGATGAGTCTCAAGATGGATTGCGGCAAGTGCTAAATTTAGAAGCAACGGCAGCAATACGAATACCGTCGTTGTTGGTGAAGAGCGAGCAATGACGCAAGGAAGAGGACCCACACAAGAACGCGAATCAGGAGAATCGAGCATGGGAGGACAAGAAGGACAAGAATCGCGACACGAACAGGGACTAGATCAACAAGGAAGCGCATCAGAAAGAAGAGTAGTAGAACTAGAAACTAGTGTCATTACCAGCAGTGGTGCTCCAGAAACTAATCATGCAGCAGTGCAGTCATCATCTGGTAATCTTCCTACTGCAATAGCAACAACGTCAATCGGGTCGCAGACAGAAGATAACCCAACGGTGGTAGATGATTTGTTGCGGAGGCACGAACAGGAGCATGATGTCGACAACATGTTTCCGCGCGAGGTCACAGAAGCGACTCCGGATTTCGAACCCCTCCCGAATCCAGGAAATGGACCTGCGTTTGAAAATCCATTGACTTTAAGGCTCGCCCACATGACCACCTCTCACGCTCACCGTTTTTGAGTGATCGAGGTGGATTTACCTGACTATGTTCGCTTCTAATCTGAGCTTTTTTAAGGAGAATACGTGATGCTGGTATGGTCCCACAACACCATCGAAGTTTTGGAGTCTATCTGCCTCCCGTGAATCCCTTTACGCCGTCCCTCAATCTTCCAGAAGCAGAAGGTGCGGGTGACTTTCTTCGTGACGAAGCTGCCTTTCGCACTGCAGGGTGCGAGACTGGTACTCGCGCACTTGCCTTCCGACGCTTAGCAAGACGACGGTTAGTTGCTTTTTACGGCTACTTGTCTCGGTCTCTGCCTACAACTTGTTAGTGAGTACGAGTAGAGGTACAACATGACGCTGTTTCGAAGCACCACCTTCATCACTTATTTTTTGGGAATCCTTTTGAAATTTTCATTTTTTGGAAATCCAATTGTGGTAGAGCAGGAGTTCCTCGCGATCCTCAGGAGCATCATTACCTAGTCAACATCAGCTGCCTAAAACTTTCATCATTCTCCTCATTAATCAACCTCAGCACCTCATCTAATCCTTTCTGCGTCGAAAATTTCCAAAACTTTGCGCACCAGGAAGCACAGCAAATGCGACAATGTGGGAAGGCGTAGACCCTGATTTCTTGCCTGATGTGTCAGCATCGCAGCTTTCGCCGAATCTATCGGAGCAGGTAAAATATGCTTTTACCATAAATTTTCATTGACGAGCTCGAAGATCCTTATTTATACATAGATATATTTCATCGTGCTTCTTCTCTTTGTTGCTAGCTGTGCATGATGTTAGAAAAATATGTTATGGTCTACATCCACCTCCAGTCACTCTACTACGACTTCCCCCAAAACAGGATTTGGACGACCTCGCAGCTTCGTTGCAACATGCTAGAACCGAGTTTTACGATCAGTTGAAGACGATCGGAGACCTATATGCGTTCGTTTTGCTCGACTTCCACTGGCCTTCTACAGCCGAGACCGCAGCAGAGGAGAGACTTGAGGTTTTACAGGACCAGCTAAACTACGTAATTCGGTTCCTCTACCACACGCACGAGGAGGCAGCGGAACCGGACTATTGATGAGAAAGAGAATGTTGGAAACCTGTAAACTAAAACCACAATTATCGAGAGCAACAACTAAAAAACGACATCGAGAGAAGAAACTCACTTCTTGAGAACAACTACTAAACGACATTGACATGATGATGTTGTTGCACTAGATAATATACACGACATCAACAGGATGTTTCCGCACTACATGATAAAGAGGATGCTAGCAGAAAACACATAGTGAAGATACTGGCACGCTTTTGCTCTGGCGAAGACGAGCACATAGTACACATCGTGCAATATTATGAAGATATGAATATAGTACTAAGACTTTGAGGTGCAGCGATTGTACTACTTCAACATGCTGAGAACTGATGCCGCAACCACTAATACTACGTATCAAGGCCTGTATATTTTCAACAAAGTTTTGTGTCCTTTGAAGATCTGTAATTTACGTGTGTGCAGTAAGGGTAAGAAAATGGGACAGATGGATCTTAATTGATGTACTTAGTTCGGTGTCTTGTATTTTTTTTCACGACTTCGGAGAAAACAAATACTGATACTTTCTTCTTCTTTAGTACAATCTCACAAAAGTAGAAGATTAGTGGAGAAGCACTGGAAGACTACAAGTAGGCTGCCCAAAAACAAAAAGTAAGCTATAGAAAACCGCTTGTTCATATTATTATTCAAAAATATTCATATTATTATTCAAAAACAAAATTGAAGAAGAATTTCGTTGCTGGCTTACTAGTCTCCAGCTCCCTGGTCCAATGAGCATGGCTATGATGAACAACTAAATCAAATGAATAATCGGGAGGCGACCACCGTACTCACACATGATGAAGATAAAAGAAAATAGTTTAATGCACCACGACATGTCTTTGCTTGGGGAGAAGACTGAGTGGTTGCAATCAGCAGCATGGGGCGCCGTTACTGGCGCTCTAGTCCTTTTTGGAGGCACGGTTGTCACTTGCTTTCTTGCTGCGTCACTTTCCGTGAAAAGAATCTGATATTGACGCCTGAAGATGGTTCTTCCAAACATACAGATGCAAAATAGGATATGGTACTAGTTGTAATCCACATAGTATTACCCGCGCCACTAGTCGTAATCCGACCTGGAGAGCGCCTCTGTCCACCTGACTACATCCACTAGCTCACTAGAAGAATAAACTTGAACTTCCTTTCTATGCCTATTCTACACCTTCTATGCGAGTACTCAGATATATTTAGAAGATTGTCGACTGTGAATGAAGGTACATGATGACCACGGAGGCCAGCATGCCAGACCCACACCCAGAGGCATAGAATAATGATAGATAAGATTGAGAAGCGAATGAAAGAGCTGCAGGAGAAACTCAACTCGACAGGAGTGGTGAATCTGGATTATTTGAGTATAAGTTCAAAAAAATGGCTGCTGCGACTACGACCGAAGACGGAATCACGCAGGAGGCCAGGGGTCGTCTCATCTCGGAAGGTCTCCAATGTTCGATATGTTTGGATTTTTACTGCGAGCCCCTAACCTTACCCGCTTGTGGACACAGCTTTTGTCGACTTTGCCTGTTGCAGAGCACGGTCCTCGCGCCAGACGGCCGCAGCTGTCCGCAATGTCGGCGACCGATCAACGAGATCGCAAACCCTGCCACGCATAAGGTCGACGTCGGACTCAAGAAACGGGTCTTGCAGGAGGTCGGGGCGAGTGCCTACGCTCGTAGAGAGGGAGAAGATGCGGCGAAGCTATTGACCTTGCTAGAACGGGAAAAACAGCGACTGCCAGTGTTCTACAGCGCGAATTACGACGTTGGAGAGTCGTTGCGGCTGCATTTTTTCGAGCCTCGCTATAAGATTCTGATTCGACGTGCCTGGGAAGGAAACAAGCGTTTTGTCTGCTCACGGACGGCGCCCCTTGCTGCGGGAGGAGGCGAGCATGTCCTAGATAGTGCTGGACACTACTTTTTTGCTGTCCCTCCACTCATTACTCCGTGTGCGTGAGTAATTTTAGAAGTATGATTTTCTGTGGTTGTAACAGTGCAAAAGTAGAAGTAGTCCTAGAACGACGAGCACAGAAGTCATAAGTTACAAGTGACATCATTGGACGTGGCTTTGTCCTCTACTTTAAATGTAAAGAGCTGCAAGACTTCTCGATCTTGATGTATAGTTGTTCTGTTCATTGTTTGCAGGCGGTGGTGTGGTAGTCGAGGTTGACACTGCAAGCTTCCTAGCCGACGGGCGTGCTAATATCGTGGGTCGCGCAGTCGCAGAGATACCTCCATCTACTCGTTGCTGGATCGATGATGAAGCAATTCGATTGTGGTATGCCGAAATCGATCCACAGGCATCTCAACCGTCCAGTGGAGCTTTAGCGAGGCGCTCTTCTGAGACAAGAAGCCGATCTTCGTCTCGCGGTAGGACATCCCCCACGTCTATATCTCCAGTCTCTCCTCTCCCTGGCGCTGGTGCTAGAGTAGGATCATTGGACGTCAGGGATACTCAGAATGCGATACGCTTGGCCATACAACAAGGAGCGCCGGTGTACAACAGCGGTGACGTAAAAGGGTGCTACTTTCTCTACCGAAATGTAGCAGAACAAATTCTGCTGGGACTAGACGGAGGTCCTACACGTCAGGTATGAAGAGATATTAGACTCCGAAGTCGGGAAAGCCAAGAGAAAAAACTTCTTTGTCTAGCAACATTACTTCTATAGATACTGAAAAACTTCAGCAGGTGGTTGTTTGCTTCCTCCTTCCCAATACTGGATGGGTAATCTTCCATGACCTTGCCAGACAAGGAGACACCCGCTTTCCCGCTTTTTGTCAGCTTTTAGTTGTTAGTTTAGGCGTAGAGGACGAAGATGTGCGGGCAATTAGTCCAGTGCGCTTGTGTCTTGACGCCGCTGTGCAGAAAGCAACACGGTCAGCTGAGGGTGAGCGTCGAAGCGACTTTGACCGCGCTGCATGGGACATGCGACGTGGGTTCGATCGCGTTCTACAGATGCAAGACGACAATGTACTAAATAATGTTGGAGCATCAACATCATCGTCTATACTGGATGGCTTGCAAGCGAGAACCGTTCAGGTGTTTGGGAGAGGAAGCTTGTTCGGAGGAGGTGGTCCTGGTGGTGGTGGTCCTCCGAGCTCTTCTACAGGAGCATACGACGTCGTGAATCGAAATCGTGGCTCTCGAGAAGCGCCACCAACTCCTGTGCTGTGTTTTGCGGGAGGACAATTCGATCCTGGGGCACTGAAAGTAGGTGGGCGAGGAAAGTCGCTGCGCCTGTTCGAGCCCAGATTTCGGATCGATTTTTTGTGTGCGGTTGCACAGAATTCAAGAGCTGGCAATGTCGTGGGCCAACGTTTTCTGTACTCGCGTGGAATCCCAGCACCTGGAAGTGCTGCCGTTCTGGCACAAATCCAAGATTGTGTTTTTGATGGCACAAATCCGTTTCTCCCTTTCCAAGTAAGGTTTGAGGAAGGCGGCGCTGCACGCTTAGCTTTTGTTGGCGTAGCTGAAGTGCGTTTGGTGAATGTGCTCAGCCAAGTTGACAATGCAGCGGGTGGACTAGTCTTCGCGTCCTACAGGGTTGTTGCTGGCATACCTACAGAGTCAAAGATCACAAACTGCCTCCTAAGAGTTTGCTGTCCATGCTGCATTCGGACAAAACGCACACTGCCAACATATGATAACTCGTAGGTTGTAAGTACATGATAGTAGGGATAAACCGGAAAGCTCTTAGGGTCAGGCACACTCGTCAATCATTTGCAGAAAAGGTAAGATTAGCTTACTGGGCAAAACTGGATGAGATCATATCAGCATGCAGTGGAACTACACTGTGCCCATGACCGAGGACGCGACAAGAATGTCGACGATCTTATTGTTTCGCCATCCTACGCCACTGGTGGTGGTCGTGCTCCGGCTGCCTAGCGGATCACATTGGTTCGCTTCTGAGAGGACTGGAGAGCAGTGCGCGAGCGCGTCCAAGTTGAGCTGCCAGGAGTAGAGTGTAATCTCTCTCCTATCATGGAGGGATAGAGTTTGAGTTGCTCCTTTAGTTTCGTATCATGTAAGTTCAAATCGACTTCCAAAGCAGTAACCGTTCTGGGTCTTTCCTGCTGTTGTTTATCCAGTACTATGGATTTTTCCACATCCATCTCGGATCGCGAGGCGGAGCTTCAGGGGCAGCGGAAAAACCATGTTTTCAATTGCGTTCCCCGTTTCCTGTGCGATTTGATGGTTGTATCCGTTTTATTAATGCTGCTGTGGATGTTCTTCTTCGTCGCCGAGAAAGACCAGATGATAAGCCCAGTTGCGCGAAAGGCAATATTATCGTTGGGTCTCTGCTCTTCATCGTCTTGTCGACCCTACATTTTGCGCTCCTTCGCCGTTGCGTATACAGGAAGCTCTGCGGAGGTTTACTGTGCTGCAGGGATCTATTCGGGTATGATGAAGTACGCCGTAATGATGAACATAGCCGACGTGGTCACGCTCTGGCTGGAAAACAGGAGATGCTTCTGATGTCGTGGGACTCCTACTTTTTTAGTGGAGGCTGATACTCTGGCTGAAAATGGCGTTGGTAGCGGCGCTCCAGTAGCAGAAATTTCCACCTCGGGCGTTGAGAACAACGATAAGGCGAGGTCGACGCTACGTGTCCTAGCCCATCACTTCTACTCGCCGACCCAAGAATGTTGCCTCGGTTGCTGTCTCGGTTGTGGCACGGTCAAGCGAGTCTCACCGCCAGAAGGCGATCAAGAGGAAATTTATTGTAACTGGATAAATGTGGGATGGATGTTTGCCGTGCTTGCGGGGTTCGGTTTGCTGTTCGTCGTGATCCTTTTTGTTGTCTTCGTAGTGGTAGCCGCGAGCGGCGGCACGAAGAACCGAAAATGGGCTGGCTAAAGGCCTGGATCCGCGGTTTTTCGAAGCGGCGGTTCCTCTACATCTTCCTCCTCTAATGCCGCTGCCACATAAAGAAAACTCCGAGTCCGACAATAGTACATTATACCATATAGAAACGAAACAGTTCACTTTGCTGCAGCTGCTCTAAACTTTTTTTCACTCATATGGAACCCTTTCCCCCTGTTTTTTGATAATACTTGCTGGATGCTGCGGTGCTCGTCTATGGTACTCTACCTCTAGATGTTGTTCCATCATTCTAGCACTGTTCTCTCCGCTTCAAAGCTCATTTCGTCTTGCATTCGACTAGGCTTTTGGTGTTGGCATACCTAAGGCAACGGCAAGTTATTCTGCCAAGCAGATGAAGTGCTAAATTTTGCAGATTTTCGTGGGGCGTTTAAGGTTCCGCCATACTATATATGTACCAGGGAGGGAGGCCCCCCCCCCCCTGTGGATGGATCTGGGGTGGACCACGCCAGAGGGGTCCAGCCTTGCCACCTTATTGGCCAGGCCTGTCGAGGGGCTGCCGGGCGGGAAGGCCTCAAAGCGCCCACTTCTGACCCCTTCCCGCTCCTTGCATGTACCCTACAGACCTGGCAAAGGCAGGGCCCCGCTGGCTTGTTGCATGTACCCGACAGACCTGGCAAAGGTGGCAAAGGCCGGGCCCCGCTGCCTTGTTGCATGTATCCACCGACCCGGCAAAGGGGGCAAAGGCAGGGCCCCGCTGCCTTGTTGCATGTATCCACCGACCCGGCAAAGGAAGCAAAGGCAGGGCCCCGCTGCCTTGTTGCGTGTACCCTACAGACCTGGCAAAGGGGGCAAAGGCAGGGCCCCGCTGCCTTGTTGCGTGTACCCTACAGACCTGGCAAAGGTGGCAAAGGCCGGGCCCCGCTGCCTTGTTGCATGTACCCTACAGACCTGGCAAAGGGGGCAAAGGCGGGAACCCACCCCCTTGGCGTAGGGTTGGGCACACGCAACACGACAAGAGGGCCCAGCCTTTGCCACCTTTGCCAGGTCTGTAGCGTACATGCAAGAAGCGGGAAGGGGTCAGAAGTGGGCGCTTTGAGGCCTTCCCCCCCGGCAGCCCCTCGAAAAGAGGGGCCGGGGCTGGGAGGCCCCCCCCCCTCAAAAAGTTAGATCGGGGGGGGGGGCCTTCAGCCCTGAGTCCTGGAACATATATAATAGTATCTGATACTAAATCTTCGAGCTTCAAACACCAACTCGTCATGTCCTGAGGTGAGCAAAGGCGTCAAGTTGGCGCGCTCCGTCGCCTATAGTTTCTTCGAAACGTGATGATGGCTGATGATAATGATGGGCCGGCGAACTACGCATTACCATTATGCGATTCTCATCGGATGGTAGCTCAATAGCTCAATTCCTTCATTGGAGTACACTTGTCCCAGTACAGCATGCGCCTTCACGCATGTGCTTGGACCTTTCGGGTTCCTTTGAGATCATTAGTCGGTACAAGTCGGTATCTCAGACTCAGCCTCAGGATGGGTCACGAAAATAGCTTGTCCTTGGCGTCTGCGAAGGAGTCAGGTGTTGATTACAAACTCGATCGAGGCACGTGCACAGTGCAGGGCTAGGGCTGTCTCCACATCAACTTTTGCAAATTTGAGTCTCTTTTATTTGAACGAAGACATCATCTTGTACTTGTTTCTGGTTTCTTTAAAAATAGAGTTTCTGCGTATAATGAGTCATTAGCAAGAGATAGATTTTGATACTTGTATGTATGTGTATCTATGTTGTATAACAGTCGAAATCAAAAATTTCGACATCCTTCTGAAAAATGACACGGCCGCGCACGCCGCTCCTCAATCGCCCAGGCGTACGGCGCGTAGGCGTTATAGCGGACGTACAGTATGCAGATGTCGAAAACGGCTCAGACTTTGCTCAGACGGAAGTGAGACGGTGTATTACAGTAACTATCTTCAATCATCATGTTTCCTATGTGAAAAGATGTAACTACTTCTTCATTTGGCAAGTAGACATAATTGCCTTGATTTGTGAGCGTGAGACTGAATATATCCAGCATGATCGATGCTCATCTTGTTTGAGATTCGTTACTTTGCGGCACAGGTCGTGCCTCGTCTTCGCATGAGTAGTTCTCAGTACTATCAAGTTTTTGTCTCCACTTTTTTCGTTCCGTATGTTCCAGGTACCGGTCCGCGCTCGAGATTGCTCGTGCGATGGATTTTAGGGCACACCGTTGCGACGCAGTTATGCAGTTGGGCGACCTAGTCGACGGCAAAGCGCGAAGCCACTACGGGCGTGCCGCTAACGCGGTTGCTGCTGCTATAGAAGAGTCCTTGTCTACGTCTACAAGTGCAGATACAGGCCAACAGGACGATGGCAGTCCACAGGAATCTTCAACATCGACGGAAGCCAATGCAAAGGCGTTGGAACGTTTCGATATTGTCGGAAATCATGAGCTCTATTGTGCACCAAGAAGTTGGTGGAGTCGCTCATTCTGGCTACCTCCGAAACAAGTGGCGGGCCACCAGGAAAATGACGCGGGAGACGGACAGAAACAGAAAGTTGCTCAAGAAACAGCAGCAGCAGGTCAACAAGATGCAGGTGAACAACCAGACGAGGCTCCAAACAATCCTGATTCGTTGTACTACTCTTTAGTAGTAGCTGGTGGGAGGTGGAGACTCATCGTTTTAGACGCTTACATCGAAAGCCTCTACGGGTATGACGACTTCGTTCCAACACAAGACGTTTCTCCTGAGTCATCATCACAGCAGCACCCGATGGTGCAGCGCGCTCGTGCAATTCTCGCAGCTGAAAACCCGCAGGTTCTAAGGGGTTTTGATAACCCGAAAGGGAATTTCGACTACTTCGAGGGCGTACCACTGGAGCAGCAGCGTTTCTGTCCCTACAACGGCGCTTTCGGTGCGAGGCAGCGTGCGTGGCTCAAGGCCGAACTTGATGCCGCAAGGGCCGCGCAACAATTTGCGTGTATATTCTCGCACATACCAGTGATGGCCACCGAAGAGCATGGGGGTTGGAGGACACTCGCATGGGACACAAAAGAGGTACTTACTTATTTCGAGCCGCAGTGTTAGGTCGATGTCTAGTATCATCGATGATACAAGCGTGTTCTAATTCTTTCACTGTGGCTGTGCTTTATTCTGCAATTTCATTTACAGATGATTGAATTTGAACAGCGAATGAAGAGCAAAATGGTCATGGTCATGTACCAGGTTCGACTCTGGATGGCCGTTTTTGAAGCAAAACTTACACAGAGCAAAACTCATGAACTACATCTGCAACTACATCAAGGCTATCTGACTGGTCAACGATGGTCCCAAAGTAGAACACTTTTGCTAAAAATAGATGCAATTTTCAAAAAAAAATCTGCGAGAAGTTTTGATCTCCGCGAGAAGATAGAGAGGTTTATCGATCTACATCAAATCCTTCCACGAACAGGTGCTGGAACTTTTGGAGCCTTATGCGGAGGATACTCTTGTTGCCTTCTACGGAGGACACAGACATCGCTATGCACACATGGAAAAGGATGGGATACAGCACGTCGTACTAAGTAGTCCTATGGTGCAACCGGAAAAAGGAGAGAGCGCAGCCCTTCTGGATTTCAATGATGATGGCAGCATTCTACAAACTGGATTCGGCATGCCAAGCATATCTGTCCGCAACAGCAGGGTTGATGGAAATAGGCGTTGAGAATCAAGAACTGCTAGTGTGGTTGCGGGTGGTCGTTGCGAGGTGGCTAATAGTAATAGAAGCTTTCATTGTTGGAAACGTGAGAAGTATTAACAACAAGGTAGTTGTAGTTGACGTCTGGGGTCTAATGATATATTTTTTTGTTTGAAGAGAAAGAAAGATCTTGGTCTTCTTCGGTTCAAAAGTCTGCAGGTGCAGCTGCAGTCCACAAAAACAAATTACCGACGTCGTGGTAATATAGAAGATAATCAGCGCGATATTATTTTTTCAACGTGAGATTGATCGTAAGAGAGCTGGCAAGGCGTGTGCATATGCAGGGCTTTCATGGCCATATTGAGCTGGTGTCTAATCTTCCGCTCAATCCGATGCGGTAATAAAGCAAAGAAGCCACCACAGGGTCGTTTCTCAGTGTTCAGATTACCGTCAAGTTCATAGCAAGTATGGTGTTTAGCGTCGGCTCTCTTCATGGTCAGTGCTTCCTCGAACGTTATAGCTGAGCAGGTCACTATATGTGGCATGCGCATGATCTCTACACAATAGGCGTGTTTATCTTTACTTAGATGGTGTAGACCCTCCAACATCTGTTCTCTATCTTGTCACATCTAACATTTTATGGTAAGATCGGGACCTCCCTGTTGTATCTGTGTGTGTTCGTAGGGTAGTGCACGTGCCCAAGTCGGCGTGCGCCATTCGATGCAGCATGAGGATCTGCTACTACTGCAAATGATCCTTTGTCCCAGCGTCGCAAGATCCGTTGTGTCAGCGTCAGCTACTTAGTAGGTCCGGGTTCGTACATATTGCAGACGATGTCCTCGTTAGTACCGTTACGTGTGCATACGAGATCCGTTGGTAAAATTGATGGCTAGATACTTCTTCTCTTGCCCTGATCGCATTAGACCAAATACTTGATCCTGCTATTGCTAAATGTAAATATTGATTTTCTTGTATAAGCGCACCTTCTAAGAAAGCTAGCCATGATGTGAAACTCGATGTTATCGTGTCTCCTAGTCCTGTGGCATCATTTATCAATTTACATCAGTACTCGCGTACTTATCATCATCTATCATCAAGACGAACATCACAGCACGACAGACCACTTGTTTTGCACCTGTTGCGTACTGAATTTAAAGGTCATAAAACTAATTGGTATCTCTGTCTTCTAGATGATAATAATAATGAATATACAGACTCTCCTAGCTCTCCATTACTTCCGGATATCAAGAACCAGATAGTGACTGTGAATAATGACCTCTCAGTGACGTAAAGAGGCATTCTCGATTTTAACATTCATTTGCCGTGAAAAAATGGAAAGGTTAAGGTTGACATCTTTCTTCCAATTTACAGGGGGCATTGATGCCATTTCTTTTATCTACGCTTACAAAAAATTACTGCTGCAAATATCAATTTTTGAACGTTCATCTATTTGATTGAGTACAAGGACAAGAAGAAATAAAAACGAAAAGATCTGAATCTATCCTAAAAAAAGCATACCTACCTACAGTAGACTGGATCTTGCAGTGAGGTGAAAGAAATCGAAATCGACAATGAATCGAGAAAACAAAGTTCATCTTTCGCCGGGACGCGGCTGGAGTCCTTTCCTGATCAACATGATTCTGTGTTGCAATTTTCTTCATCTGATCAATTAAGGCTGCCCACGACGATAATTCATTTCCTCTTCCACCGATCGCCTTCATCGTCCGTTTCCTTCTCGGGATTCTGAAACGACGATGAAGGACGTATCATGGGTCGGTAGGAGATCGCAAGAAGTTCTTCTAAGGCAGCATCAGCAACTTGTTCGTGAATGCGGCCGCTTCCGCTGGATCCCAGGAAAAGCTTTCGCTGCACCGCCGGGTGCAGGATGTGATGCGCAACCGCAATCTGGAGACTTTAAAAGCAGGCTTACGATCCTCGCAAAATGCTGTGTGCAAAATTGGGACCCTCAACGAATTGGCACTACCCATGTCCCGAAATGGGAGTCGTGGAACGAGCCGGGGGACCGGAAGTGGTCAAAATTCTCCTCGAGGATTTGGCAGTCCTGCTTCATCTCCTCGGGGAAGCGCAACGAGTCATGGCAGCGGTGAAGAGGACAGACGCTACGATGTCAATCTGGCGATGTCGTTGCAAGCTAAGTTTTTGCGCGAAGGTAAACGTGCGAGCTCTGCTTCATCGTCAACCTTGGGACCCAATACACCTTCGTCCGGTTCCACGACGCCGCGTCAGGAAGAACATCAGGAACATATCGAACGTGGTCAGGAACAAAGTGGAAACACTGAGACGGCACAGACGCCTGCGTCTGCCGCTCCAGTACAAACAACGAACTCCGCTGCGACTCCGGTACCTCCCGAACAAGAAACGGATGGAATCACAATAGAATCGCTAGAAGAGATGGAAGAGGAGGCAACCACAGTGTTCTACACTGGATTCAAGCGGACACTTTCGTCGATTCAGGAACTCTTCGCGTTCACGACTACAACCTGGCCGGCGGAAACAGTAGAGGACTTTAACTTAAGGAAATGCTACATCATTTTTGCATCCGATACTTGAGAACTCAGGTGACTAAAGGGCATTCTGATATTCGGAAGAACAAGAATGTATTAATGCTGCTGCAGAAGGCTTTAATGGACGCGGAATTAAGCCGTACCCTCTTTGGCGTCGAGACGTCAGGCGCGTTGTCTGAGATGCTGTTTCGCGCTATCGAACAGTACAGGTTGCAGCCGGAAGCGGTATCCTTGGAAGAGTTACGGCTAGTCTAGTAACGAAAGCCAGAAGAAGATTCAGAAGTATTCACAGCCTTCAGCGAACACCGAAGTATCTTATAGATGAGATGAAGATGAATCACGTGCACGTCTACACGTTATTTCGTGGCCATGTCGTTCTATCAAGAACTGTTCATAGATATGGTACAACTTCTAGGTGGTGTCTTCTAATTGCTCTTAGAAGTTGTTGTAAACACGTGAGAAGTTCTAGTAGTCGTAAAAATGAAGAAAGCTTAAAGCTTCTAACTTGTGAGCTCGTCGAGAATCCCCATCGCAATTTGATCTATTACAACCGAAGGGAAGGTTTCGGCCACGCAAAGATTTATGAATCTATCCAAAAAGCGATCTCGATGATTGCAGACGATCGCTACAATATGCGTACAATCACGCGCCTCCAAGAGCAGACCACGCAATTCAAGGAAGAAGGACAAGAAACGGGTACTTCCGCTACTATTCTGTGCAGCAGCACAGTAAACATATTTCATTATATGCGTTTTTCTACCTGCTCTGTCATTATGTTCTTACTAATGTCGCCTAGAAGTGTGCTGTTGGTCGTCAGAGTCTTGGCCGCGTCGTCTCTACAGTAATATACTCCTACTCATGTTACATGAAATTCAAATTTTGATATCCTAAGATACTCCTTCCTACGACTCAAACAATCTATTCAAGAAACGCATGAAAATTTGTGTTTCAACAGGGCCGCAAGGCACGCCGCCATCGGATCCCAAGAGAATTCTGAGCGCAGAAGATCTTCAGGAGCAAGAAGAGTTGTTAGCGAGCGAGGAAATGCAAGCTGAGGCACTCGATGGATTGCGCTATGATAATTTCGAACTCCGACTCTTCCTGGCAAGAATGTTTGCGCGCTTGCGGCCACTGTTCGATCCACTACTTTTATGTGCTGGTCGTGATCATGATTGTGGTTGTACAAAAGAATCTTAGATATTTATACGTAGATTGATGTAGTTGTACTAGTAGAGGTACGAAGATCCAGACTCACTTAGTTGTATCATGTTGGTTCCCGTTCCATCATTTATATTTTGATGAAGCGTTTATTAAAGCCGTGATTAATATTCTGATGAAGAAATTATATATTTTAGCTGAGCTCTCGCACATGAACGAAACCCAAACTTCATGCTCATGAGCTAAAGGGTACTCACTACAAAACTGCTGTGCCTACGGCTAAGCATGAATATGTTTATAACGTGTCCGGACGGGGGAGCGTGATGTGCAGGATCCCTAACCCTAACTTAACCTCCTCCTTATTTCCCCCTAAGCTACCATAGCCTTCACGAGGCCAACGTACTTATACATAGCAGCTATTACCACCTTACTTCACTCTTTCTCGTCTTTCATTCTTTCCCGCTGATGGCGGTATCGATCCAGCGGACGCTGGAATCCTACAGGCGACGGCAGAGGAAAGAGAGGCCGTTCTACAGGCTTTGTTGCGGAACCCAGACCCTGCGCGATATACCGCTCGAACGGATCCAGGAGACCCCCCAGAATACTTCATTTAAGGATTTGATTTGAATTAATGTACTTCAAGAAAAAGGGCGCGGATTAGTAGACAGTTTAATTAACTTCTAGCTAAATATGTGCCGTGTGAATTGTTCAACCTGAAAGTGAAACGCTCGAAAGTAGGCTTTCGCTATTCTTCATCGGAGACTAACACTTGAAATAGAAATTTCTTTAATGTAATTTGTCGGTCCTTTTCATCGTTCTGCTGTTGTAGGGTCGTGTCAGTGTCTGTGCGTGGTCGCATTTTGTGTCATTGGAGGAGAAGGGGCATCATGATGGTAGTAAGTACTTCTACTTCATACTTTGTCCTCTTCGATAATATTTACCAGTTGATCCATACTCTTGTCTTCTTTCTTATTATTCCGGTCGTGCGACATGGATGGAATATGAATCAATGAAAGTGCTGGTTTCTAATTTGCGTGTTCGGATGACGATCTGCTACCACGTCAGAAAGACATAACGCGTGGCTTGTGGCGACAGATGGTTGAGCTGATGACCAAGCGACTATTCGATGCTGATGCCTATGGACAAACGCTAGTAGGACGCGGCGAGAGGGCCCTTAAAACTGTGCGAGACTTTTTTGAACAGAGTCCGACCGCAGAGACTAAACATGTTTCTGCGGAGATACCTTCGCAACAAGGAACAACTGAAAGGAGCAATGACGAAACTACACCTAGCAAAGACACTCCTAGCAAAGACACTGACAACGATAAAAGTGGTAACGTTTTTTACAGCCAGATCAAGCGTACTTGGCAGACGATGCGCAAGGCCGCTGACGAGCTAATGCCTTCGTGGAGCGATCCGACGTTAATGGCGAAGGACCTGGAGGATCCCACTATTCGACGATATTTCGATTACATCGTTGAAATTCGCAACGCCCTGACGAACTCTCTGCATCAAATCGCGCCTGCGTTAGATTTGCACGGTTTACTCGGAGTCAGCCCTACTGTGGAGAGCTTTCGAGACGTCTTTGGTCTCGTCACAGATGCTTAAGGCTAATACTCTTACTGTATCTAAAGATCTAAACTGAGGACCTAATCAAACCTCTACCGATTACTTGTGATTTCTGAGGTAATTAATTGCTGATCCTGATTTGGATAATGCGACGTTTCCGTGGGATGTTCTAGAAGTTAATAAAGTAACTGGTCATGTTGAACATGAAAGATAGCTGGCAGCGGTCTAAAATGCAGCATCGGTCACCACTGAAACACTTTTTCGTCGTCTACGCTTCAGACTTACCGGACACATTGCCGCTGGCACGGAGACAGCCTTTTGGGGTTCCCAGTCGGAACACTTCAAACAGGCTTGGCGATCTTTTATCACGGGCACGCAGGAGGACTGGGATACTCTTGTCTGGAAAGGAACGTTAAGGCCTGTAGAAGTTCTTGTTGAGAAAATTTTCTTTATCCATCGTTCATCATTCTTAAATAATTCTAGTCAGCTGTGCTCCTCATTATTCTCAAGCTCGATTCTCATGATGAGGCCTGTTCTTGAAAAGCCTGTTCTTCGATATCAATCTTCATCCTCTCGGTGCCATTTTTTTTGAAGAAAAAACAAAGAAGAAACAAGCACCGGCGAGAATGAACAAGATACTCCTGCTCACTAAGACTATTTACATGGACGATCATTCAAGGTAATGCCAATAAGAAGACGTCTTGTAAAAAAATGTAGTCTGCGCCAGCAAATTGATTCATCTAACAAAGTGGCGTGATCCGACGAATCGCATGATTCACAGCCTCATGAAGATGTTTGCATGGTATATTTCGGACGCTCAGAGAGATCCCACGCGTGTGTTTGGAACTGATTTTTTCACGAATTTCGAGCTTCCGATTGCGCGGGCTCTTGAAGAAGCGCAGCGCGAGCAACAGGGCAACATGCCGAAGTTGAAAGAGATAGAAATACGACGAAGCGTCGTGCTAAAACAGCTCAAGAAAATCTTCAGCTTTCAGAGTGCGATCAAGCGAGATCTTCTGAGGGCTGGCACGGAATTGTTACCCGTGAAGGAGCAATTTTCCGACGACGCAGCAACGACGTTTCCAGTCCTAGACCGAATTTTTGGCGCTCATGATGTGGCGGACGAAAACGGGCTTCTTTTCTACACTGAGAGTGTTTTGTTTCGGAACCGATGGCTCGAGATCGCAGAGGCCGCTTCCGATGTGTTCCTTCGGGCTGCTCCGTTTCGTCTAGATTTCAACTTCGGCAATGCGATGCTCTCCCACGCGTGGATGTTCTTGTTCGATAGCGATCACACGATGGTGTGGAAGGCGATCGTGAAAGGGTACGCGCCGATCTTCGCGAGCAGGGAGCGTACCGAAGACTGGGTCAGGTCTATGCTGACTGCAATCCGCGGAAGCTTTTTCGCGGGTGTCAGGTACATAGAGAAAGAGTTCCTTGCGGCAGACTCTTCTGTGCGAAATAAAGCGGCCAACGAGTCTCGACTACAGGGAAGTCGAGGAGCTTCAGGACAGCGACATCAAGCATCTAGTCGAGGAGGAAACGCATCTAGAACTACTCTTCATCAAGGAGATGATCCTTCGAGTTCTGCGAGGTCGCTCACTGGTTTCGTTCGGCGTTTTCCGTGGCTCAAATGGTGGCATAAATGTCAAGACCGTCCGACTGTAGCAACGATGTTTCTGCCATTCTCAAAATGGATTCAGTACAATCTTCGCGACACGACACTAGAAGAGGACGACAACTCTGCTGTTAAGGCATCTGGAAATTCATCTTAGCCAGCATCTTGGGTCCGTTTCTTTTTTCTTAACGGGAAACGGTCACCAAGATGGTGCACTTCAAGAGGGAATTCTGGTGGTTCTAATTCTGAGACACGTGAAGAGGTTGCCGCACAAGTGGAGACTCAGGAACGCGATTTCTGGCTGAGAACTGACGCGGCATGGATCAGCGATGTTCACTCCCACTTTTGGAGACCGATTCTAGATCCGTCCTTGAGAATTTTGAATGCCGATGGCAGCAGTTCCCCGAGAAGGGAGGGTCTTCTTGGTGGTGGAGCGACAGGTGAGAGGGACCACACGGGTAGTGCGCGTCAGAGGCCAGACAGCACGGCCTCTTTGCTTGGTATGATGCACGCCGCCGCCGGCGCGGCATGGGGTTGGCGTATACTCGATTACAGAGGAGAAACTTTCGTCAACTTTCAATTTGCGCCATTTATTGGGATCGAAAACTCAGCCACTTTCAGGGATGCACGCAATTCCATGCGAAGTGCACTTCTGAGCATCGGATGGACTCAGACTGCAGCAGTTCTCCAGCTCTTTCTATTAAGGCACCTCATCGGACTACAGTTGTAGAGCAAATAGGCACTTCACAGGCAAGTTCAACTTGTTGTACTTGATTATGATTGTCATTGACAGGGGACTGATAATACAACACCTTTGAGCTTGATGTTGATCTTGGCGTCAGTTATAAAAGTGGCACATCTTCACGATTCGTGAGGATGATGTATACAGAGTACAAGGCCTTTATTGTGGTTCCCCTCTAACAGTCGGTCGCGAAGCAGGGCAAGATACTTTGGAGATCCAACCTGGGACGCCTACAATTAGCATGAACCTTTGGAACGAGATTTTTGCCAAGCGCTCCTTGCTAGTGGATGCTTACACCGTAGGACTGATCGAGCCGCCGATGCCATTGCATCGCCCGACAGGATCAGAAAATGAACCTGGAAGCCGCCAAGAAGCTCCATTATCAGGTGGAGAAATCTCTGGAGGTGGACGTAGAGGCGGATTCGTTTGGCACGAACGAGCGGGTGCTAATGGGCGACCAGACGTTGAAGATGTGCTTGGCGTGTTTTTTGAACACAACGTGAATGCGTCCTCCCAGGGCGTGGCTGCATACGGCCTCGATGAAATGGAAGCCCAGGAAATGGATGACGAAGCCGTCGCGACAACTTTTCTCACTACAGGAGAATCAGAGTCAGTTATTACCGAACCTGGCGCAGGTGGATCCCGTCGACGGGCTTCGAGCGTTCCCGCGTCACTCACGACTGGTATCGACACTAGAAACGGGACTATTGAAGATATCAGCACAGTTGCAGTGGCAGTTGCTAGTGGCAGCCGATCAACGTCGAGCATTGCTGCATTGCAATTAGACGGACAAGATGCTTCTAACCAGCTGGGGAATGATATTAGATCTCACTTCGCGTTCTCACAGAGAGCAGCCACTCGCTCTCCACGATCTTCATCCTCATCTACTTTCGTTCAACCTGCCGCGTCTCGCAGGTCGATGCTTGTAAGTGCGCGACAACGCTCGCTGCGCGGATCCGCTACACCCGCAACTAATAGTATGATTCCAGCGGTCGCGGCGACCCCGTCCACCAACCCTTTTGCCGTTGCAACTCACGACGTTGGCGCGCGCAGCCTTCTGAATGAGTGGAAGAGGCAGCTGGCGGGTTCTTTCGGCCCACTGGTGGTCTTTTTCAGCGACCTTTTTCTGACGAACCACTCGCGGCCTGGGTCGCTGCGCGGGCTGTTGCGAAACGCCTTTCGCCACGCGTATTTGCTGCAATCTACAGGACAGAACGGCGACGAACCGTCTCTGGACGCAAGCATTACTGCGGAAGACGAGAACGGTGCAGTATACGCGGACTTGGATTTCTTGTGGCGAGAACCACAGTCAGCATTAAAGCCTCATGCAGACGTCTTGCGAATAAACCAGGCGTTGCCGGATGCGAAGCAGAGAAACGATATTAACTCTCGTGATCGTGCGGGATTCATGGAGCTAATCTTTCCAGGCCTGGGACGTGGTCGAGGAAGCGGAGAAGGCGTCGTAGGAGATGAGTTGCAACCAAGGTTGTACAACAATTACATCACCGACGACGACTTTTTTGCCGCGCAAGCAAGAAGAGCAAGCGCGGGAATTGACGAGGCCGTCAGGCGTGACGGTGAACACAACAAGGGCGCGGCTACTTCTAGTAAGCAAAAGGGCAGCGTCTCACGGCGAAGCTTTCGCGTGATGCTCGACACTCTTCTGTTGCCTCCTGGTGGCGCGGAGCACATGGAACCTGGTGATGTACACGATTACGGCGGCTGGTTGCCCCCATATCTGGTACCCTTTGCACGAAGCTTAGCGACCGCGTTCAGTGACGCTACTTTCGTCCACCTACAACTCCGAGAAATGGACCTACTACACGCACAACAGGATGCTGGAAAAAGAGCGCGAGCGGAGCAATCGAGAGCCGTTTTGGGGTTGTACATCCGCAATTTACACCAGCTCGTGACGCTTGGCCTCGCATTGTTCGTCCGCAACCTCCGCGCCGTCAATCTTGCGGAAATCTGTGCACCTAAGAACGAAGCTGATCGCTACGAGGTCGCGCAATGGGAACAGGTCCAGCGGGTTTTCCTACGATGTCTCGAAGCCTCTTCTCAGCGGATTCGAGAGTTAAGACTCCTAGCGCCGATCATGGATTTAGATAGTTTACTTATGTAATACCTCGGAGACAAACACAAATAGCCACCGCAATGAAAAATATCGTGTCACTGAACCTAGACATAAGTAGAATAAGTACTTCTACGCAGCATGGTCTGAATCATCACTACTTGAGTATTCGCTCGGAATAAATATGACGCTTGCGGCGCAACAATAATATTAATTGCCCCTGCTCCACAAAAACGTGAGAAATTCCACTGTGCATGGTTTCTGTAGTTGATGAAGGCATCTAAGAAACGCTGATCGGTTCGTCGCGATGGAACTCCCAGAGTTGAGTGGCATTGACGCTTTGGAGAGACTTCTTCACGACCAAGTCGCGAAATTCGTCTCCTACATGCTCTCGTCCGACACCTGGACATTACCTGGAAGACGTTTTGGCACCAGGGCCAACGTTCGCCTCGTGGAGGATCTTGCAAATCTGCCTCCTCATATCTCTGCCCGCACCGAACAACTACAACGGGGTCGAAGAACAAGTGCACCCCGACTTCTGGGTATTCGTGAATACTACGATGTGGTGCAAGAATTTGTCATTCGTGTGTGGGTTCGTCCTCTTTCCACTTACCTTGCGCAGGCATCGCGAGAAATGCTCATGGAAGTGGCAGAGTGGAGGCCTCGTGACGGAGTCAGCACTCGGGAGCTACACAATAGCGCAATGTCGAACCCTCCCGCGTTCATCATGATCAACTGGTTCATAGGCTTGCGGATCTTTGGAATTAAGGCAACAACTACTTTGCAGATCGGATTATTTAACAGGGAGCAGGAAGCATCTAATCTACTGTTTCTAGTCCTAACAAAAAAAAATATCTAAGGTAACGACGACGCCGCCAAATTGGATTCTACTGCCGCTTCCTGCGGAACTGAAACTGCGCGCTGCTCCCATGAGCACGAGAGGTAGCAATAAACTCCTCAAGGAAATGGCTGATTGGTTCTCACCGGACGCGGAGGCCGTGGATCATGAAAACCCTGTCTATTTAAGGCTACTGCTCACGCATGTCCTTAGCACCATGATCCTTGGCTCTTCTTTATCAATTTGAAAAAGAAGCCGCCAGAGATACGACTCGTCTCAAGGAAGGAGATACTAACGCGGTAGCTCTAATCTATGTCTCGGTCTGGAGTCGACTCCCAGTGGTTTCTTCTATTGTTACTCGTCTAGGCTTCGGCAACCTGGGCCACTTATTTCCCCGTCAAGAACCCACTACTTCCTCTGGAGGTGGATCTTCAGGAGACGGAGCACCAGGAGGAGTTTCAGGAGCGGCTCAGCAAGCGGGACAGGGACAGGCATATCCAGATGGACAGGGGAATCTTCCGCATGAAGTAGGCGTAGCTCCTGAAGATTCTGGTCGTGTTTCCTTTGACGCGGCTCTTCGCTTGGGTTACGGGGCTTTCGTGGATAAGGCTAGCGCGTTACTCACAAAGGAACTCACGATCGAGCAAATGGCACCGCAACTGAAGCCTCTACTTCAGGACATTACGACGATGATTGGTGGCCAAACGGTTCCAGAAGCGATGATGCAGTTCGTGAGAAAGTTTTTTCTTGAATACTTTGATCGCGCCGACGAAGGAATGAAGCTAGACATGCTCATGGGGTACCTGGACTTGCCACCGGCAGTAGCGCGCAAGCTCGTCGCATCGAAGAAGTACTTCGTTGGGCAACCTGGTCCTGGTGAAAGTCATGCTACTACTAATGCTGGAGTAGAGGGTGTCGAGGGAAACACGGCCTCTTCCACGGAGCAAGATGTTGTACTACAATATCAACAGGGTCATAGTCATACGTCGAATGGTGAAGAAGGTCGAGCAGAAAGGGGACTTAGCGCACTCACACGTCGCATTACTCATGCTTTGAAGTCAAAAGGAAGATCGAGGAGTGGTACTAGCGATGTTGATCACGGTCTACAAATGTCAGCCTCTTTCTCACTGTCGGGGGATCGATAGCCTTAGAAGCCATCATAATTGACATCTTAGAAGTCACAAGTGCATGAAGATCTTGTTGAATAGATTAGAGCCAAGGTAAACAGCTTACGAAATGCTGATCGAGTCAAGCTCTCGTTTGATTTGGACAATCCTCTTCCGTATTTTTCTACCACTACAGACGAGCAGGTCGATTCAGAAATGGGTGCGGCGCCAAAGAGCTTGGAGGAGCTTTTCGCCAGTCACGATTTGAGCGTGATAGCACCATCATTAAGGCCGTAGATATTTGCGATGACATAGACATAGTACTTACAGAATAGTACTCGATAAACTCAGAGACAGAGACAGAGTCAGGAGAAGTATTTCTTTGAACTGTATAAACTGCTCTTTGATATGGTAGTACATCATAATTTATCATACATTTAAATCCTGACCTTTATTTGAATGATTGAAGTAGGACACGATAAACTGTTCCAGGTCCACCAACCAGCAACTTGCTCTCTTCTAACTTAGGTTGGACGCATCTTGATGCATACAGGTCCAGTGTTACAAAAAACAATGCAATTGTTTGCGGATCACGCACCAAACACTGCGACCCGGAAATTGTTGCAATCTTTCCGCGAAAACCTTCACAATCCCATGGAAACGTGGCAACTGTGGGAGCAGCTCTGTGCGCATCCACGCTCTGACGATTCAGGATATGAAGAGGCAATGCAGGAGCAAATCGCCGCGTGGGCAGTACTGTTGGAAAAACAAATTGCAGCGCGCATTGAACGCGAGCCGGATATTCAAGAAACTGGAGCGGGAGAGTTAAGAGTTTTCAAAACAAGAACAAACAAGTAAGTGGAGTTCATGAGCTCCGCTGTCCTGTAACACTAGTCCGTGTTTTTTTCAGTAGAAAGATAGTGAGAGAGGTCGCGAGTCTCATTTCTTCGTAAAAATACTACATGATAGATACATAGGACCTCTAAGATGGGTTAGTGGGTATTTGATGGCTTAATTCTTGATTTCATCATCTAGTACAGAGTGGAGTAGCGGCTGCGTCTGCAGCAAACAAATCAATATTCTAAGATAAGGCGAGGCTTCGCTGCAAGAGCTGCTCTGGCAAATGGACTTCGCGGAAGCCTTGAGAAAGTCGCCGCGGGCATCCGCATGGCACCAGAACGGACATTGTCGGCTCCTCCAAGCCGTTGAAAAGGACTCGTCTGCGGCTGTGAAATTTAACCTGTGGCGCGAAACCACGCCAGCCCTAGTTAAGGCCGCGCCATCTTTCGAAAATTGTACCAATTTATTTTCTTTTCCATAGAGTTGGAGCAGTAAGTTGTAACTAGAATTATATAGTGTCTGGGATTCTGGAGTTTCTGAGGTGAATGCGTATTATCTTTTTCAAGGAGAAACTTAATCTTGGATTCATCGTAGTCATCCCCATGCCGCTAGAAACACGAAGATCCCTTTGCCTTTCAGTCGAGCTCTAACGTCCAAAAAGTATCGCTTGAGTGCGACTCCCAAAGTTTGCAGGCAGTGCCACACGATGAACCGACCAGGACCAAGTGCATTCTAAACCGACAGTTGCTCAGTACAGGCACTGACGTTTTCGTCCGGCGACCACACCAGGGAAGCGCGGGAGACGGGCAAGCAGATGGGGATGCACAGGTTTGGAAATTCGCAGGTAGCGTTGCTCGCGCTTACGGGTGGAATGCGCAAGCGACACTGCCAGGTCGTGGCGCGGAAGATCAGCAGGCTCTTGCTCTTAACAATCAACGCATAACAGAAGGAGTAGTGTTCCCTCATATTGCGCCAGTTTCGGCTCAGTGTCCAAAAAAGGGTCTGCCGACTCCTGCCGCTCTCTTTGGAAACGCTCGGTGGTATCAGAGTGAATACAGTTACCGAATGACTTCCGAAGGGCCATCAAGCATTCATGACGGCCATCTACGTACTGCAGACGATGGGTATGAGGCGATGCCAGCAGCGGAACACCATGCTCCCAGGTCGGCCCGCTTTCTCCCCTTTCCGGAGAATCACAAACGCGATATGCACGAGGTCGATATTGGTTCGCGTACTTCTCGCCACGATATGGATAGCATGAGTCCCAAGGTCCCTGAAGCGCGCACACTCATTACAGTATTGCCAAGGTCCGGAAATTCACCTATTCTCAACGCCTCAGTGATGCAATCGACGCAAGCTGCCGTTGTCTTCGCTAACCGTATAGGATGCGCTCTGCAGCCCGGCTACGAGTGGACATGTAAGCGTCGGGACAGCGCCAGCGCGAAGAGATATGAGCCTTCTGAATTCGAAATCACTGCCGCAGAAGACGTCGGGAGCGGAAACTTGATGAACCCCTTTCTTTTGGAACAAAACTCTCATAGAGATCGAGAACTACAAAAGGCAGTCCAGATTGGTCCGATTTCAACAACAAACACCTGGCTCGTTGCTGCTCCAAGGTATGTCGGGGAACAACAGGGGAGAACTGCAGGAGGTGCGGGAACGCCTGCAGGTGGAGCTAATGGTGGAGTGTCTTTTTCATCGTCTCCTTCCACTCCAACGAGTAGTACGATCGTTCTCGTAGACGAAAACTATTATTCTCCCGACACTCCTTCGCACCGGTACGAATTTTCGTCGAGCCCAACAGCAGTTGGCACAGTCGCCCAGGGACACATCGTAACGGAAGTGAACACCAACAATTATGAAACAAACAAAAGAAATTTATCGTTTTCTGTTTGTGCTCATTAACACTAACACTGGTAGGAGGCTTAGCGTCCAAGAAGAGGTACTTGTAGATTTTAGATAAGTACTAAATTTTTTTTTGACTTCTTTATTTTTGTTTTCGTTCGACGACTTCTAGAAGGAACAAAGGAAGAAGGCAAAAAGAAAACGAACAGTCGGTCTATTTAGTGTGCCAGAGACGTTACTCACGTCGTTAAGCAGTCGGTCTTTTGTAGCTGCCGCGTGTCTAATTTGAGAAGTTTTGGTTGCGAGTGCAGCGCCCCTACATGGCGGAGCGTATCCGTTCCGAGAAGTATATCTTCAAGAATATTTTCGTTGAAGCGTGGCGCGAACATGCGGAACTGACGGATGAACGCGAGAAGGAAATTCTTCAGGACAAAATCGTCGCGACCAAAGCAGGACTCGATTGGAACTTCTCTCGCATCGAGGCGGAGCTGGATCTCGAAGAGGAAATCAGGAACCTACAGATGGGAGACAAGTGCTACAACAGTGGTTTGCCCATGGGGGAATCGGATGGTAGAATAGATTTACAAATATTAATGGCAAGCCTACGCCTTATTCTTAATCAGTCAAAAATCTACTTAGTCCCTTCCCAATATAAATATTTATGTAAGTAGTACATAATGTAGGTATCTATTGGACGGTACTAGCATGGATCATTTACAAATATGTAGGTCCTGGATGTTCGTAGAACAAAGGGTGTTATTGTAGAGGTAGAAGACACAGAAGATTGTAGAAATCACATGACATAGAGCAGAAACTATTACCAAGAAGACCGAATGGTTAGAATCGTCTGACGTATTATTATCGTCAATGAACTACGACGTATTATTATCGTTGATCCGTAATCGTTATGTTTCGATTACGAAAGATCAAGTACAGTTCCAGCATCTGCGTCTACAATCCTCGCATCGGACGTTCTTCGTAAGTAGAACAGAACCAGAAGTAGAACAAGACTTACAGCTCATAGTTTTACTACATGAACAAAATTCATTGTCACCCACGACTACAGGTGCTGGGTCGATGCGATTCGTGAAGCGCGTTGGTAAGCGTGCTGTTCTGACGGAGCATATTCGTGGCGTGACCGCCCAGAGCTGGGCCACCTCTGTGGGCGCATCGTCCAAGCAAACGACCTGCAAGACCGTGGAAAACCTCAACGCCTTATTGCAAAAGTGGTTTCATCATGCATTAGACAACCCGGATCACACATTCTTCCACGCGGATCCGCACGCGGGGAATATCATGGTAAACCCTGAAACTGGTGACGTTGCGTTCATAGATTTCGGCTTTGCATGGAACAGCGGGAAAAATCAACTTCTCTTACGAAGTTCAACAATAATTGTAGCTCTAGCTGGTGCGTGGTGAAGGGAATGAGTATTACTAGCAGCTTCCTCGTGTAGTTCCACCTGTTAAAACACGACGTTGATAATACTTTCTTCATGTTGACACTGTTCATGATACAAGTACAACTGTAGATACATCGACTACATCCATTCCATTCATTTCGTCCGATTCATCGAGCGATTCTAGTCCTCTAATCAAGTAGGTAGAGCTAAAAGTACTCCAACGCAAAACCTTCTTAATACAAGCCTTTCTCTTAGTACCCTCTAATCTATCCGAATTTTCGCCGGTTCCTGACGGCTGTCGTATTCCAGAATTATGCGACGTTCCAAGCGTTATTTGGAATCGATGAAAACGATCCACTCATGATTGAACTGCGAGAGAAACTTCCGAGAATCGCAGAAGAAGTCAAATCTATTGAGGTATTATTTTTGACCTTGCTATCCACCTCCACATCACTCAGCAAATGATGTCTCCATGACTACATAAAGAGCAAGAACCTGGTACTCGTTATACCATCTCGTGACGTCCACCGCCACATTGTTAGTGTTACCATAACTTCACTTCAAAAAAATAGAAACGAATTATCCTTGTCGCTACGGACATCGTTTTCCGGCATTTGCATCGCGTAAATAACGCCTTGGACGGCCTCCGGGAGTTCCTGCTAGCACTTGGACTCTTCAACGACGTTTTTCTCTTGATACTTAAGGCAACCAAAAGCAAATCCTCAGCATCATCCTTGGCTATAATTTTCGTAGAGAGATGAAAGGACGCTCGCCAACGAGCATATCAAGGATGTTGCGAGTGCGAAAGCTCTAAGCTACACGCCGAAAAAGCCGACGACCTTAAAAGCTGCGGTCGTAGTCTGCAGAACCCCATGACGTCGTTCTTGTGGAAAATGGCGAAGGACACAATTGCGGCCGGCGTGGGTAGCGTTGCAGCTTCAGTAAGGAACGCTTTTCGAGGCGGCCGATCATAGAAGAGTTGGATGGATGATGATTTTTTTTGCAAGAAATTTTTGACGAAGAAGAAGTTTCAGTTAAGTTTGGTAGAAGAAGATAATAGTTTGATTTTTAGATAAATTTGACCATAGCAAATCAATTATAGGATGGTCATGGTACTACAATCAAGAACGAAAATAGATGAAGATAAATGAATCAATCACAAGAAGCGTGAAAATGTTTATGTCAGAAAGAGTCGGCTGGTATCGCCTTGGATTCATGCTGTAGTCGACATCCAGGTCGTTTTGATGCAGTTTTGTGAATTTCTTTTGTTGATTGAGGCGGTTACTAGCGATAGAAGTAGAAAAGCAAGTTACACAACGAGATCGCCCGAAGCCAATAATTATTGGAGGAACCGCAAAGGTCACGCGCGTTTATGCTCTAGATTTGACTCATCTCTTGTTGTATTTTATGGAATTGTTTTCTTCCGACTCCGACATTTCGAAAAAGAAAATCGTTGTGCATCTATGTACATACTAGTTGTTGTTCATATCACTTTGTTCTTTCTAAAGAACGACGACATAATCATTATTGGTAGGGATAAGTACATATGTTTGATACGCATGTTGATAGACCACAAATACATATTAATATTTTGGCGTATCATGCAGTAAGCATAAGAATGCTCATGTCAATGAACATGCATATCATGATCAACATAGGTCTCGATAGCATGCACGTTCATCACTCGTAAACAGCATTTTAATAAACGTTGAATATTTTTGACTAGTATACCAGGTGGTGTTGTGCGCTGAAGGTAACATCGGATTGTATGCGTTTGGAAGTTCTCACTTGGCGATAGATAGCGCAAAACGGGCATTATAACTAGGTGGTCTCTCATGCATATTCGCATCTCGTTGTTCACGGACTTCAGGAAATGCCGCTACTAATGGAAAAAAGTTGATTGATCTGCTTTTCGTGGATTTCTCTACTGCGCCACAGTAGTGTAATATCTGTACCTTTGAGGAATAAATATGAATATCGCTATCCTCTTCCTTATTGCATAACTGAACTGGATCTAGACTAAGAACTGAATGCAATCCCAAAGGAACTGAAAGGAGATTCATTTTTGATCGACAAAGCTAAATACTCGCATCCGCAAGTGCCCTTAGCTTCAAGCGGCGCGGGATGTAACATATATTGATGCATCAATTTTAGTTTCACTGACGAAGCAGGTGTCAGCACTAGAGCAAGCACGGCGACGAATTTCAAAGGATGTTCTGCTTCCATAAAAAATTTTCCATGCATAAGAAATGTTGATATTCTTCAGGCTGAGCAGGCACATCTTCGAGAATCTAGAATCTAAGGTTAGATTCGATCACGCTATTTCAAACGGATTCACATCGATCCTAAAAAAATCTTAAGTAAATTATCGATATCCCTTTCTACAAATGAGGAGCATTTCATGGAGTGGAGGAAAGAAACCCGCGATAAGCGAAAACATAGAATGCTCTGGTGAATCCGAATTGGTCAAATTTCTAATGATCTAGCAGCAGGTTGTAGTACTCCGACTATGCGATCCCTAATCTATATCTGAAGACATCTTCTTCGGTCATGATGCTCTCCTGGCAACATCGTTTTCAAATTTGTGAACTTATTGTTGCCACTACACGCAGAAGAAAAATTGCACAGCCGATCATCTTCATCTTCTGGGTATTTCGAAGCAGACAGCAGATAAATATGGGCTGCTAAGGTACATATTCATGCTCCAATATTGAGATTTTTGTCATATAATAGAATATTGCGGATCAAATCGGTTTCGGTCCTTGACAACTGGAGGTTTACTTATTCCTATTTGTCCTGTGTCCGTTTCTTCCCGAAGTGCCACGACGCACAACAAAATAGCCGATTACAACTGACAGTGTTTTTTGCGAGAAAGATTTGATGGCATAAAGAAAAGATGGTGGTATTTCACAAAGCCCACATTGACATGACGGAAGCACCGGACCCAGCGAAGGTAGTGGAACTGCTCGCTTCCCTTCCCCCTGAGCTGCGGAAGAAGGCAATGGAGGAAACGGCGAAGCGTGCAGAAGTAGCGCAGGAAGCATCCACTCAAAGAGGCCTCATTGCAAAATTCAAGCGCCAGCGAGCGGAGTTTGCGAATGGAATCGGCGGACTTGAATCTCCGTTCACCTTTGGCTTCACGACGACAGACTCAACTAATGTCAAGCCAGCTACCGCCTCGATTTCTGAGACAACAAGCTGCAGTGGGAAGAGTAATGGAAGAGCAGCAGCATCCTCAGACATCAACAAGAACAGGACACTGCGTCCGCTTTGCGTGCGAGACCTGGCTTTGAACACGACGCACCGAGGTCGTTATCTATGTGGTCGCGTCGCGGTCGCGGATGCCTATTTCGGGATGGCGTCTACCTCGCTACTTGTTGAAGACATTACCGGACAAATTGTCGAGGTTGCGGTGTACAAGATCCCTAATGCAAACACGAAATTAGTGGAAAAGATGTTCCCGGTCGGTCGCGGTATTGCTATTGCAGAACCCTACTACAAAATGCGACAGGATATGACGCTAGGCATCCGCGTTGATAACCCTGCCGAAATCGTGAGCACGTGGGTCCCTCCCAGTGATTTTGTGTCGTGGAAGGAGTTGGGGAATGAGTTCGTGCAATGCGCCAGAGACTGCGCTTCTGCGCAAAAGGAAGCGATCGCTTGCTACGACCGGGCCTACAACTGTTTAGATGTCTGTGCGCGGAAGAAATTGGCATCCCTCTTCGCAGATATGGCCGATTGCAAGAGAGCACTAGAAGACTATGCTGCGTCCCTGCGCCTTGGTTTAGTTGCTGCAACGCTGGAACCCACTAACATCGACGACTGGAAACGGTGCCTGTGGGCTCTGCAGAACATAAAAACGGATGCCGCAACCTTCGTACTGAGAATGTTCATCAAACACCTCAAGCGAACTCGAACTGCTGGCACTGGTGAAGACGGGAAAGCAGTCAAAGAAAAGAGTCAATTTCTCTCCGCTTTTTCGGAAGATGAGCTTCTGAAAGACAACGATGCGAAGTTACAAACATCAACAGCTTCAGACGAAGAGAAGCATAGTAAGGGAGGACCTGCTGTAGCAGGAACTGTCTCATCAAACAAGAGCTTCGAGAGCGACAAGAAAATGCTACAGCAACTAGGCTGGGCGGGAGTGCTCGCTCTGCCACGTGTATTGGATTTTGATCCCAAGGTCTTCTTTGCCTCTCCCACGGTTTCTTCCACTAGAAGTTGTACAACGACCGAAGGCTCTCCCTTGGGAAAGAAGGAGAGCAAAACGGTCGCGAGTAGTACTGGGTCATCTTCGCGTGTTGATGATTTGATCCAAACAGGCAAAGCGCAAATGGAGAAGAAGGAGTTCAGTCGAGCGTTTGATGTGTTTCGACAAGCGGTCTTCTCTTCCTTCTTCGACGAAATACGCTGCAGCGCAGCGATTGTTTTGAGCAACAAAGGTGCCGCTTACCTAGCGAACCGGACGGCTCTGTCCAAGGAGGTAGCGCGTACGGGATTGGTGCAGTGTTTGGTTAGCTCGCTGCTGAATCCCGGCAATAGCAAAGGGTGGGTGCGGCAATGCAAGTTCGTGGAGCACCTGCTCAGTAGTACAAGTTCAAGCTTTCTGACGACAGAAAGTAGTACCGGTAAAGCAGCTTCTGACTCTGGTGGTTGTAGTTGTACGTCAAACTCAAATCGAGTCATCAAGAACACCTCCTCCCCATCGTCCGCCCGCGGTACTTTTTCTACCGTGTCCGTGCTGCAGCAGCTTGCAGGCATCTCAGGTGCGATCGAGAACAAGTTGGAACCGGGGGTCCGTGACGCGCTTCGTAACGAGATCAAAGGGATCCAAGACCGCGCAAGTCTCCGGCAAAAGACCAAACCAGTGAGTGCAGTATCTACGGATGCGCAGCTAAAGGCACGTGCAAACGACAACTTATTTTTGAACCAAGAAAAAGTAAAAGAAGGACGCGGGTCTGATTCGGAAAACGATGAACCTATTGAAGTTTATATTGCCAGAATGGAGTCGATGAACATGATGGCGTCTATGGCGGTTGGAGCGCTCGTCAAAAACAAGAAATTCGTCAAGGCTGCGCCGTGGTTTGACGAGCTAGCTAGGCGCAAGTGTCCTGAAATTCACCTTGAGTTCTCGAAGGAGCGTGGGTGGCCAGTTGGGATAGACAAAACCTTTGCGAGAAAGGTTTTGTATCGCGGACACTTGAATGCACAATGTCATCCCCACACCACCGCGATGATGATGGCCGATGGTCGTTATACACTGCAGGACTACGAGGTAATCAAGCGGTGGCACGGCACGGGCGCACTCAATGTGCTTGAGCAACAGAAGAAATTGTATCCAGGGCTCGTCTTAGACGCGCGCGCTGAAATCAACTCTACTTCAGGGGAGCGCCGACAGGGACACTACGATCTCCGCATTCGCGCCAACTTCGCGAACAGTCCGACACCAAAAGACTGTCTGTTTTTTGGAACTACTCACGTAGCTATCGGATTCAATGATCTCGGCTCGCTCCTGAACGCACCTATTATGGACGAGCCGGAAGATTACATTCCGAAAAACGGAAGCGCAAAAGGGGGGCCCTTACACTGGGTCGGGTACGAGCGCAGTGAGTTCTCTGTCGCCAAGTTCTCCGTTGTTGCTCAGATGCTGGCGGACAAGACGGCTCCGATCGAGCATGTTTTGCAGGTTTGGTACTCGTCCACGTGGTCGCAGGGAGCGACGCAGACATTTCTGCGGGCTACAAAGCACGTTTTGTCCGAGTGGGAAAAGAAACAGAACAGTAAGGAGTGTAGATCGGCTCCTGTGCAGGACGCCGCGACGAATCGTAAAAATGAAGAGGACGAGGCAGCAAGTAAAGTAATGAGCTACCTCCGGCACTGGATTGGGACGCAGACCATTTCACTTGCCGTTGCCCACACTCGCTGGTTCACGCACACGGAGAAGCATAACGCACGCGTATTTGGTTACGCCTGCAGCTTCTGTCGCAGAATCGATCGACTCGCTCTGACGCAGTACGCCCTGACTGGCCAGATCTGCAGCGGAAAAACGGCTTCCAATGGTGCAGCAGATCTTCCATCCGTTGGCAGCCTGTGCATGTGGAACGTGCCGGATGGAGCTCCTCCGCTCGAAGAGGACTACGCTCTTGGCACCATGCTCATAGAGGATCTGCTAGAAGAGCACCTTGCCAGTTCCGCTTCCTTAGATGTGGTAGGTCTGTTTGCCGCTCGTGTAAGCAAGAGTTTGAGCAGCCTCCGGGACCACATTTCGAAAGGACGACTGAAAATCGACCTGGGCTGCGGCACGGTGAAGGCGGTTTACGAAAGTAATGCGGAAGTGTTCCTCAAGTCCATCGCGGATCTCCATCCCTACACGGTTTCCTGGTCAAATGTGATCGACTACTTTTCTCTACAGGACTTCCATACGCTTGCGCGACGCTGCTCCTCTCCTCTGGGGGATACGGTGCACTACGGTTACTCGATGAACTGGGTCGCAGACGTTTTCGGCACATGTGTTTCCGACTACGCGACCGACATGTTCTTTCCGCAAAAACACGGAGAAGCTACTCCGCAGGTCCAAGAAATTTTGAACATGTGTCTTGGAAAGCCAGCAAAAGAAATCGCGAAAATGACTCGCTTCGAGAAGCTCCTAACCGTCCCGTATTTTGACACTCCACTGAACATCTGCGGACACCGGCTCGCACAATTGTGTCACGACGATTGGGCGAAGCATTTTGCCAAAAATGCCGATGGCTCCTTGAATGGTAAGGCAGCCTGCTTCCCTCGCGGTGCATCAGGCTTCAGTCTCGGAAAGGCGGACACGCTATGCAGCTCGCCGCTCTACCGGACCGACCGCTCCGTCTTTATGGCGTGGACCTACGATCCGCGTTTGAATTTGAAAATCGGCGAGGAATCGCAGGAGGATGGCCTCAGCATTCTGTCGACTTTCGGCCAGAAAACGTTTGCACAGCTGTTGCAAAAGCAGAAAGAGCAAGAGGAAGAGCAGGATCCCGCTGACTTGCTTGCTCAAATGATGAATTTGGGTCGTGGTATGAGAAGGAGGATGGAGGGGCATCAGAAGGAAGCAAGCGTGATGTCATCACGATCAGCGTAGCAGTGTGACGTGTGATGTGGAACTGTAATAGTCGTGGTCGCGCTCTTAACCGCACCACCCGTTGACAAGGAGACTGACCAAAAATCCCTCTTATTATAAATGAAATATGCAGGTTCAGGAGAATTTCATTCGTCAATGTCAACGAACTACAACTTCTAGCTACATATGTTCTTTATCATAATCATCCTAATGTTTCATAAATTGTTGCAGATGAATGTTGAAGCAGCACAGCAACCTCTTGTCGTCCGACTACGTAATGCTCCTGATTTACTATTGGCATCGGGAGAACCTGAGCCACAGCTAACCCTATATTTTAGTAGTCCGTATTTTTATCTAAGCAGGAGCGATACCGATAAGTAGTCATCTTATTTATAGTACTGAGTCCTCAATATATATACTGATCAGCTTCGTACAAGATAGACATGCAAGGTGGGTGATGCAGCTTATTTGAATTACATTCGATTATAATCAATATCGTTATCGGTCATATCTGTGACTACAAAAACGACGTTGATGTTACATTCTCAATGTATGCAACAGAAGTAACATTGAGCCTTGATGTTGTTAGAAAATTCATGACGGTAGCGGTACTAGAGATATCATATGTTTTTATTCACCTTGTCTTTCTTAAGAGAGGATAATCTGCTCAGGTGGAGAGCTTCGAAGCATCCAAGAGCCACTCGTCAACAAATAAATTGTTTCTCATGTCCCTTGCAATTCCGAAAAACGACTTTTTTAGTCCTCATTCTCATTCTTATGCTTCTTCTCAGAACATACTGTTCCTCATTCCGAGCGTTGAACTTGAAAGCGAATCTCATTCCAATGAAAATTTTTTTCCGTTAACAACGCTCCTCATTCCTCTCTTTTCCACGAAGATGACGTGCAACACGTTCTAGGATGGTGCCACGCGATCTATTGGCGACGGCGATAGCAAGCGCCGGCATTAGTGTGGAAAATTGACACAGCCAATTCCACCCTACAAGTTCTGGGAACAAGTCTCAGGCGCCAACATTATCGGAAATTGTTGGATATTGTCTGCAACTGTTATCAAAGACGATTCGTGGGAGACAACATCAGAAAGGAGCGAGCCGTCGAAAGGTAGGAGCTAAGTTTAGATCGGTCCTACCGCTCGAGCCGTTTTGATCGAGTGAGGGAGGATGAAGTCGGTTAAACGGACAGGCTCGAAAGCCAAACGCCTCTCTCTCTTTTCATCCTAAAAATGTAACATCTGTTAGACCTCGTGTTTCCTAAGGAGAAGATCCCTCTTTTAGACACTGTTCTTACAGTTACGGTTGACTACGTATTAATCGAAAGTGCAAAGGGAGCAAAAAGGAGAAATAGCAAAACTGCTCCAACTGCAATCAATCAGAACTTCGACCTCTTGCCAGGCACATCAGTCAATCAATCAATCAATCACTTTGTACTTTTACATTCGTGGAATGGATTTCAAGAGTCACTTCTAGGTGATGAGGATTCTCTTCGGGTTCTGAGGGGGCGTTGCATCACCTCTCCCACCCGGCTAACCGTCAATGAAAAGAGTCTGGAACTCGCGAAATCGGTACCATACGACGGAGTGGCGTAATATTTTCAAAATCATGTTGGCGATGGACTTTTTGAGCCTGTTGTTGCTTCTCCTCGTGATGTCGTGATGTGCTGGTGAAATTTGAATCAACCATGAGAAGGAGAAAGGTCAATGTCAGATAAGAGACTGAAGATGAGAATAAATTCTCTGCAACCGCTCAAAAGCATTGTCCTTGTCCCTAGTAACATTTACCCAAGCAATTGGTGCACCATTGATTTTCCAGCTACTACAACTGCTACTATTAAAACTACTAGCAAAGGTCAAGCCCTTGAAAGATGCGCCGCGCACAATTGTCCTTACATGAAAGGTGCTTGTGTTCGAAGGATATCAGTATCTGATGACACTTTAATTGCTGGTCAAGCTGGTGCCAGGAATTGAAATAAGTAAGTAAGAGTAGACATGTGATGTCTGTGTAATGTCGATAACCACCCACCAAGATTGACCCTCATGCTCATTATTACATCACTGCTATAATAATCCTCATCTTGGTTGTCGTTCTTCGTCAACTGATATTCTCCTTTTCTTGGGGTTCGATCTTCTCGTAGTTGTATTTAGTGTTGGATTTTTCAACAGCTCGTCCTCGACACTCCTACTTTATTTACAACTACTAGTACACCACGGCTTCATACCTACATCATTCTTTTTTTCCCTAAAATCAAAAGAATGGGCGCCTCATTCTCCTCGAGTTCTGGCGATCCTAACCACCAGGGAGTGTGTTGTGGTACTGCTCGAAACGCTGATAAAACGGCAGGACTACAACTATCGAACACCCTCATGCCGGTCTCTACGACCCACGCTGGCCACCAGAAAAGAGAAGCGCACAGAAGAGCTTCGGGAGAAACGTCGATAGTAGAGGATTCCGAGAACATGCTCGTCCTCCGGCGTTCTCCAAGGGACATAAGCGATGCGAGTCCCTTCGCTGCTCCAACTCGAAAGGACGAAGAATCTATAAAACTCGAAAAGGGAAAGCTACACTTAAGAACTTCTACTTCCGGAAAGATGAATCTTGATCCACATCCTTTTGAGGAACCAAGAAGAAGTGCCATCTCTTTTTAGAAGTATAAACTTGTTGTAAGAGACAAATACGAAAGATGATTCTTGTCGTCCTTATCTAGAAAGATGGATCGGGTCCACCTCCAGCAACGTCTAAGACGTACACTTTTCGGCGACAAAGACTTCTGTCAGCGGTTTGTGCAAGCGGTAGCGGGTGTGGCAGAAACGAGCAGGGCATCAGATCGCGACTTCACCAAGTGCGTTCTCGTTCGCTCACAAATCTTATGGCCTTAGAGGAAAGTGAAGAATCAGAGCAGAACTAAGCAAGGTCACTAGACAGTGGCATTCCTATGCGGAGTCTGTTGTAATAGTTTGCAGAAGGGCGAACGATGTAGAACAAGAATATTTGATAGAGATAGGAATAATATCTTAGGTTGAAAAAGTTGATGTCTGAATCAATGAAGATCACAACATTGACATTCCATAGTTCCTCACTCTTCATACCAGGAGGAACGTGAAGTAGCACAAGAGGATGGACAATTCGGACCCACCTGGGCATGGCCTCTGGGCAAGTTGAACATTGATCTTTCCGGGGTCGAGTTTGTATTGGACTTCTGCAATATTGTTGCTGCCGCTCAGTCACCTTTTACCCAAGAACATTATGTGCAGAGGAGTTTTTTTTAATTTTTCCGCATTAGTAGACTGCCCAAGACTTGTGACTCGCGAAAATCAAATGTCATAAGAGGGACCCACGCATGACGAGATGATTGAGTGTCGCCATATTGAAGACGCATGCTCAGGTCACAAGAGAAGAAACGGAATGGCACTTCTTGAACATGAACTACGTACTTGTTCTAACAGCAAGTGGAGTTAGAGTTGAAGGAGCTTGGCTTCAAGCATCGAGGGAATGCATGGAATCCGAGAGCGGCAGCTGATATGAACAATCCAACCACTACCTACGGTTCCAGCTGGAGACTGAATTATGAATAAAATACATTCGTGACTATTTCTTTGTCACTATTTGGTTCTATTTTGTAGTTAAAAGACGATGATGAGCTTTACTCTGACGATACGCTTGTGTTGGCTTTTTTTGACGAGGACAGCTAGAAAAACTGCAATTAGATTTAGAAGAACAATCTATTTTCTCTATTGCAGTATCGTGTCTATCTTCTAACGAAAGATGCAACTGGCATGCGCGAAGCTTCTGCAGACAAAGTTGATAATTTTGGAGCACTCATCCATCTTCACCCACTTGGACGTCCGAAACATCGCTCTTATCAAAGCGTGGCTCAGAAATTAGGCTAGAGCAGATTCTATCCAGTTCCAGAACAACTCCATCGAGTATATTTGGAGTCTACAGAAGATGATGGGTTTTTAGCCCGCAGCCTCGACAACTGAAAATAACCGAGTTACTGACTGAAATAAGGGAGGTAGCTTTGACAGGGCTACTCTTCCTTGTTCAGTATCTCCCTTATTTGAAATAGTTACTCGCTCTCGCTTATTTCAGTTTTTCGTACATGATATTTTGGACAATCCTAGATAGCCGTCAGTATGGGCAGCACTTTTTTCGCAATCGCTCCCTTTAAAATGATTTCGTGAACAACTTGGAAGGGGGAGCTGACGGAACCGTGCTTGTCTTCAACTGCGCGGATGAAGTTTTCGTAGCCGATACGTGTACGGGAAACATCCTGGAACTACACCGCGAAAAAGTTACAGCCTATCCTGGTAAAGGAGCTTTGTTAAGGCTAGTTAGTATCAGTATGTCAAGAAGTCCCCCGTCGATGTACTTGAAGGAGAAGCTAAGGGGGAAAGCGGGACTCTCACTTGGCCAGGGATCGAAATCGACAGTGAAAAGCTAGCGCTAACTACGGCTTTGGCGGACTTCTTGACAACAAGCAGCGCCTCTAGACGGACTAGACGAAGAAGAGCGGCATATTTTGGCGCCGTTCGCGAAGCCTACCCGTTCGTGTTCCTGCCACCGAGGAAGTTATTTTTGTCTCAAGAAGAAAGAGGTAGAGGATGCTCCAGCGGAATGAACCTTGACCTGGCATTGTTTCGTGCCGAGTGTATGAATATTAGATATGATGCGGTCGAGAGCAATAGCCACATACACAGTGCGTCTTTTACAATAAATGCTAGAGACCGGATTTGGATCCAGGGCTCATCGAAGAGAGCCTTCATGAGGCTGCTGTACGGTGAACTCCCAGCGCCGAATCTTCTTGCGTCTACAATTCTTAAGGCCTCCGGTGGTGATCCATCAGACGATTGATCTTAGTATGGTAGCTATTCTAAAAAATATAAACATAAAGGCAAATAAAGTTCTAGGACCGCTGCAGAAGCAGACAGTATTATCTGTGTTGTCATGGATTTGGATATTTTAGAAGAGTCTTGTCTAATACCCTTCCCGGCCGTCACGACCACGAGAACATGGTTGATGTCTTTGACACCGGGATGCGCCGCCGACGGGGCGCAAGAGTCTATTGGGTTGAACAGCAGTCTACCCATAATTACGGCTTCCCGTAATCCATCTTCGAAAGCATCCTCAAGAGCCTTCTCAAGGGGAGGCGTCTCGAGATGGATTTCGGCGAGCTCTAACATCGTCTAGAGAGGCATCCAGAAATGACGCCGGTGCAGTACATGAAATGGCGCTTCTTCACTCCAGGCGTCGAAGACCAGGAGTTGGAAACGTGGCAAAAATTCCTGATCGAACAGTGTAAGCCATCGTCCGAGAGGCCGTCGAGGGCTTCTTCCGATGATTTTACGGGAGAACAAGAGGAAGAAGGAGATCTTCAAGATCAAGATGGCGGTAGAGAAGAAGATAGGCGAGAAATTGTGCAGCACAGCGGCATCTTCCTGAAAGAACAGCAAGAGCAAGCTGACAGTCGTGGTCCTGTGACACTCGTTGAGAAAAAGGTTGTAGTTGCAGACGAAGACTCTATGGCGAGAGTACGGAAAGTCCTAAGAGATTTTCAATACAGTGAAATGACGCCAGAACGGGAGTCAGCTCATCGTCAGGAAATGCTCGGCTTAACAGAATTCTCCTTATCGAAAAACTATGATGTCGAATACCCATCGGACACGGAGGTAAGCACGGACTCGGACTCAGAGGACCAGGAACAAGAAAAACGAGGCGAAAAGCAAGCACAAGCAGCTCGAGGAGTCGAAGACGACCTGCAAATCAAAAACCAAAGTCCTACGCCAAGAAGCAAGAGAACAGATCGAGACGAAAATGGCACTCACGCTCACATTGATTGGCTCAGTCTGAAAATGAAAAATGAGCGAAGCCAGAATTTGGATGCCGTCATTGAGATCTTGGATTTTTCGGGCGAGACGCTTTGTTCCCTGCCGGCCGCTTATTTTCCAATAAATGTCACCGTGAAACAACTAAAAGAAGCTCTCTGTTTAGCATGTTGTACTTCTACGGCCAGGAAGACGAAGACGTCGATCAATAGTTCGGATAGTTTAATATCAATAAGCGGAAAGAACGATAACAAAGGTATGAGTATCGTTTTCGAACAATCGACCGCGGAGTCGGGAGGTCTGTTCCCGGAAGACCACTTTGCCGCACCAGCTGCATTACAGCTTGTACTAGAACGTCCGAACTACAGTCGGACTCTTTCGGATGATGAAAGCGTTTGTTCCGAGCCCTCCTTCCTGCCTGACGACATGGAGCTCCGCACCTTGACCGTGAGTATGAAGAACAAGACGATTGGACAAAAAGATGTTGTCCCACCAGACGACATGAGGAAAGGAGATGAACCAAAAGGAAAAGATGAACGAGTACCAGGAGTAGCGGTCCCTGAATTATCGGAGATAATTCGACTGACTTTGTTTCGGGATGTTCACCTGAACGCTTTGCTTGTGAATTTCGCGAACTTCAGTCTGGACGCATTTACGGCTTTGAACACTCCCATATCGACGCTCCGAAGTGCTGCAAAATGTAAAATCGTACTCGCAGCAGCGAGCTGGACCCGACCGAATCTGTTGATCTGCAACCAACCTACGACGTGGCTGTACGGGGATGATGCAAGAGCTCTGGGCCGGGGATTAAACCGCTTCAAAGGAGCTGTGCTTGTCAACACCAACAACACTGATTTCATGGACGACGTGACTTGGAACAAAGAATTCCATCTACACGCGGGATGGCTCACGGTCAAAGAACACGAACAGTGAATGATACTTCTAATGCTAATTGGATGGAACAAAATACTTCTCATTCTTTCTGTGGAAGTGAAATAGAGTTTTTTGTCTTGAACTTGATTATTTCACTCAGTTCCCAAGTACTTTCAAGATCAAGACACGCGGCGGCAAGGCCGTCGTGCAGAAAGAGCAAGTGTGAAGAGCTCATCTCTTTTTACTGGATCTGGATGCTCACGCTTCTTTCGTAGTCTTCTCCCGAACGTATCTCCGCAAGCCCACAAAATTAAACTAAAACTTGGCTTACACTATCACTACGTGCCCAGTACGCGGGCCCATCAAGGGCCCGCTGGGGCAGAATTAACAATCAGTAAGTAATCTTAGAAAGAAGGTGGTTGAGTTTAAGCCAATGACGGCGCTTCAGTCTTCAACGCAGAAAAGGGTCACGGAAGAACTGCGGATGTGTATTCGTTGGTGCTTATTCGTTCCCTCGCAGTTGCGCAAGTTAGAGCGAAAATGTTGCGAAATGATGAAAATCAGAAACAGAACCTGCATGAAAGTTCATATAAGTTAGTACATGACGCCGAGGGGGACGAATAGAAAAAGAGACTGCAACCTCACTACAATGCACTTAAGGTGGAGACCGCTGGCAATCGCTTTTCAGTTGGCGCCTGGTAGGCGCCAAATAATGCGTCCAATGCGATAAGGAAACACATGAAGCCACTGATTTTCATGCGCCTGCTTTTGTTGTGCAAACGCATCAAGAAAAACCGTGCGGCGTAGCTTGTCTTGTGACGCACGGGCGTGCGTTTTTATTTTGTCCTGTCAGCCTGCATATGGAAGAGCTGCTCACTAATAGCCAGCTTCTACTTCGTCTTCTTGTTCATCGTCATCAACTTGCTGTTCGAGGTTTTGGAGATCTAGTATCTGATTAATGCATCTGCTAGCTTCACAAAGAGTCGACACGATATACAGGGGATGCTCATGCGAGTGCTTCAAACATGTTCCAAAGTGTCGCTGTGTAGTTAGTGTTCCATGTTCTTGCATTTTTTTAAAGAAGACTTCTAAAAAGTTCTGCATCTCGATGGACCAACCTACATTACTAGACGGGTCGGGCTTGGCTGCGAAGTTAGCTCCCGAGAGAGGTCGAGCCACCCAGTTGATAAGCCTTTTTGGACCTCTCCCAAATATAGTGCAAGGCGTTTCAGGATTACGCCGGTAGCAGCGATATGCTGAAGCCCGACTTGCTAGCAAGTTCCTGCTCCACAGGTACAACTTTCCTCCGGTCCAGCTGCCTAAGATGGACACACAAAACGAGAGGACTCGCTCGTAAGATTTCTGCGCTGTGATCATGTCGCGTAACTTCTCTGGCCAACTAGCTTCGGCATTTTCTACAAACCTCGCGAATGCCTCAGTGCTTGTGCTCCGTTGTTCAGGCGACAGGTATTGCCTCCACGTATTTCCATTCACGTCGTTGCTATGGAGTAGCGTTGTGGCAGCTTGGAAAGCCTGTGGTTGAAGGTAGCGCAAGTGCTAATAAGCCACGTTCTTCAACATATTTCAACGAGGTCACTGCGATAAAGATGTAGAAGATTAGTTACCGAACTGACAGGAAGCAACCTTCTGTCTTTTGATTGCACTGCTAGACTATTGAGAAAAACAGCTTTATAACATACAGAAAAGGATAAGGGGTAGGAAGTACGCTTACCATTGCAGCGCTTGTTCCTTCGTGTGGAAGCTTCTCTAGCCATGCGTCCAAGAACGATTCCGCCATAAAAAAACTCAAGTAAAGCGCCACGCGCAGCGTGTCCATGATGGACGTCGTTCCTACAGCTTTCCGAATTTTAGGAGGGTAAGTAAGAGGCGCCTGGGCAGTGAGGTGGTGTATACGAAAGTCAGAGGTCAGAAATCTAAGCCCAAGAAAGGCAGCAGAAGCAGTAGCGAGCGTCTTACTTAGTCAACCGAGTATCCATTTGCGATGCGAAGATGGAAGCGGAAATATTGGATCGGTATGAGGTGCCTCATTGGAGGGCTTAACCATAACAATTCGCCGCCTCTTTTCTGCCACTCTGCCATATAGGTCCGGTTTACATTTGATAGTCATCCACGTGTGAATTTGCTGGCTTGTGACTGTTATCGTCTTCGGTGCTAGATCTCTCGCCTCTTTCTTAAAGAAATGGAAGACGTTGCTGACCTTCGGCAGGTTTATCGTCCGCGTTGTTTCGAGCAGTTTTTTTGAGAGATGTGCGTTCTTCGTGACGAATATTGTGTACACGTTGATGATTAAAAAAATGAGGCTCCACACGTCGTCGGGGTGCGGGTACCTTTGCTGCTGTGCCAGCGACATTTTGGGAATTTTGCTACGAGTCTCCTAAGCGAGCTTGTAGGCCGCGAAAAGTGTAGGTCCGTCTGCAGGACCACGCTAAAAAGATGCAATCGACTCAGTTTCATGTAGTCTATAAGCGAATCCCACCTGTTTTCTCTCGATGATTTGTTCGGCTAGCTTCATACGAAAACGCGCTGACCGATAGACTTACTCGGGATTTCTTCCGTTTGTCAGGAATCTACGAGCTGGAAGGAGTCTAGGAGCCACTTTTTTTATCAATGTCGCTCGACTTGGGGCTTTAGTTTTTTGTAGTTCAGATGGCACCGAACTAAAGTCAGGGACTTGACCACGGCGATGATGCCGAAAGCGCTTTCGTAAAGCAGTCTAGGAGGCATCACCTCGCAGGCGAAGTTCATGATTTTGGTAAAAAGTCCGAGCCTCAGAAGTGGGCGACTACACGACAAGAATGGCATCAATTGCGTAGAGAATGGCTGCTCTTTTGAGGCAACTGGTGTGGGAGAAGGTATCTCGATGCTCCACCCTTCATAAAATGTTGCTCGTCAGAATGTAATATCTGTTAGTGCTTCGAATCGTCTCAACTTGTGTTCATTTCATTTAGCTAGCTGTTTAGAGCTTGACTAGTTTCCATTATGGAAAGGATTCGTGAGTGGTTCACTTTCAGCTATATCCATGATTCATAAAAGGAAGGTGGGTTGTACTGTTTTCCGAATGGGTGACGTTTGTAAACTGTTTGAATCAAGACGTGGCCGACTGGGTTGTAGATCTGAACTGTCGATAGCTTCTGGCTTTGTCTGTTATCCTCGACAACGTGTTCTTCGGTAATCATAGGCGTAACAGCATGCGCCGTCTTGGATCGTGACAGTGGGAGGTAGCCTTGGCCATGCGAGAAGCTTGACCTAGTCCAGTTCGTGCCCACATACTGGAACCCGTCTCTTTGAGTACCGTCAGAAGTTAGACAAGTGCTTACATATTTGCGCCAGTTCGCTTGCCTGGTATGGATGCGCTTCGCCATAGTTTAAAAATTGGCCAACGATGCTTGTACTTACGTGCTGCAGACTAGTGGAGTGTAAGAAAAAAACTTATTACGAATGCCGGCAGTGCTATCACATTCGTCGCAGTAACACTGTGGACGCGATTGCCATAAGATGCTGGATCCTGGGTACAAATCGAGAGGATACTGGTGCCGCTTGACAGTGAGGGCGACTTCCGTCGTTTTCATTTTCCACGAGAAATCCTTATTGATTCGGAAAATCGCATGACAGGGCGTTCGCGTTCCTCGATAGGTTTCGGAAATGATATCCGCGCACTTTGTTACTACGAGGATTTTTGGCGAAATATCAACGAGGAGCACCCTCGTCCCTTTCTTGAGGTCTGTGGAAATGGTAGTATTTACGCGATAAACAGCGCCAAGAATTAACGCAAGACGTCCCGCCAATGCGCCGGAGCACTCGATGTGGCTCAGCATTGTGTTTGTGCTCATGTCTTCGCTGTCTGTGCCTTCAGAGAGCTCGCCAATACTCCACTTGTCCAAGCCGGTAAGAATGTTTCGCGACGTGGAGAGAGATCGCCGCTTACAGTAGAGGAAGTGAGTTTCAGCATAGAACTGCAGACGTTAGAGACACCCAATTCCATCAGCTTTGTCGTTTTTGACTTATTTCCTTCCATGTGACAGGTCTAAAATCCGCTAGCAGATGGAAAAGGGTGCGCCTTAATCGTTCAAGATGTTGCGGGTTTTGATATGTGGCGCGCAGATAACACTGCCAAGGAATTCGCGCAAGAGCTCACGGAATTCATCATCGACCACGAGCCTGCCTCTGACTAGTCGGAGCTTATCGATGCGCGCACTGCGATAGTTGTTCGCTGTTGCGATTTTTTCGATCAAGCGTTCGGCATTTTGGTGCTCTGACAGGTCCGGGTCAGATATGGCGAAGTCTTTGACTTCTATGCGACAGAAGTTGTCAGCGTCATTAGCTGCACCTGTTCCAACGTTCACACAATCTCCGAAGTATTGCAAGTTGTTACAGCGTTGCGGTGAGGAGAGTGTGTACGTTTTATCTTCATGAATAAAAGGCCGAAGATCGTCAGAGAATAGGCCGATACTGCGCCAAGTTGTAACGCTTTCCTCTTTGTCGGCGTCATCATCTTGCTGAATAGCTGCTCGCTCGGGGAAGTCGTCTTCTTCTGGAATTGGTTGACGTTGTAGTGCACATCCGTCGACGATTATAACGCAGCGGATGTTGTTTTCGATGAGATATCTGATTGGCCACAAAATGTACTTCTTGCGCAAAGAAAGGCCTTCACCTAAGAAGATGACTTTCGTGGACGCAATGCGCTCCTTCCACGCTTTTGGAGCTTTGTCAACTTTCTTTCGCCACTGTTCTTCAGTAAGGCCAGGGCGTATGAGAAAAGACTTATGCCACGTCTGTGCAAATCGTTGCTGCTCGGTTGCAGTTGCTGTGGCTCCTGTATTGAACGCGAAATACTCCGGGTGGCTCTTGCAGATACGAAGGAAGATGGTGTCTGCTGTTACTGATTTCCCGACACCGCCAAAAGCTACGAGAGGGATTATTTGCACCGAAGGCGTTCGGCTTTTTGTTGATCCTTTAACTGGTGGAGGCGCTTGCTTGTTTTCCTGTAGAAAAGCTTCTACGCTTTTGATTATTTGAGTAGCAACGGCTTCCTGCTCTGATAGTAATCGCATTCCTTGCCTCTCTTTTTGCTCGAGAAGTGTCGCTGCGAGCTCCGCGGAAACTGTTGCGAGCTGCGTACGCTTGTCAGTTGGCACGGTGGTCGCAAATAGAGGAAGTCCGAAGTCTTGCCACTTCTCTAGAAGCGTTTCGCCTCCTTCTATGTTCTCGAGATCGTTTCGAAGATGTTCGAGAACTATTGACTGGTTGGCCCCCATGCAATGGACATACTTGTCGAAAAGGAGCCGCGCACTAAACGCGTATGATTCTCTGCCGATGAGGAGGAGCTCAGAGAGGAACACGAAGCGGACCTGTTGTTCGGGAAATCCTAAACGGATAACATAGTCCATTGCTTCCGAGGATTGCGGCTGTATTTGCAACGCCGTGTAAGCTTCTTCTAACGATTTCCCTGCAAAAGCTTCTTCTTGCGTCAGCGGTAGGTCTTGAGATGGCACGCTTGTGGCGTAGTGTTGTAAAATGGTCCAGGCGAAGAGCTTATCCGTTTTCTTGGTTGGAAGAATGGACTCAAGCCGACACTGGTTAGCGTGGTGTTTACGGTAGACATACTCGGCAGGCTTCTCTTTATCGTTTTTCCCTTTGCCTTTTTT